TGCGCGTTGGTCCGTGCGCAGCTGGTCTGTGCGCAGCATGCCGACGCGGCCCCGGGGGGCGGTGAGTCAGAGCGGCTGCGTCAGCGGGGCCCGAGCTGTGCCGTGCACTGCCGTCCTATCTAATCTGATCGTACAGTAGATAACGATGTGTCCGTATCGGGCAAGTAGTACAGAGGTCGCGGGTTCGAGCCCGCGAAAAGGAAAAAATTAAAAAATGGCTAGACGCCGTACCAACTCGTGACACTATCTAGGTATCGTAGGGTACAGTAAGGGTGCGCACCACCCAACCTATAGGAAGTGAATGTGAGTTTGTGGGAGTCCCGAGGGACGCCGGCAGCTGTGGAGAGTTTCGACCTAATGTCGCGACTTGAGGTCAAGCGACAGGGGAAGATCTGAAAGCTGGGGGCGTCCGACTAAATCTCACCGAAGCGATGGTGAGCAGCGCTCAAACCTAAGGCTAGGGACAAGAAAGTATATTAGTTAGTAAAGGTAAGTAAGGGATACAAAGGGAGGCTTACTAACCTAGGGACAAGAGGTCGAAACTGAGGTCCCTAGGGCAGCAGAGGCCGGCTTATATACATGGGGAATTTAGGGCAGGCTGTGCACGTTGGTCCGTGCGCAGCTGGTCTGTGCGCAGCATGCCGACGCGGCCCCGGGGGCCGGTGAGTCAGAGCTGCTGTGTCAGCGGGGCCCGAGCTGTGCCGTGCGCTGCCGCCCCATCTAATCTAATCGTACAGTAGATAGTGACGCGTCCATATCAGGCAGGTAGTACAGAGGTCGCGGGTTCGAGCCCGCGAAAAGGAAAAAATTAAAAAACGGCTAGACGCCGTGCCAACTCGTGACACTTTTCTAGATAGAAACCAGACTCCTTCTGGACCATGACATCATTCTGACATCATAGGTAGGAGCTAGGCTCAGGCACTAGGCCATAGGCCGGTCAATTCTGGACCCTAGGCCCAGGGCAGGGCAGGGCCAGACTATGACATCATATATGACATCATAGAACATATGATACTTAGTAATCCTTACCCAGCTAGGTACCAGGGGTCCATTACCGGTCCCTGGGGGGTTTTCCCTCATGTATATAAGGCAGCATCCTGGGGCACCCTGTCCCCCAGTTCTATTCACTTCGTTGTTGCGCTTAACAGCATTACCTCCCCATACTTAAGTGCTATTATCTCCCCCCCTCAATATCAAGCTATAAGGTGGGTTTGTAGGTTTTGTGATAGCTTCGGTAAGACTCAGTCGGACGCCCCCAGCCCTTAGGTTTTCTCCAGTCACTTGACCTCAAGTCGCGACAGTGGATGTATCACGTCTCTATGATGGTCAGCGGCAGATGATATATCATCCTGCCAGGTACTGGTGACACGAGCACCTGTTGTTATAGCCAGATATGCAGCAAAGACGCGCTCCTCGTGTATATACTACAAGCCCGCATGTCACTGCCAACATAATGATGACTGGTACTGTGTATGCTTCATCTGCTTCAGATACATATCAAGAACAAGTGAGTGAGCGCAAATGGTAGCAACGAGGGATAACATGTAGCAGAAGCATTGAAGTAATGCCACTGTAAGGCTATTTTCAATCGAACTCTTCATGCCCGGCCGAACGTGGATATTGATTAATGTTTGACAGTGTACTGTGTGATGTGATTTTTGAGGATCTGGTCAGGAGGCTGCATCCAGTGATGCATCGCAAGGATTCTGTAACAATATAAATGGGAAGCTGCTAATTGCGTGTGGTGACGAACTCCATTCAGAACAAACATCAAGAATTCCAGATCAGGGGTTGACGTTCACATTGCCTCGATTCGATTCACTCAAGGAGTCATTTCTTCCAGACTCTGCAAAATCAGCCCGAAGTGTGCGTGTGGACAGCAATCTAGAAGCCGAATGATCTTCACCACACTAATACACATGTATCCCCAGAGGGCACTTTCTTTGTTCTCCGATCCGGATGACCCGCGAGAGACATTCAGTGTGGCATACCCATGCGTACGCACCATTATGGAGTCGTCCTACGATTGTAAACGTTTTCTAGTATAACCCTTTTTGCCCGCTGAGCAGCACACTCAACTCGCAAATGGGATAGTTATAGGCCCCTGTTTGCAACTGTGAAACCACATAGTCATGATTCGACGCTCTGTTGTGCATCACATCGTGTGCGACAAGCGCTGCAGTGACTCGATTCAAGTCCTCTCTGCCGCGTGATGAACAGGATCCAAATCCTTAGTCGGCATACGCCGACATGTTTCAGCAGGGAAACAAGTGCAGAACAACCTCAAAAAGCATTGCTTCGGAGGTGGGTTCAGTATATGCCTTGAGGAGACTATGCATGCTTCCGGAACATCTGGACCATGATCAGGGTGACGGTATCTCCGAGCGGGACATCATATGATCCTGTCCACAACAAGGCAAAAGCATAAGTGCATCCCCAATCGGTAGACCAAACTTTTCATCTCCGCCGGCGCCCTCTAGGAGATCACTGCAAGGATCTCCAGACATCAGCTGGAAGAGTGTCCTTCTCGCAGCCTGCGAGAAACTCGTACGTACAGCAATAGTCCCCAGTAATTCATTTTAGCGAGATCTTATTGGAAAGGAAGAGACAGACGTATGCATTATCCACACAGGGGCTTCTGTACTCCGTTACACTGTTATAACAATCATTATTTGTCCCTGGCACGTATTGAGCAATCCAAAGCATCTGCATTCTCGGTGTGGCGTACATGCCTGGTGCGGGCCGCCCGTGCACGCTGGGCACTGCGCCGCAATAACTTGACATAATTGTGACGACTCATGACAGGCTGTGGAAGCATGCGGACCTCGACAGTTTTGGCTACGCAAAAGGTGCCTGGCAATATGGCTAGAATGGGAAGACTCTGGGTAGATGCTTCTGCGTACACTAGGGCACATATTTGGAAGTGTTAGGGATCACAATATCAACTCCTCATTTGATGATGTAGTAGAAAATGAGACTTTCTACAATTTTAGCACCTTCGCACACTGAGAAGGCCTCTGCAATGTCTCGCAGTGAATTGTACTTTCTTGGCCGAAATTCAACAAATTGAAGTAACGTGCATGCAGTGATCACTGAATCCTGTACCCTTCCCTGGTATTTCCAATGGGAAGATATCGCTACCTTCATTGGGAGCACAGCTGCTTGCAAGCTGCTGGAACTCGTTCCGTGTACATCGCTGTATAGACCATCGCTACGCCGTATGCGTTGCTTGGTCCTTGGTGGGAGCCTACCAGTGAAAAACTCGATGAACGCAATATAGAGACTATGACGATGAGCCTTCCTTGCGAATCCAGAGAGCACAGTATGGAGCTCCTCCGTGATTATACGTTACGATATGCTGGGTGTCTCAAATCTATCTCAGCATTGGGCACCGACACCTGTCGCGACTTGAGGTCAAGCGACTGAGGAAAAACCTAAATGCTGGGGGCGTCTGACTAAGTCTTACCAAAGCGATGGTGAGCTACGCTCAAACCTAAGGCTAGGGACAAGAAAATATATTAGTTAGTAAAGTAAGAAAGAATACAAGTGAGGGCTTACTGACCTAGGGACAAGAGGTCAAAACTGAGGTCCCTAGGGCAGCAGAGGCCGGCTTATATACAGGGGTAGATAAGGGCAGGCTGTGCGCACTGGTCCGTGTGCAGCTGGTCCGTGCGCAGCATGCTGACGCGGCCCTGGGGGCCGGTGAGTCAGAGCGGCTGCGTCAGCGGAGCCCGAGCTGTGCCGTGCACTGCCGTCCTATCTGATCTGATCGTACAGTAAATAACGACGTGTCCATATCAGGCATGTAGTACAGAGGTCGTGGGTTCGAGCCCGCGAAAAGGAAAAAATTAAAAAACAGCTAGACGCCGTGTCAACTCGTGACAACACCCCTACAATAGCGAGATTCAGTGCTCAGAATGTGTTACAACCCCGATGGCAGCAGCCATATTTCACCATCATAGTCCCTGAAGACAAGCAATCCTGTGATGACATATTTGATGTGAGCAGAGGCAGCAAAAGTATGGTTTAATGACAGCTGAACAAATGAATTCCATCCATGTCTATTCACAGGAACATCCAGACCAGCGAGAACATCAGTACTTGTGTACAAGCGGGTCTGGAACAAAGAAGCCAGTGGTCATACCATATAGCGCGGCTACATAAGTGTGCATGTCGCGGGCATACCAGCCTGCGACTAACCTCCGCACCCATTTCCACCAACTCGGCTGAGGATCGGTAAAGAGCATACCACCAGCCTCGAACCAGGGAGGATAAACCCCCGAGCTGCCCCAGTCAATCAACCATAGCTTCCCGTCGTCACCCAGCACGACATTTCGTGGAGTAAGGTCCCCATGAACAAGGACCAGCCGCTCTCTCTGCACAAACGGCGGGGTATCGAGGCTCCGCTCCCTGATGTATTGTGAGACGCGCAAGCGTCCATTGAGCCATTCGAACAACGCTGCGGCGGATGAGAAGGGGCCGCAATGATAGTCGGCACCCATTGCGGGGCCAAAGCACTTCAGCGGCTTTGAAAGATCATCCGTGAGCGGCCCGGGGATTTGGCGTTCGATCTGCTCTGTCCGTACGCGTCTGAGCTGGCGGATGTAGCCACGGAGCGTCCATGCGATGACGAACTTCCGCCAGGGGCTGAGGTCGTCCCAGCACCAGTCGAGCGAGCGCCCTTGGATGTGTTCCATAGCCAGCAAGAATGTTTCACCGCGTTTGAAAATGCGCAATGGTTTGGGAACGGGGATCGACGTCTGAGCGCGAACGATCTCCATTGCGCGAGCTTCAAACTCCCCAAGCGTATAGCTACCCGTTTTGACGATTACTCGAGGTGATATGATAAAGATAGGTGGAGGTTGCAGACCGGATTGGGAAGAGCCGAGAATGCGCAATTCCGGAGCACCATGGCATAGCTTATAGATCTCTTCGTCGGTGAGAGATTCCTCCCACCATAACTCGCTCTGTGCACGTATGTTTGAAACTTCTCATGAGCTACGCGTAGACGGGACTTACATTACTGTTTGGCTCCGGTTGAGCGACTGTCTGCCTGAACCATGAAAAAGGATGTAGACCACTCAGGCCGATATTGAAGCTCAATGCACGCATCGAGTGCTTTGCGCTGCAATGTTGTTAAGTCGAGAGCCACGCGCGAACTTTCTGTGTAGTTACCTATGGCTGAGGATCGTGGTGAAACAAGTGTGTTGGAGGCACGTGGTGAACGCTTCGGGACGCAGTCGATGTTTGTCTCTGTGGGCGTCATCGCTCAAGCGCTCAATATTCAATGCCCGTACTCGGATAAGCGCCCACACTTCGTATCTCGTAGTCTAGAGAGCTTGCTGAGGCCATCGGGATTGTTTCAGATGTGGCGAGGAAATTGATTCGATGAGTGATATATTTTTGATAGTAGTACAGAAAATATGAACATAGAGCCGAGTACGACTAGTATGAGGAACTTCAAGTTATCACTGGCAGGTACTCGCTCGAAGTCCGCTGGTCGTGAGCACGCAGATAGTGTGGAGGACCACATGTGTCCTTCAGCTGGGTTGAAATTTCAAGCGACAATGGACTCCGTCACCAATAGTTATGTCGAGCCCTCATCCTGAACCGGGAGTTTTTTCAGGGATCTTTCTCTTTTTGTTACGTTGTCCTGTCGCATCCCAAGGGTCTCATCGACAGGGTCCAGCACATACAGGCGATAGGAAATAAGAATTACCGTCGGACGTGCGGCGTTGACCACGTTCATCTTTCTAGGATTGGGTCCGACGGGTCGTCTGAAGGAGACTACAGTTGGGATAATCGGCGGCACAGGCGGCCTCGGCGCAGATTACGACGCTGTGATTCTAGCTGAAATCGTGTAGTCATGCAAGAACAATGGGTGAGCGCAAATGGCAATGACCAAGAAGATCATCATATAGTAGAAGCATTGTAATAATGCTACCGTCTGATCTCATCGATAAAAGACTGCGTGCAGCATGCATGGCTGAACCGGGATATTAGGTTCCTGTGAAGCGTGAACTCGGTGCTCTGTGAGAATCTAGTCAGGATGATGCATCAGTTGATGCAATGCAAGGATTCTGTAGTGAGACGAATGGGAGACTCTTGATTGTAATGAGGCGCTGCGCAGCGTAGGATAGAGACGATCACCACTTGGAAAATTGTCAAGGCATCTCAGATCTCAGGGACTGATATCCCACTACCTCGGTTCAGTTCACTCAACGAGTCATTTCTTCCATATACTGTAACATAAGCCCGAAGTGTGCGCGTGGGTAGAAGCCTAGAAGCCGAATGGGTATCGCCGCGCTATTACACATGTATCCTCATAAGGCACCTTCCTTGTTCTCCAATACGGATGACCCGCGGGAGACGTGCACCAAATCCAGTGTGGCGTACCTATGCGTGCGCAACATTATAGCGTGAACCTACGGCTGGGAATATTCATCTAGTAGTATTCCGTTGTACGCTGACCTGGTCACTTGCTTCGTTAGATCTTGCCAGGCCCCTGTTCGCGCCTGTGAAGCCGTATAACGATCAACCCGCGACGTTCACGGGCCGTTACTCGTGAGACCAACGCTAGCCCAACGTCGAGTCTTCTGTGCCGCATGGCGAGCGGGACTTGAATTCTCCGTCATCATACACTCAGATGCTTCCATAGTGAGGCACGCTAAACAAACCCAGAACGCATTGGTTCGGAGGCCCGTGTCGTGTAATGTACGCCTGGAGGAGATCTTCTGGTATATCCGGTCCACATATCCGAGTGGCACGTCCTATGCTCATTGCAAGACGAAAACACAAGACTACCTCAGATTGGTGGGCCTCGCTTCTCATCTCCGCCGGCACCCTCGAGGAGATCACTGCAAGGATCTTGGCTCATCAGCTGGAACAGTGTCCTTCTCGCAGCCTGTGAGACACTCGTAAGTAGAAGGTCCCGGGTCATGAAACGCGGCAAGGTCTCAGTGGGGATAGAACGACGGGCATACGTGTGATCCAGACAGGAACTTCTGTATGACACGACACTTCTGTGAATATATGTGATCATCCCGTGAGTCGTGTACATGCCTGTCCGCGCTGGCCACGATATCTTGACAGTTCTGCCACAGTCGCGATTCACGAAAGTCATGTGGGCGTGTTTACGAAATGCACAATAGCAGGGAAGATACTTATTGTTGTGGCTGGAATGGCAAGCTCTCAGGCGCGGAAAGGGACAGTCTGCGTGCACAGCGCATGCAGACCGTCCCTTTTTCGCGCCTACATTGCGTGTTTGAAAGCGTTAACAACTCGGCATATCAATTATTTCTTGCTTAAACTAGCTAGATAATAAAACGTACCACACAACCTCGTGCTGCCGTACACTGACATGATCTCTGAGGCGTGTCTGTTGAACTGCAAAGATTAGTTCAGAAAAGTCACAGCAACGGAATGTGACGTAGTGATGTCCGTCAGCTAGGCAGCAATCCCATAGAAAGGATGGTGTTGCCATCATACGGGGTAGAGGTTTTCGCGAGCTGCTCGAACACATTCCACCTACAGTGCTAATATCGCTGCGAAAGTTGTAGTAACGCCACAATCCCAAGTTCAGATCTCGGCGCCTAGAGTTCAGATGGATCGGCGCTGATTGCCGTGAACAGTTCGCTTAGACTGAGACGAACTGCACGGCGCTTCAGCGCTCCGCCCTTCGTGCCTTTTCACTGCTACATACGCGCTTGGCAAATGTAACGGGGCAGGTTGTACTGTCAGACATGGGTATCCGGAGCCGGCGTAGGTTGATGGAATTGTCTACTCTGCTCTCAGGAGACTAGTTGTACTCTGCGTCGTTCACTAGTAGACTAGCAAAAATGGACTTCGAATTGATGTTGTGGTCTCCCTTGTCCTAGATCTGTGAGTCTTACGAATGAGGACATGGAATAAGGAGCAATTTGCACGCGGCTTGATGTCTAAAGGCAGGACGGCGGCAGCAGCTTCTTCGGCTTGCAGACGGATACGTGAGCCTGTGTCACAACTGTTTGCGCGTGACAGTGGATAGTGGACCAACCGTGTCACACCATAGTTCGTATTCATGGCTGAGTCCGAGTCACTCCTCACACCCAAACAGCAGGAGGTATGTGTCGCCTCGTCAGGAATTATGAACATCATACCTTGGCTGACGGAATTCTTGCAAAAAGCCATGTTCGCGCAATACCGCCTCGTCGCGTTCACACTTGCCACGTCACACATTTGTCCGCATTAACGAGGACTATGCCGTGGAGTCCCAGTTCTTCGGCTGGCTTGTCACCTTCGACCAAGTTGCCGACATCAACCTTCGTATAGATCGCAGTCCCTTGACCCATAAGGACCTTGATTGGTGGGAGAAGGCTGCCTGTGGAGGCGCACTCACCTGGAAGCTGAAACAATTGACCGACATCGAGACCATTAAAGTCAGGTCTGCTTATGCAGACTACGACGTGGACCCGGCACACTTTCTCCTGTTGAGCGATTACGACAGCAAGGAACAAAGTACACAAAAAGTACAATACAGACATGACTACTAAACAAAACAAACAGACATCATGTTTTTGCTCATGCGCCCTCCAAACGACGAATCATCCGCCTCTCCCGCTCGCCGACAACTTTGACCAGGCCCTCCTGTTCCAGTTCCCGAATGACCTGCTGGAACTCCGCCGAACTGATGCGGACCGAGCTCTGGCTCTCCAGCTGCTGCAATGCGTCCGCCCAACGGACGCCCCGCGTCCCCCCTGCGCTGCCATCCAGCATTACCAGCACCGCCTTCCGCATATCTCCGCGCAGTTTGCGCTGCTGCCGCCCGACACTGGTGTCCAGCAGACCCATGTCAATTTCGCCCGTTGTGGGATCGCGGGCACTCGTGTTTTCATGCAAAGGGATAGCTCACGGACAATCGACTTCATCTCGCGATATGTCAAGTACGCTGAATCTTATGGGCAAAAACTGTCGCTCTGACGATAATCCATGCAGATTCGATAATTGTGTCTGGCTCGTCCTCAATGACGTCGTTATTGGCGTCGCCTTCGGGTCGTTCCTATGCGAGAACAGATCATTGTTGTCCCGGATTCTGGATCAGTACGTACAGGTAGGGTTCCCGAGTGTCTATGCAACATCAACGAATACGATCTCATGGGACCTCAGCTGTACCTCGTCGATTCCATAAAGCATGCGCTTCCGACAATTGGCCTGCGGGACTCAAACTGAACACCGAGCGTAGCCAGTTCTACTGCCACACGCTCCTCGGCGTGGTTTCTACCTGGGGTTGTGCGTCCTACACCATCCGCTCTCTTAGTCCGTTGTATCTGACGCACACCAATTATTCAATATTTTTAGATGTCCTGCGATGCGCGGCGCCGTACTTACCTGCTTTCCCATGGGTGACGGGGACCATGGGTGGCTGCGGCATGACGATGGTCGTCTCGTTGCTATCAGGGGAAGCGATTCGACGTACTTCGGAATCGGCTTGACTCGTGGGATTAGGACATCGATCAGTTGTTGCTGGGCACAATTCTGTTCACGTTAATCGCCTTCCTCTCTCCAACCGTGCTCACATACTACGCGCTCTTCGCTGCGGTACGACACACCATTCTGTATCCTATTGTACACTGGCTCATGCGAGTTGCTTAATAGACTCACCTCAGCATGAAAGCGCTCTGTGCTATCCTCGACACGGTCATTGCGCTGCTCAACCATTTCCCGCTCTTTGCCTTGATGCTCCGTATCAAGGACCCGATGCGTCTATCAGGCAAGCACTATCCACGCATGCGCGAATGTCAGAGTGACTGACATCCACGTAGGACAGGTTGCATTCAGGCGACTGGCTGGACGAGAAGGATCTTTGATTCTCGAGGTAATCTTGATCAACGCGATGTTCCAAGTTGCGAATCTGACGCGGGTTCTGCTTAAATCAGCCAGCTCTGCTGTCATCGGTGTTCGTGCACTACGGTGAGCTCCTTATGACGACACGACAAGAAGAGATCTGACCTGCAGATAGCCCACTTATGGTCTCGCCTTGCTAACCATTATGGTCCTGAGGGCGTTTTCTGCCTGCTCCTGTTAGGGCGACGACTCACTCGAATCCCACGTGCTATAATCCGCTTCAGCATGGTCCCCAAGGGTAAGGATGATGATGAATCACGGAAAGAGGAAAAACAATAGTGTAACATTATTCATGCAACACAAGGGACCTTTATTACAATGTATGTGTATGAAGTGTGATCGTGTTGGGATTGACATATTGAAGTCGGCTCGGACTCCCCTCAAATTGAGTCCTTCGACTGCCGCAAGATCGGCCGCCGCTGCGACTACTTGGTACACTGGTGCGGCCAGCCGGTGTCGGAACGCTCGCGAGTAGGCCTTTCGGACGTCCCGCGCTCACTCAACGAGTCGCTCGGGCGTTTCCACCGCCGACATCCTAGCCTCCCTCGTCCGCACCGAGTCGCTGCAATTTTGGGCCCCCTCGGTATATCCGGATGGCACCTCTCTACTCGCTTCGCCTGCGTCTCCTGCTTCACTCCGTCCCGTCTCGCTTGCTCAACCCTTCTGTTCGCCTTCGTCGCCCACCACTCGTCAGACACTTCGCGCCTCATACGGACCCTCTGCGCGCACCACGATCCGTGCCGGCCGCGTTTTGCGTCCTCCCTCGCTACGATCCCTTGGTCCTCAAGCGTCGCAGTGCTCCGCGGAGTGGGGTGATGTCAGCATCGTCGCGCATCAGTCGCCACCGGGCCTGCAATAGACCGGTCATGGTCGCACTGACCAAGTACATGCGCGGAAGATGCGTAATAAGACAGCCGAAAATTCGTATATAGGAACCAGTCGCGGATACAAACAGGCTGCTTACTGTACGTACCGTAGCACTGCCACGTCGCTCATGTATTCAAGCCACGAGGATTCTCGCGAGAATCCTCGCAGAGTCAAGGAGTATTTGACTACATTCTATTCTATCTCTTGCGCATAGGCTCGACTCGGACTCGATCACTCGGAAACCGATGCTCTGCCACTAATACCATACTCTACATCTTTATACTGAGGATCTTCGACTCCTGGCACCGTGATTCGTTCTCCTCTCGTAGTCCTTACAGCCGATGACTGACGCTGAGCAATCCCCTCAAGACGTTCACGCCCAGGTCAGCCGCTCAGCACGACGCCCTGTGCTGCAACAACAAGAAGTATAGAGCGCGCCGTCCGTCAACGCTTTCCGTCGCCTGTTCTGACCGACATCGGCATGTGGACGCTCGCAAGAATCTCATTCGAACAAATAGGCTATATTCTGTTTACACATTCTTTCAGACGTTATAGAAGAGTGGTGGACAGACGGCGTGGAGAAAGTGAGATTCGACTACGCAGAACGAATCATCTTCAAGCTACTACGGGCCTCTGTCAGTGATTTGAGAGTGAGTGTGTATGTACGAGTGGACGCTCACCTAGTAGAATGTGCCTAATGGCATTTGCAGTGACATGCTGCGCATATTGTCAATTTCAAGGGCCCCATGGTCCCTGAGTTCCTGTGCGGCCCTTGTTGTCCCGGACCATCCGTCGCGCGAAGGAGCGCAACGTGGGGCTCCACTGATCTGAGCGATCAGTCGAGCTCCACGATACGCTCCTCATCCTCATCCTTGAGCTCAAGAAACAGGCTGTATAGACATGTTTAGTATTATCTCTGACTCCCTGCGCCACATACTGCAGACAAACCACCAGTGTAAGACCATGCGCCAGATGCTTGGGTCGACTCTGAGCATACTAGGTGGACCACAGCGACAGGTGTGTTTTTATCTGTATCCCAAATACTCTCCAGATTGCAGACAGAGCGATTATCGGACTCGCTCCCTTCATATAGCCTGGCTACAATGTCTTGTTTTAGCAAAAGATTCATGGCGAAGTGACGAGTTGGCGAGAGCGGGGGAAAGAGGTTAAATGTCGAGCAGCCCTGACGTCTACCTCGACAGGCTCACGGTTTCCATAGCATGCTGAGCGAGAGAACAACTGCAAGTGGCATTGATCACGGTGGAATTATGGACAGGCGGCTGTAAGATGTGACATACGAAGATTGACTCGTGTTATCGAGTGATGGGCTGATACGGCAAGAATACAGGATCCAAGTTATGAAGATCATCGATGCATTCGTTACGAGTAAATTGCCCCAGAATCCGTCAGTGTGATGGTCCGATGATGCTGCTTCCACCAAATCAGACAGGATGGGACTCGCATAAGTACTTCTATCGGTATTCCTGAGGTGAGTCACTAGGGACTAGAGGAGATGCTCCGGCTGCCATCACCATAGGATTCTCGAAATACCTCAATAAGATTGTGGACTCCGAAAAAGTCGGAATTGAGCAAACATGGATTAAGAAGGACAGTTGGGATCATAGGGTACAGATAGCCATATGTTAGTTCCGTACTCGTTCTCACAGAGTTGGCAGCAACCTCACCTTGGATTCAATTTTGCACCACGACAGTAATTACATTTAACCGCAAAAATCAGTCAAACACATCCTCGGAATCCCACAATAGTGTGATAATGCATTCAATGTCAGCAGAGGCAGCAAAAGCATGGCTTAATCGTAGCTGAATCTATCTATGTGTATTCACAGGAACACCCGAACCAGCAAGAAGATCAGTACCTGTGTACAAGCGGGTCAGGGACAAAGAATCCAGTGGTCATACCATATAGCGCGCCTACGTAGGTACGCATGTCGCGGGCATACCAGCCTGCGACTAACCTTCGCACCCATTTCCACCAACTCGGCTGAGGTTGGGTGTAGAGCATGGCAGCAGCCTCAAACCAGGGAGGATAAACGCCCGAGCTGCCCCAGTCAATCAGCCATAGCTTCCCGTCGTCACCCAGCACGACATTCCGCGGAGTAAGGTCCCCATGAACAAGGACCAGCCGCTCTCTCTGCACAAACGGCGGGGTATCGAGGCTCAGCTCCCTGATGTATTGCGTGACCCGCAAGCGTCCATTGAGCCATTCAAACAACGCTGCGGCGGATGAGAAGGGGCCGCAGTGATAATCGGCACCCATTGCGGGGCCAAAGCACTTCAGCGGCTTTGAGAGATCATCCGTAAGCGGCCCGGGGACTTGGCGTTCGATCTGCTCTGTCCGTACGCGTCTGAGCTGGCGGATATAGCCACGGAGCGTCCAGGCAATGACGAACTTCCGCCAGAGGCTGAGGTCGTCCCAACACCAGTCGAGCGAGCGTCCTTTGATGTATTCCATAGCCAGCAAGAACGTGTCGCCATCTTTGAAAATGCGCAATGGTCTGGGGACGGGGATAGACGTCTGAGCGCGAACGATCTCCATCGCGCGAGATTCAAACTCCCCAAGCCTGTACCAACCCGTTTTGACGATTACTCGAGGTGATATGATGAAAATAGGTGGAGGTTGCAGACCGGGTTGGGAAGAGCCGGGAATGCGCAATTTTGGGGCCTTATGGCATAGCTCAATGATCTCCTGGTTGGAGAGAGATTCCTCCCACCATAACTCGCTCTGTGCGCGTATGTTCGAAACTTCTCGTAAGTTACACGTAGACGGGACTTACATTACTGTTTGGCTCCGGTTGAGCGACTGTCTGCCTGAACCATGAGAAAGGACGTAGACCACTCAGGCCGACACTGAAGCTGAATGATCGCATCGAGTGCTTTGCGCCGCAACGTTATCAAGTCAAGAGCCACGCACGAACTTTCTGTGTAGTTATTTGTGGCCGAGTATCGTATATTTAACGGTCGATGTCACGAGTTGGTACGGCGTCTAGCCGTTTTTTAATTTTTCCTTTTCGCAGGCTCGAACCCGCGACCTCTGTACCACCTGCCCAATATGGACGCGTCGTTATCTACTGTACGATTAGATTAGATGGGCGGCAGTGCGCGGCACAGCTCGGGCTCCGCTGACACAGCCTCTCTGACTCACCGGCCCCCGGGGCCGCGTCAGCATGCTGCGCACGGACCAGCTGCGCATGGACCAACACGCACAGCCTGCCCTTATCTTCCCCTGTATATAAGCCGGCCTCTGCTGCCCTAGAGACCTCAGTTTCGACCTCTTGTCCCTAGGTCAGTAAGCCCTCTCTTGTATCCTTTCTTACTTCACTAATTAATATATTACTTGTCCCTAGCCTTAGGTTTGAGCGTTGCTCACCATTGCTTCGGTGAGATCTAGTCGAACGCCCCCAGCTCTTTAGGTTTTCCCTGTCGCTTGACCTCAAGTTGCGACAGTCGATGATGTAGCATCATGAAAACCCTCATTGTACATATTGTACTTATGTAGTTTTATTAATTTAGCTCAAGTGAAATAATAGAAGGATTGGCAGTTATCTCTACTTGTTTTTTTTCTGACCACATAAGTTGGAATAAATCGGGTCTAAAAACCCTTTATGCAAGTCTAATCGGAGCGGTCCTAGCAAGGCGTATGCCCGCCGCGTTGGGTGCACGTGTTCACAACATGTGCAATGTCCTCTGCTCGACCTGCGAGTTGATCAGTGAGGACATGCCAATCACTTACCCAGCAATACTGTGAGGCAACCACGGCGTTGCTGAACAAGCAGATGGTGAATAGTGGAGGGATATAACCTGGTGGCCTGGTCAGGTGTTGGAGAGCGCACTCTCCTTCTCCATCCAGTTTACCACCAGGTAGGTTGCTGCAAATTGGAGTAGCGAGTGATTCCTAGCATCTCCGAAGTTCGGTCCAGGAACGAGTTCGAACCGTCCGAACCCTGAACCGAACCTGCGGTTCAGGTTCGGTTAATGTCATGAGTTGGCATATGATCAGCATATATACCTCCGGTCAGATGTCAAGCCAAGCTTGACATTGCACCCTTTTGGTGTAGAGGTTATGATGTGAGACTGGCGCATGCATGTAAATCCTTACAGTTAAGCTCAGTCCATAGATTTCCCCAGTGGTTCAGTTCAAGGTTCACAGCCATCATGGACCGGTCCGAACCGTGAACCGGAATCAAGTCTCACTGCTCGCAAAAAAAAAATTTAATGAAGCCTAAAATACTAGTCTACATTTGTCTAACCAACAGACAATGTCTCAATCTTGCCACAGGACCAGTGTGCACTGTTCCCCGAACAACGTCGTGATGCATACCCTGCCATCCGTTGGAAGATGCCGTTGCCTGCCGAAATAGGCAGGCTGACATAAGCAGAGATTGACGAATGCGACAACTATTACAGTGTCGCACCTTGCATATCCTTCTCAAATGCTGAGTCTTGTTGAAACGCGCTGACCCGCGCGGTCAGGAACGAGCTCGCAAGCTCGGGCGCGCGAGTAGCCGGGGGCCGGAGGCCCCTATCGTAGTATATAACGACCCCACGCGATGTACGTACCGCACGCGATTGTCCCTGACGGGCATCGCTACGCCCATGGACAAACACGCCCCCGCGCCGTTCGCACCATTGTTCCAACAAGTCTCTTGTTTGTTTATGTGTTATACTTATAGTATGACCCCAAAAATCAAAACCAACATCTTTTATATGTCCATTTAAGATTTTAAGGTTCAGCAGGTTCGAACCCACTCTGAACCTGCTGAACCCATTCAGAAGGTTTGGTCCAAGGTTCAGTCCGGTTCAAGCTGATGGTGTGTAGGTTCGGTTCAAGGTTCAGGGCAAGAGGCCCCTGAGCCGAGCTAAACCGAACTTTGGAAACACTAGTGATTTCTGTGTGCTGAACCCAGTTTACCACCAGCTCATGACATATTTCGCATATTTCGTGCTACTCACCTTTCCCTCCCTTGATGCTTTCGTCCTTGCTGTACACTTGAGGCCGACTAGTGTCTGACAAACATACAAATACATCTGTTTTGGTTCGGGTGTTTTGTCGGGTGAAAGCCGGCAGACACTGCGCCCTGCTAAACACATTCCCACGTGAGGATAAAGACCGTCGCTGGTTAGTGGTGCAAACATAAAGCAAGTGCCAATAATGTGATTCCTTCCACTTATTATCCCTGCGGTAACTCAATAAGACAGTGTAATTATAATCAGTTAAAAGAGGGTCTCCTATTCCCTCGCAATCGAGTAGTCCTAAGCATGGACAGTGTGAAGAAATGCATGTGTCCTTAGCATACGCGATTCATGCAAGCCTTGTGAGCATGCACACCCGATATACACGACTACAGACAAGACAATCAGTATTGTGGCTGAAACAAGATCCTACGACAATGAATGAATCTGAGACTGTGTCACGGTGCCAGGACCATATTGTGTGCGAAAGCATCAACAGTTCAGTATATCATTTCTTTCTTCCTTGAGATAGTATATGAATAGGAAGTTCGAACTCATTTCACGTACACTCCTGACATCGCGGTGCAAGGCCACAATCCGGAGCACAGATCCCAGCGCCTGGAGTTCAGATTGATTGGCGCTGATTGCCGTGGATAGTTCGCTTAGCTGAACGGCGAACCAGCGCTTCAGCATCCGCCCTTCGTCCCCGTTCGATGCCACATATGCACTTGGCGAATATAACGGGGCAGGCTGTACTCGTCCACTAGCGGGTTTTGTCAGTCTAGCAAAATAGACTCGACTTGATGAATGTAAACATAAATCTCGTGATGATGTTGTGGTCTCCCTTTTCCTAAAACTTCGAGCATAAGGAGCAACTTGCTCGTGGCTCGAAGTCCAGAGGCATCTTCAGCTTGTAAGTAGCCGAATATGTGAGCCTGTGTCACAGTCGTTTGCGCGTGACAGTGAACAGTGGGCACAACCGTGTCACCACCATAGCTCGTATCCATGGCCGAGTCCGAGTCACTCCTCGCACCCAAACAGCAGGAGGTATGTGTCGCAGGAGGTATGGGCACCACACGTTGGCTGACAAAATTCTTGCAAGAAGCGAAGATCGCGCACCACCACCTCGTCACATTCACCCTTGCCATCTCACACATTTGTCCGCATAAGCGAGGATTATGCCGTGGAGTCCCAATTCTTCGGCTGGCTTGTCACCCTTGACAAAGTTGCCGACATCGACCTTCGTATAGATTGCAATCCCTTGACCCATGAGGACACTGATTTGGCTCAGAAGGCTGCCTGTGGAGGCGCACTCACCTGGAAGCTGAAGCAATTGACCAACATCAACACCATTAGGGTCAGATCTGCTTATGCAGATTATGATGTGGACCGGGCACTCAAAAATAGTGTCTTCGATGCTGTCGAGGTCATATCGTGCTATGAACGAGGTATCCTTTGGCCGCCAACAAGGGCACAATATGACGAACTACTCTCGATATTGAAAGAATTTGGAATTGAGGAGGTGAGTGGACGGTGGTTTGTTCAGAGGGATGTGGGTCTGGCCGTCACGAAGAAGTATGGCATCAAATAGTCATGATATTACTATTTGGCAGGCGTAGCAATTGCAGAGTCCTATGATGTGCAATTTCTTTCGCGTGTCCTCTGTTCTCACATGCGACTCGCTCTAGTCCCGCGCGCTATGCTCCAGCATGGTCCCAAAGAGCAAAGATGGTGATCCACGAAGAGTAATAATATCATATAGAACATGTAGCATGAATATGCTATATTACATGGTATGTGCATGAAGACTGAAATTCGACTATACAGTGCATGGGATTCCGATGATGAAAATGCGATGTTGAGTATCATACCTACCAATTACAATACCTACCATTCCGATATGTGAATCAACGCGAGAGACATGCCAGAGTGGGTATCAACGCTTCCTATAGCGTCCTCCACGACTGCAGTGACCCCATCGTCAGACCAGGCACACATGGCAAACTACGGCATAGCACGCACCTGGCTTCAACCTCGACCCTTTCCCGTTTCCGCTCATGCATCTCCCGAGCCTTCTCATTGATCGCACTGGTCTCCTGCGTATCAGGGAATCCGATCTCCCAGTAGCCTGGAGGTGTCAGCGGACGCTCCCACTGCTGACGATGCCTCGAAATCTCTTGCCGATGCTTGGCAATGGCTTGCTCCTGTTCCGCCTCGTCCGCATCAATGTCCAGATCGACGGAGGTGAGTTGCTCCGAAGACAGCGCCTTTCCTTTACCCTTGCCAGACGGACTAGCCGCAGCGTCTAGATGTTTGTGACCAGAGCGAGCGGTGCGCTTGGAGGGAGTTGACTGGGGAGATTTCCACAGAGGTGCCTGCAGACGAGCGGGAAGGGGCCCTACGGCCTCGTAATACTGACGATGCCGTTCATGAATATCTTGAAGAGACGAACGTGGGGAGCGACAGACCTCGCGACAGCATTCGCAGTCAAACGCGTGCATATGCTTCCTCTGCTCTTTATTCCTCACAACTTCATTAAATTGGTGCTTCAACCCGCCATTCTGCTCCGTGTCAATTTCGTACAGCGCGTTGATCGTGGTCGGCTTGGTGCTGGTAGCAGCATATAGTCGGTCATTCAACGAGGCAATGGACTCGAGATGAATATCATACCTGGTACTGGCGGCATACCGCCCCCTGCCCTTGTATGCAGAGTAATCCTGTCGACGTCTCTTCCTCTTGCTAGGACTGTCCTGATTCTCCTTGTCCTTCCGTGGAGTCGATGGGGTACTGGAGGGCGTCGTTCGCCTCTTTTTGGGCGACCGAGGAGTTGAGTGCGTGGACGATGATCGCGCAGAGAGGTCTCTCGCGGGCAGCGGCTCGGGTGTGGTGCGGGCAAGTGGGGAAGCTGGTTGGACAAGTATCTGTTCGCCGCCATCAGCGCGTGCGACGACGATACGGCGAAGGCCAGGCTGGGTCCCATAGACAGGAGCAGGAGCTATATGTGGCGCGGCCATTCAGTTCTCCAAAGCCACGAGTGAGAGCCAATATAACTTACCCTGCGAGTCCTCTTCTGTTTCTGAGGACGGAGGATGGACAGCTTTCCGCTTCTGGCTTTTCCGCTTAGAAGGACAACTCTTGGAAGGAGACGACTGTAGGTGGCGCTCCGTGGCTGTCTCAACGGGGGATGCTCTTCGCGCAGCCGCAGAATCTATAGTACTGTTGCGAGCTTCCAAGAACCTCGCTGTCAACGAACTATGCTGCTGCTTCGCAGGACTGACCATGTCCTCGAAAGCAGACGCGTCCACATCCCGATCATCTACAGTGGATCAATGTGAGTGAGAACTAATCACGGTATCCGTAGGCCGAACACAAACTTGTAGGCGGCGTTACAGTCCCGCTCGCCAAGTCGCCTTGCGCACGCGTAGATGACTCTCCCAATCCAGGCGTGTCTGCCTCAGGGCCGTTCTTTAAATAATGCTTCCGCATTTTCAACACGCGTTTCCAGTTCGGCGTCTTCCCGTCCATCATGATGCTTGAAAGCGACGCCTCCTGCTCGTCAAACATCCAACGCTTGAAATTCCGCCACTTGGTGTAATCTGCCTGGTACTTGGCATCGTCGCACTCCTTCGCCTTCCGCAACGCGTCGTATTTCCTCTGTAGATCGCGCAGTTCGCCACTGAGGAGCAGCGAGTCGTTCGAATCGGGAAAGGTCGCTCGTTGCGGTAACGGAGAAGAAGGAGGCCCTGGGCTCGAAGGAGGTAATTCGCCCGCTCGGCGTACACGCGGAACAGTAGCATTGCGAGGTGTCACGTCATTCAGTGCTCTGAAGGAATACTATATCAGTGTATATTCAGTAAAGCCAAGCTTGACGGATGAATATTGTGGGTGGCACAATGACATGCGCATACACAACCCCCAAAGACAGCGAGCGACAGTCGGCGACAGTCAATGAACCACATCCAGATGTTCTTGCCGAATGAATGCAGGTAGACGGTGAACATACCTCTTCTTTATTGTTGCGGAGGGAGTGGGGAGACCAGTCGAAGATGGGACAAGGCGCGACACGGGAGTGGACTTGCTTTCCCATTCGCGCAGTGTGCTCTCTAAGCGTGCCTTCTCATGATGTGCTGCAGTGAGTTCCTCTCGAAGTTTACTGTTTTCCTTCTGCAACTCTTCGATCTCAAGCGACGCCTCGCCAAGCGCTTCGCGTGATTCCGCCCCGAGCTGGATGTGTTTGGCAACTTGCAGTTCCAGAGACTGTATTTGGGAAGCGCTCTTTTCAATGAATGCTCGGTGGTAGACCTCAGGCCTCGCTTCTACTGCGGTTTCGGCTTCGTCCAAATCTGCAAAACCCAATTGACTCGCTAAGTGATTCCCTCTGTTGGACAAGGCAAATATCTCGGCTCTAAGGTCGTCGCTCGCATACTTCTGCCTTCTAACCTGTCAGTACGCACCAGAGTCAATTGAGAATACACAAGCATATTATAAGCGACGACACCTTCTCTTCGAGTTCTTTGATCTGCTGCCTTGACGGAGGTCCTGGGCCCTTCTTACCCGAAGACTCCGCCATAACTATAGAGCAGTATCCCCCTGTTCTCCTCGAGGTTCTCCGGAAATATAGATAGCTGGAAGACAAGTAGGGTGATAGTCAAAAGGTAAGATTGAAGGATACGGTCGTCGACAATGACAATGACATCGTTCCCGTCGCGATCACGTGCGACAAGTGACGCGCGACGTTATGTGCGGCATATGTATGCGCGTGCTCATTTTTCATGCCTCAATACACGCTCAGCAGTCCGCGGTTTCGGCATTCGTGAATCACCACCGATGACCCGTACAAATCATGCACTAGATGCTTGAGTCGTTGAACCTCGAATTTGATGTCAAGCATCAGCGTTCAGCGACGCCTAGCATGTAAGCAGCTGTCTCTACAACTAGATACTCGATATCGAAGATGTCCAATCCACAATCGATGTCATTGGTCATTGACTAGTATACAATAACTTTCGTCTACGCATTCGCACCGCTCCTCTAGCAATTGTACAAACACAGTTGTTAATATCTTAATCCTTAATCATCTTCGCGTCAAGCCCAATAGCGAGCTAGGTGTTTCAACCTGTGCGCTAGGAAAATGCATCCTCCTGACACCCTCACCCTCCCTCCCTGCACTCGCGGCAGCAGCGGCAAATGGCGCATCAGCGGGCCTCGGCAGCGCCATCGCAGGAAGCACCGCGCATGCCCTCGGCGCCGACGCAGACATCCCCGGTGACGAGCTCATCTGCAGTAGCAGCGATGCTGCGGTCTCATCCTCGGGTGTCCACGTCGGCGAGCGCGATGACACGCTCGCACGGCGCCCGGTTGATTGCGGGGACGGCGGGGCCCCCGCACCGAGGGGGTGCGCGGGAGCAGGGAGGGCAAGTGTTGGGACAAACCCCGCGGAGCTCGATGAGCGAAAGCGGCCCGAGGGCGGCGGCGAGGGCAGCTGGGCGGGCGATGTGCTCGGGTTGGGGCCTGCGAAGGCGGCAATGCAGCTCGGATCAACGTATGGGTGTGGCAGCCATGATGCGATGGGCGGCAGGCGGGGTGAAGCGGACGGGCGAGATGCTGACGTTGTGAGGATGGGAGAGGCTGTGGCGCTGGTGAGGGGGCCTTCGACCTCGCCCTTCTCGCTGTCGTCAGCATACACATCTTCGTCTCGGTTGATTTCGACGGCCTCTGGTTCGGGGTCGAAGAGGGATGCTTCCGCAAGATCATCCGCGGCGCGCTTCCGCTTAAGGCCTGGAGCAGACGTCGAGGGTGCTTCGCGGGCGCATCTGGGACATTCTCCTTCCTCCAGCACCCTCACTTTCTCGATCAGTTCCTGCATATAAATGACGGTCTTTACGAGGACGTCAAGCTTGAACTCCTTCTCTTCCGTCTTGACCCTGCCTTTTTCGGGGTCCAGCCAGCCCTCTTTCGCCGCAGCTTCCTCGCGAGCGTTTACGAGGGCACTGAGTGTCGCCAGAGCCTCGTTGATCTTCGTGCGGCGTGCCTTCTCGATACGCGAGTGGTTCAGTTTGCGCTGCGTTTCCCGCGCAGAGCGTGACATCCCGCCGGCCCTGCGACCGCGGCGCCTAGGCGCACTTGCACGCGTGCTGGGCTCATATTCCTCTTCGTCTGCAGAGTCACTCTCAAGCCCGTCGGGGGCAGGAGAGTCGCGCACGGGCAACGGGTCCTTGGGCAAGATGGGGGGGCGTGCACGCCTTGGGGCACTTCTGCCAGTTGTCGTCTGCTCGGAGGAGAGGGTGTCGGCGGTGTCTGTTGTGTCTGTGCGCGCCCGCTTCGCTCGTCGCGGGGGATTGCAACTGCCCGCGTACTGGGGGAGCGTGTCTTTGGGGGCAGGCATGTCGAGATGGGGGTGTAGAGGAAAGGGGCGGGATGCGCACACGACCTACCCGGAGACGTACTGGCGGCATAAATACATGGAATGATGTGAATCCACCCAAATCCATTTCCATTCCCGACAGCCCCTGCGCTGGTGATATGGAGGGCCGATCGTGTCTGCGCCGATTGGTCGTGTGCGCAGAAACGTGCGCTGCGAAGTCGCAGGGGCGTCGCACGACCACAGCCTCGCACGCTGATTGGCTCGTCCTCAATGCACGTGCGGCGCTTGTTTCCTATCTTCCCGCCCAAAGTGGCGGAGGCGCTTCTGGGCACCAGTGCTCGTGTGGTTCCTGTTGGCAATTGCACCTGTATGTACAACTTCTCTCGCATGGGCGAGGAAGTGCGAGTGCCCGCCGCGTCAGGAGCAAATCCCCCTGTATCGTCACGCTGAAGAACGAACGTCGCATCGGCCCACGACGCCAAAGTGTGGCGATATCCACAGGTTGTTGCAGCAAACGTTGCTCTCCTACTTAAGAAGCTCTGTGTCAAAGCGAAAACCTACCACGTACTGCCTGGTCCACGTTCCCAGATGCCCCGTAACTTTGCTGCGAAGTGCTATCGCGAGAGGCTGAGGCGTGAGATCACAGAGCGTGCTAGTCGTAGTGGCTGCGAGGAGCAAGGCATTGTATTGGTCGATATGCTTGAGTCTACCTTAGCGCCGATTGGGATGGTATTGAGGCGACCATATTATGCCACTCCGGACACCGCCTTGCATATAGGTAAACCAGAGCAGCTATGTCGAGAGTGCATGTCAGCAGACGTTCGCGCGCAGTGGCCGCGAAGGGCTGGTGTGGAAGGCATTCTCGGGTTAGCGCATCGATTCCCTAAAATTACCAAGACGCCGGCAGACCTCCGCTGTGGAAGTACAACAGGGCAATGTGACCACGAGAGATGATGACTCACCATATTCCAAGCCCAGGTTCTGCTCGACGCTTCGAAGGAGCTTCTGACCGCTCTGACGGGATGAACCCTACGTCCTACGAACGTGGCCGACTGTCAGTGCAAAAAGCGCCTGATAGAAGACAGCAGCACTTACACATAATAGTACGTAGAGGGTAATTATGTTCGCTGACGAATGATGACCGTGCTCTTCCGAACGCTCATGCGCGCGGCAGCACTGTTGAGGCTGAAGAGCATATGGAACTGCTGATACAACGTAGAAGGCATTGTGGATGCTTAATCACAATGTCAGCTGAGACTACCAGGATAGCAGTGACAGTTTGGGCCATACATAATCTATCGTCACACGGGCCAGTATTGCTCGGTCCTTAAAGCCAGCAAAGGGGCTTCTTGACCGCATACATCCATCCATAAATAAAAGAACGTAAGGAGTATGCGCGGCATCCACGCGAATCACTTCTCTGGAGTAGGAACGAAAAGACCAAGGTTCATACCGTAGACCGCATTTGCGTATCTCCTCAGCTCGCAGGCACACCATGGTCAGCCTGCTTCAGGTCTGTATTCCAGAACCTGCTTGATGGCCCGCAAGCATCTATTCACCACAGTGGACGAGAAGAGGCCGCAAATATGCTTGGACACCATCGAGGGTCCGTGGCACTTCAGACTCTCGACGTGTCGTGAGTGGCCCTGCATCTTGGAGCTCCCTTTGCTCCGTCAATATGAATCTGAGCCGGTGAACGTCACCCCGGAATGTCCAGGCGATGAAGAACTACGCCAAAAAGCAAGTTCAGCCCAAGGCCAGTCCAGAAAACGTCCCTCGATGTACTCCATAGCCAGATACGAGTTACCATTATGTTCAAAGAAGCGCAATGGATTTGACGATTGCAAGGGAAACATGGCGCATATGTCTTATAGAGGACTTACAACGAATGTCCAGCAATGACGACTGGTCGTATAACTTAAAGATCTCGTCATTTGAGAACGACTCTTCCTACCACATCTCAGTCTAGGCAGCACATTTTAGAAGCGCAAAAAATAGGGCTTTTCATTGAAGAGAACCCACATTGAAATCTGATCCCAGGGTCGCGGCGAGCCTACTACATCATGAGCAGGGATCTACACGGAAACCGGAGAACATCAGTTCCTGACATGCACGGGGAATACTGTACAGCGTGAAGTAATGAGCTTGGAGGCCGCTCCCCTAAATAGCTGCAGTAGGCTGCAAGCACGCATTTGTCTCATATCAGAACTCAATCGAAGCTTGTCTAGTTGCGAGTTGAATCCAAGGAAGAAGAAACGTGGACCAGGGTCTGTGGACCGCCGTGCGCCCTGTCACATTGAGCACGGGTCCGTGACAGAGCGCGTCACGCCTGCCCTGAAGTTCATTTCGCGCGCGACGCGTTGTTCTCTCCCCCAGCATTTGGCCTCTCAATCTCTTGCTGTGCTTTCAGACGCCGATATGTCTTCTCCACCGCAGGATTTTTCCTCTTCTGATGCCGCGGACGTCGATATGCAAGACCAGTCCGTTTCCGGCGCACCGTCCGCTCAACCACTTTTCTTCGCGTCCACTCCTTCAGCCGCAGGGACACCAGCGCGTCAGCGAGTGGGAACCCCAAGTGCGATGTCCAGCGTCATGGCCCGTAGAGCCCTAGGGATGAACACGCCTAGGCGGCAGCAGCCGCTTTTTGAAGGTGTGTTTAATCTCTGGCGCACGCACGGTGTGTTGTTCACAGGCAACGCTGCAACGCAACAGCGTCGAGTTCATCCCCGATGGCGTTCCCTAGCTCTCCAACCAAACCTAGAACACCAGCGCGTAGCCGTGGCTTCGTCTTGGACTCTGACTTGCCAGGCTCCGCGCCTGACTCGGAGCCGCTAGATTTTCCGACGTGAGTTACTTCCACCCTTCATGCACGCTTAACCACCTACGCATTCCATAGCACACCAACCAGCTCTTCTACGCTCAAGAATCGTCGAGGAGATATACACTCCTCACTCAGTATCACGCCCGTCGCAGCTTCTCGTCGTGCGCGTCGAGCGCAAGGTCTTCAGGATGGTGACCTCGACTCTGACGGAACCCATCTCTCCATGCCGGCCTCGTCTGCTCCTGCCCTTTCGGCTCCGACTGTACCATCTGATGAGCCTGACGAAATCCGCGCGATATGGGGCACGACTGTTAACATCAACGAAACTATGCAGACGTTCCGCAGTTTCCTCCTCGACTTCAAATTGAAGTACCGTGTCGCATACGATCGCGACCGTGGCGTACGCACTCGTGTTCTTGCGACACCGGAAGAAGGAGAAGCGCGCCTCTACGTGAGCTACTTGCGTCGAATGCGCCAGACGGGCGAAACCAATCTTAATTTGGACATGGCGAACCTTTCTGCATATCCACCAAGTCGCAAGCTGCACAGCCAGCTGACGAAGTATCCGCAGGAAGTGATTCCGGCAATGGACCAAGTGTTGAAGGACCTCATGCTGGAGGTCGCAGACCAGGATCAGCAGGCTGGGATGGCCGGGATGCAAGGACAACAAGGTGAAGAAGAGATCGCAGATATTATGAGCAAGGTATATAAAATACGTCCCTTTGGCATGCCCGCCATCAACATGCGCGACCTCAACCCAACAGGTATGCAACATATTGCATGCCGCCCCCATGTCATTGAACAGATATGCAGATACCGACAAGCTCGTGTGCATCAAGGGTTTGGTTATTCGTGCGACGCCGGTGATTCCAGACATGAAGGTCGCCTTCTTCCGCTGTCTGAAGTGCAACCACACCGTGCAGGTCGAGATTGACCGCGGAAAGATTGACGAGCCTGCGCTCTGCCCGCGGGAAGTCTGTGCCTCCGTCGGCACGATGTCGCTCGTGCACAACCGCTGTGAGTTCGCGGACCGCCAGGTAATCAGGCTTCAAGAAACCCCCGATGCAGTGCCCGATGGGCAGACGCCGCATACAGTCTCGCTCAGCGTGTACGACGAGTTGGTAGACGTGTCTAAACCGGGTGACCGGCTGGTCGTTACGGGCATCTTCCGGAGCGTGCCTGTCCGCGTGAATCCGCGGCAGCGCACGATTAAGAGCCTCTTCAAGACGTTCTTGGATGTCGTACATGTGCGACTAGGCAGCGGTGATAGGCTCGGTCTCGACAGAAGCACGCGTACCACCGGCGGGGACAGGGTCCCTGGCGTCGGTGGCGTTGGCGGTGGCGCTGATGACGAGGACGAGGACAATGCTGACGACCGCGAGCAGGGCATGTCGCGGCGCGAGGAGATGGAGATGAAGCTGCGGGAGCTCAGCCAGCAGCCAAATATTTACGATCTGCTGGCACGCTCCCTCGCGCCGTCTATCTGGGCGATGGACGACGTAAAGAAGGGCATTCTACTGCAGTTGTTTGGCGGTACAAACAAGAGTATCGCGCGAGGTGGAGGTGCCGGTGGGCCAAGGTATCGCGGGGACATCAACGTCTTGTTGGTCGGTGATCCTGGTGTGAGTAAGTCACAGATCTTACAAGTAAGCAAGTCTTTTTTCGACAAGCACAACAAGTGGTTGATGAGGTTCTGTTAGTATGTCCACAAGATCGCCCCACGGGGCGTATACACATCGGGCAAGGGATCCTCCGCTGTCGGTTTGACGGCATATGTCACTCGAGACCCAGACTCCAAGCAGCTTGTGCTCGAGAGGTGGGTTGTCTTGTATCCCAATTGTACAGCTCACTGAAGCAACTATAACAGTGGAGCACTTGTCCTGAGTGACGGAGGTGTATGCTGCATTGACGAGTTCGACAAGATGTCAGATGCAACCCGCAGCGTGCTTCACGAAGTCATGGTATGTTTGCAGCTTATACAGTATACTTTCCTAAGTTTCTCATTGTGAGTACAGGAGCAGCAAACTGTGTCCATTGCAAAAGCTGGGATCATCACGACTCTCAACGCTCGAACGTCAATTCTCGCCGCAGCGAATCCCATCGGTTCGAAATATAATAGAAACGACACTATCACGAAGAACATCGACCTTCCTCCTACACTCATCTCACGTTTCGATCTGCTGTACCTTGTCTTGGACGAGGTGGATGAAGCTCTTGACCGTAGACTAGCCCAACACCTTGTCGGGTTGTACCTCGAGGATGCACCGGAAACTGGTGGGCAGGATATTTTGGTACGTAAATGCTCTCCTTGAGATTACTCCTTGCTGATCTACCGTTCTCCTAGCCATTGGATCAACTATCCGCCTACATCACGTACGCACGGTCGAGAATGAATCCTGTCATCACCGAAGAGGCTTCGGACGAACTCGTACGCTGCTACGTGATCCTGCGCAAGGCGGGCGACGATCCGCGCTCGAACGAGAAGCGTATCACCGCTACGACACGGCAGCTAGAGAGTATGATCCGGCTATCCGAAGCCCATGCCCGGATGCGTTTCTCGCCATTCGTCGAGCTCGAGGACGTCAAGGAGGCATACCGGCTCATGCGCGAAGCAATCAACACGAGTGCCCGCGACCCCACAACGGGCGAAATCGACATGGGCCTGCTGGACACCGGTGTCGGGCGGCAGCAGCGCAAACTGCGCGGAGATATGCGGAAGGCGGTGCTGGTAATGCTGGATGGCAGCGCAGGGGGGACGCGGGGCGTCCGTTGGGCGGACGCATTGCAGCAGCTGGAGAGCCAGAGCTCGGTCCGCATCAGTTCGGCGGAGTTCCAGCAGGTCATTCGGGAGCTGGAACAGGAGGGCCTGGTCAAAGTTGTCGGCGAGCGGGAGAGGCGGATGATTCGTCGTGTGGAGGGTGCATGAGCAAAAACATGATGTCTGTTCGTTTTGTTTAGCAGTCATGTCTGTATTGTCCTTTTTGTGTACTTGGTTCCTTGCTGTCGTAATGGCTCAACAGGAGAAAATGTGGCAAATGCTACTTGCCTGCTTCAGACCTTCTCAGGCAAAATGTGACTTGAGCTACATAGGAACTCATCAACTTCCCACCCCGAGCAGTTTTACTGGTCACGTACTCGTAATGTACCGATACTGCAATAAAAAAGGGAGACGAGACGTCACGATTCCTCGAGGGATGATGACAATGCCGCATCGCTGGAAGCGTCGCCGGCGACAGCTTGTATCCCGGTCCTAGCCTCCTCTACGTATCCTCGCATGAGGCCTACCACTTTCCGTAGGTTCATACTGTACTTCGCAGAAATGGGGACGACATCGAGCTTGTGTCTCCCGACCACATTCCCCTCGACGTCCTGCACAGCGACAGCCATCTCCCGCTCCACGAACGCCTCCAGCGTTCTGAGCTTTTCCCGGGCCTCCAGCACCGCATCGGCATTCTCCTGGCCTTCAGCGCCGCCCAGCAGGTCGGCCTTGTTCGCGAGCACCATGCGCGCCTTGGGGCTGATCCCGGGCTTGTACATCTCGATCTCGTCTCGGAGCACGCGCAGGTCGTCCCATGGCGCGGGCGACGACAGGTCGACAACGTACACGAGCGCGTGCGAGCGTTCGATCGACCGCAGGAAGGAGTGCCCCAGGCCGACATTCAACGACGCCTCCTCAATCAGGCCGGGATTATCGGCGACCGTGAACCGGAATGCTTCTAGAGCAGTATGGCGATCCTCCTCGCCTGCAGCATCGTGTTCTAGCCGCTGATTCCGCGTCGCCGCGTCGGCGAGCGCACCGCTCTCCAGCATCTCCCTATCGCGCTGCTCCTCGACCCGCGTCTCGTCGTAGACCCGGCCCTCCGAGCCGTCGAAGCTCCCGTCGTCCGCAACCCGGATGACAGCAACCACCGGGTTCAGCGTCGTAAATGCATACCCTGCGACCTCCGTCCTCGCGCGCCCGCCCGAGAGCGCGCGCAGGAGCGTGCTCTTCCCCGCGTTCGGCATCCCGACAAGCCCCACGTCCGCGAGCAGCTTGAGCTCGAGCGACAGCGACACGCGCTCGCCGTCGCACCCGCGGGTCGCGAACTTCGGCGAGCGGTTCGCCGCGGAGAGGAAGTGCGGGTTGCCGACGCCACCAGTCCCGCCCGCCGCAATGAGGTGCCCCATGGGCTCGTGGCGCCGCGAGCCCAGCGGCGCGTTCGGGTCCACTGCGTCCTCCGCCTCGTCTGGCCGATCGAGGTCAAGGTAGATAGACTGTGCCTGGCGCTGGCGACGATGCCAGCGGCGCTCGCGCTCCTCGCGGACCAGCGCACGCTCGGCGTCGCGGAACGTGTCGCGCCCGACGTTTTCATCCTCGTGCATGGGGTAGTGCACCCAGCGGCGCTCGCGAATCTTCTTCTTGCGCTCCTCCGGGTCGAGCTCCTCCAGCGCCTCGGCCTCGGCTTCGTACTCGTCCTTGCTGCGGCGCAGGTCGTCGCGCGGGAGCTCGCGCACGATCGTGCCCAGCGGGACCTTGATAACGAGTGGCGGGGCGTTCTTGCCGTGTTGCCACGTCCCTTGGCCGTTGCCGCCGGGCGGACCACGTATTCGTGTGGGCACGGACGAGAGCGTCGTGAGATGAGGCGACGCTTGGATGTAGACATCAGCCCCGCGTCCGCCATTTCCGCCGGACGGAGGACCGTACGGCTTGAACTTTTCGCGGTGGAATGCGACACACCCATCACCGCCCCTGCCTGAGAGGATGTTTCAGCAGAGGACCCAAAGCAAGCGGGCTGCAAGGACAGACCACCGCGGACATGAACTATGACATGGTCGAGGAATGATTGACCCTATAGCTCAGTACTTAGAATGCATCAGGTCAAATGGAATGATGACTCGTGAAGAAGTCATCATGAGATGCTTACGCCTTGTCGCCGCTTGTATTCTGTCCTTCGCTTGCGTCTCAGCGCGTCTTGGGACAGTTCATTGTCCTCGACTTCGTTCGATGGTTCCGTCGATGATTCCGTCGACATACAGACTGCTTGGTTGGTTGCGCATACTGAGCGCAGGAGGCTGCCATGGCATTTATATAGCTGTTTTGTCGTGCCCAAGAGGTTCAACAGCGTCATGCAGCTCGATTGTTACGGTCGCAGATGACAGGAAGAAAGAAGCGCGCGTAGGACGGCGAGCGCCTCTTGCGAGAACGAAGGACACTCGAAAGGTGATCGCACATCTCAGGGGGCTGCACATCAATTGCAATGGCTGCAACGTAGACTCCAGACATGTAAGTAGTAGTGTCACAACTATCTTATGCCATATTTTTCCTTGATCTCCAGACCCACGCTTCTCTCAACAAACCACCGTCCACTCGCCTCTTCGATTTCGCAGTCCTTCAATATCGAGACCAGTTCGTCGTACTAGGCTCTTGTGGGAGGCGAAAGGACACCTCGCTCGTAGCACGATATCACGAAGACGGCATCAAAGACGCTATCCTTGAGTGCCGGGTCCACGTCGTAGTCTGCATAAGCAGACCTGACTCTAATGGTCTCGATGTCGGTCAATTGTTTCAGCTTGAGGGCAACAACGCCTCCACAGGCAGCCTTCTGAACCCAATGAAGGTCCTTATGGGTCAAGGGACTGCGATCTATACGAAGGTCGATGTCGGCAACTTGGTCGAAGGTGACAAGCCAGCCGAAGAACTGGGACTCCACGGCATAGTCCTCATTAATGCGGACAAATGTGTGAGGTGGCAAGGGTGAACGCGACGAGGCGGTATTACGCGAACATGGCTTTTTGTAAGAATTCCGTCAGCCAAGGTATGATGTTCATAATTCCTGACGAGGCGACACATACCTCCTGCTGTTTGGATGTCAGGAGCGACTCGGACTCAGCCATGAATACGAACTATGGTGTGACACGGTTGGTCCACTATCCACTGTCACGCGCAAACGGTTGTGACACAGGCTCGTCGACAAGCTGAAGAAGCCGCCGTCCTGTCTCTAGACATCAAGCCACGAGCAAATTGCTCCTTATTCCATGTCCTCATTCATAAGACTCACAAATCTAGGAAAAGGGAGACCACAACATCAAGGCGAATACATTTTTGCTAGAACGACGCAGAACATTTGCCAAGCGCGTATGTGGCACGAAGGGCGGAGCGCTGAAGCGCCGTTCAATTCGTCTCAGCCTAAGCGAGCTGTTCACGGCAATCAGCGCCGATCAATCTGAACTCTATGCGCCGAGATCTGAGCTTGGCATTGTGGCATTACCACAACTTGCACAGCGAAATCAGCACGGTATGTGGAATGTGTTTGAGCAGCTCGCGGATGCATCTGCTCAGAATGATGTTAAAATCAACCTCAACATGGAATCGTGGTTTCAGCTGACGGACATCACTACATTTCGATCCGTTGCTGTGACAGTTTCCAACCAGCCTGAGGGTGCCTTGCAGTTCACGAGACACGCCTCAGAGATTCTGTCAGTATGTTGGAGCACTATGTTCCGTGGTACGTCCTCTTCTCTAAATATTTGAAGCAAGGAAAAACTTATATGCCGAACTGTTAATGCTGCCCAGCACGCAATGTAGTCCTGCAAAATTGAACATTTTCGTGCCTGAGAGCTTGCCGTTCCAGCCACAATAATAGGTTCCTTCCCTGCTATTGTGCATTTTGGAAACGAGCTCACATGACCTTCGTAAATTGCTACTGTGGCAGAACTTCCAAGACATCGTGGCCGGCTCGGACAGGCATGTACACGACTCACGGGATGATCACATATATTCACAGAAGTGTCTTGTCATACAGAAGTTCCTGTCTGGATTACACGTATGCCCGTCGTTCTATCCCCACTGAGACCTTGCCGCGCTTCATGACCCGGGACCTTCTACTTACGAGTGTCTCACAGGCTGCGAGAAGGACACTGTTCCAGCTGATGAGCCAAGATCCTTGCAGTGATCTCCTCGAGGGTGCCGGCGGAGATGATACGCGAGGTCCACCAATCGGGGGTATTCTTATGTTCTCGTTTTGCTATGAGCATAAAACGTGCCACTCGGATATGTGGACCGGATGTACCAGAAGATCTCCTCCAGGCGTACATTACACGACACGGGCCTCCGAACCAATGCGTTCTGGGGTTGTTTAGCGTGCCTCACTATGGAAGCATCTGGGTGTATGCTGACCGAGAATTCAAGTCCCGCTCGCCATGCGGCACAGAAGACTTGACGTTGGGCTAGCGTTGGTCTCACGAGTAACGGCCCGCGAACGTCGCGGAGCGATGACTATACGGCTTCACAGTCGCGAACAGGGGCCTCAAAAGATCCAACGAAGCAAGTGACCAGGTTAGCTTACAAAAGAAGACTACTCTAGGACGACGCTATAATGTTGCGCACGCATAGGTAAGCCACATTGGATTCGACGCACGTCTCTCGCGGGTCATTCGTATTTGAGAACAACGAAGGTGCCTTATGAGAATACATGTGTAATAGTGCGGCGACACCCATTCGGCTTCTAGGTCTCTCTACCCACGCGCACATTTCGGGCTGATGTTGCAGAGTACGGAAGAAATGACTCGTTAAGTGAACTGAACCGAGGTAGTGGGATATCAGTCCCTGAGATCTGAGATGCCTTGACAATTTTACAAGTAGTGATCGTCTCTATCGTACGCTGTGCAGCGCCTCATTACAACCAAGAGTCTCCCATTCGTCTCACTACAGAATCCTTGCATTGCATCAACTGATGCATCATCCTGACTAGATTCTCACAGAGCACCGAGTTCACGCTTCACAGGATCCTAATATCCCGGTTCAGCCATGCATGCTGCACGCAGTCTTCTATCGATGAGATCAGACGGTAGCATTATTGCGATGCTTCTACTATATGATGATCTTCTTGGCCATTGCCATTTGCGCTTGCCCATTGTTCTTGCATGACTACACGCCTTCAGCTAGAATCACGTTAGGTGATCTAGACAGTGTCGTAATCTGCGCTGAGGCCGCCTGTGCCGCCGATTGTCCGAACTGCGGTCTCCTTCAGACGACCCATTCTCATCGGGATTCGGACCCAATACTAGAGGGATGAATGGTCAATGCCGCACGCCCGGCGGTAATGCTTATTTCCTATCATCTGTATGGACTGGACCCTATCGATGAGACCCTTGGGGTGCGATGGGACAACGTAACAATAAAAAGGAAGGTCACTGGAAGAACCTCCGGTTCACGATGAGGGCTCGACGCAACTATTGGTGACAGAGACAAGTGTCAACTCAGCTGAAGGACACACGCTTTTCTCCACACTATCTGCGTTCTCAGGACCAGTGAATTCCGACATCTGAAACAATTCAGATGGCCTTAGCAAGTTCTCCAGACTGAGATACGAAGTGCGGGAACTAATGCCCAGATTGAGCGCTTGAGCCATGACGCCCACACAGACAAACATTGACTGCTTCCTGAAGCGTCCAACACGTGCCTCCTACACGCTTGTCTCAACACGACCCTCAGTCATAGGTAGCTACACAGAAAATTCGTGCGTTGCTCTCGACTTACTAACATTGCAGCGCAAAGCACCCGATGCGATCATTCAGCTTCAGTGTCGGCCTGAGTGGTCTACGTCCTTTCTCATGGTTCAGGCAGACGGTCCCTCAACCGGAGCTTGACAGTAAAGTAAGTGCTGTCTACGCGTAGCTCATGAGAAAGCTCAGACATACGCGCACAGAGCGAGTTATGGTGGGAGGAATCTCTCTCCGACCAAGAGATCTTTGAGCTATGCAAGAAGTCTCCAGAACTGCGCATTCTCGGCTCTTCCCAACCCCGTCTGCAACCTCCACCTATTTTCATCATATCACCTCGTGTAATTGTCAAAACGGGCTGGTATAAGCTTGGGGAATTCGAATCTCGCGCGATGGAGATCGCTCGCGCTCAGACATCGATCCCCGTTCCCAAACCATTGCGCATATTCAAACGTGGTGACACGTTCTTCCTGGCTATGGAATACATCAAAGGGCGCTCGCTCGACTGGTGCTGGGAAGACCTCAGCCTCTGGCGGAAGTTCGTCATCGCATGGACGCTCCGTGGCTACATCCGCCAGCTCAGACGCGTACGGACAGAGCAGATTGAACGCCAAATCCCCGGGCCGCTCACGGATGATCTCTCAAAGCCGCTGAAGTGCTTTGGCCCCGCAATGGGTGCTGAGTATCATTGCGGCCCCTTCTCATCTGCCGCAGCGTTGTTCGAATGGCTCAATGGACGCTTGCGGGTCTCACAATACATCAGGGAGCGAAGCCTCGATACCCCGCCGTTTGTGCAGAGAGAGCCGCTGGTCCTTGTTCATGGGGATCTTACTCCGCGGAATGTCGTGCTGGGTGACGACGGGAAGCTATGGTTGATTGACTGGGGTAGCTCGGGGGTTTATCCTCCATGGTTCGAGGCTGGTGGTATGCTCTTCACCGATCCTCAACCGAGTTGGTGGAAATGGGTGCGAAGGTTAGTTGCGGGCTGGTATGCCCGCGACATGTATAGTTATGTAGCCGCGCTGTATGGTATGACCACCGGCTTCTTTGTCCCGGACCCGCTTGTACACAGATACTGATCTTCACACTTGCTATTGCAAGGGTATTGGTGCGGCGTGCCTGATGCTGAGAGAAATTTGAGACACCTGGCATATCGTAATGTATAATGATGCAGGAGCTCCATACTGTAATGTCTGGATTTGCAGAGAAGGCTCATTGTCATGGTCTCAATATTGTGTTTATTGAGGTTTTCACGAGTAGACACCCATCAATCTGAACCGAGCTCCGAGGACCGAGCGGTGCTTGTGCGCTTGAGCTCCCGCGTGCGGCGTAGCAACGACTGCACGCGGAACGAGTTCTAGCAGCTTGCAAGCAGGTGTGCTCTCAATGAATGTGTTGTTATCTTCCCACTGGAAAACCCACTGAAGAGTACGGCGAGAGTCAATGGTCACTGCATGCGCGTTACTTAGATTTGTTGAACTTCGGCTAGGAAGAACTACAATTCACTACGAGACATCCCAGAGGTCAGATGCTTTAGGGTGCTCAATGCGGCCCAGAGATGATCAAGGTTTGTTAGAGAAGTGTCACGGAGTACGGAAGCCCCTATCTGGATATCCGATAATGCATATGTCCGTCTCTTCCTCTCAAATAAGATCTCGCCAAAAATAACTATTGCTGTACGTACGTGTGTTCCGCAGGCTGCGAGAAGGAGTCTGTTCCAGCTGATCACCGAGGCCCTTTGCAGTGGTCTTCCAGAGGACACCGGCGGAGATGAAAAGTCTGGTCTACCGGTTGGGGATGCACTACCGTACTTGTGTTTTCACCTTGTTATGAACAGAATCACAGGATGTCCCGCTCGGAGATACCGTCACCCTGACCATGGTCCAGATGTTCCGGAAGCATACATAGTCTCCTCAAGGCGTATACCAGGCCAAACTCCGAGCCAAAGCTTTCTGAGGTTCTGCGCGTGTCTCTCTGCGGGAGCGTACGCGGACTGAGAAATTGAGGCTCATTAACCACGCGTCAGAGAAGGCTTGATTTGAGTCACTGCAGCGCTGGCTGCGCACGATGTTTTGCATAACTTGAACACATCGAATCATGGCTATGCAGTTTCACAGTTGCGAACAGGGATATAGAACCATACCATTTGCGAAGCAAGTGAGTTGTTCAACGGGGGAAAAGGTTTATTCTAGATGAGCATTTACAGCCGTAGGACAACACCATAATGGTGCGTGCACATAGGTACCCACACTGAAATTGGAGCGTCTCTCGTCATCCAGATCGGAGAACAAAGAAAATGCCCTCTGTGAACACATGTGTACCAGTGTGGCGAAGATCATTCGGATTCTAAATTGCCGTCCACACGCACACTTTGGGCTGATTTTGCAGAGTAGGGGAGATATGACTCTTTGAGTGAATCTAATTAAGATAGTGTAGACGACAAACCCTACGGTTTGGGAAAGTTGTTTTTAATCGCGTTCGTCTCTACAAGCTATTCAGCGCCTCAGCGCAATTAGTAGCTTCCCATATATTTTTTCACCGAATCCTTGCGATGTATCACCGGATTAGCCTCCTGACTGGATCCCGCCAAAAACCTCACACATTACACTGATCAGACGTCAATTAATATCCCAGTTCGACCGTGCATGTAAAGTTTGATCGATAACATTAGACGGTGCCACGGTGCTTCGATGCTTCTGCTACATGGAATCCCTCGTCGCTAGCATTTGCGCTCGCTCGCTTGTTCTTGAATTGTGTCTGAAGAATACACGGTATCAGTGGTCATTTGGTTGACAGTGACATGCTCGGCATCGAAGCTCCATGTGCTACAGTCTCCCATCATCATGGTGGCCGGTCTCAATTGACGGCCTCACTTCACGTAGTACACGCAATGCACATTCAACATATTAGGACCCTTCAAAAAAGCCGCTTAAACTTCGCTGGAAAACAAGCGACGTTTGAGCAGCCAAAAGCAGCGAGCAGAATCTGAGCTACCCTCCTCGAACAGCGAGAAATAAGCGAGTGCTCGTCGCAAGCGCTCGCAGATTCTGGCTTATGGCCATGTCACGCTTGCATGATTCGCCAATCTGATTGGCTCATCAGCCCTTCGCGAGGCCGAGAACGTGATCAAATCACGGCTGCATGACGCTTAGTCATCTGTGACACCTTTCAGCGACCTTCAGCCACATGTGGGCGCTCAACAGCAGCGAAAGGTCGCTTGTTTTCCAGCGAGATTTAAGCGGCAATTTTGAACGGTCCTAATGTGGGCATTAAAAAAGTATGGGTATAGGACACCTTCAAGTTCGAGCATGTGTCCTAAAACCCGGCAGGAGCTGAGCGCATAGGATTGTACGTGGATGATTCCCTTGATCAACGATGTTTGCTGAGCGACTACGCCGCACCGCGGGTGCAATCTCACTGCCATGATTGGCTGGTCAGCCCTTCGCGAGCTGATCAGGTCACGATCGCACGCTTAAGCGACCGTTTTCAGCCACATTTGGGCGCTTCATAATACCACAAAGTCGCTTGTCACTGTCTCGCGGCATTTAAGCGGCATTTCTGAATAGACTTACGATTGATGAATTCCTTGGAAGTCGTGCGTAATTTCAAATTTCATAGTAATGCAGAGCAAAGTGCCTGATGTGAACATTGATCCTCAGCATTCATCGGTTGGCCTGAGCGCCGGCCTGCATCCTCGTTCATGGGTGAATCAGACGGCCGCTCAACCTGAGCTCAATAGTAATGCAAATATTGTCTGCTTGTTGTGTGTAGTGCATAATGAACATGCGTGTATAGAGCAAGACCTGGTGGCAGGAATAATCTACAAACGAAGAAGTACCCGAATTATGCTACTACATCGGAGAATACGAACCTCGTGCGATGGAAGCTGATGCGCAGCTCGGAGGAGGTTGTGTTCCACAATAAATCTGTATCCATTTTGCACGGCTCAGCCGGAGAGTCACTACACTTGATCCCAATTAACTAGTCAGTCTAGCCAACATCTGAACTATCCTAGCCATTGTGTGATCTACTTAGACAGAGACATGGTGGGAAGAAAAGCTGACGGATGAAAAGGTCCTCCGACTTTGCGACACGTTTGCAAAGCCAGAGTCTCTCTACAAATTTACCTTACGTCCGCGACTACTCTTCATCTCCGAGCCTCTTCGAGCCAGTGTCAGGACGGGCATTTACTGGTCACAGGAGCACGAAGCTCGTACAATGAGAATCGCTCGTACCTGGACGTCAATCCCCGTCCTCGGGCCTTTACGTTTCTCCAAGCACAAATGATCTGATTATGGAGTGCGTCAAGAGACACGTACTCGATAATCGCTAGCACAGCATGAGTGTCTGGCGAAAGCTTGTCATCGCATGCACACTCCGAGATTACGTGCGCCAGCTTAGACATCCACGGATTGTACATATTGACGTCCAGGTTCCCGGTTGCTCATAGATGATCCATCGATGCTAGAATGATGATAGGGTCTGGCAACTGGTGAATCCAATTTCCTGGCTCGATGGGAGATTGCGGACTACTAAACGGTCCCACGAATCCCACATGAACTGTCCGCCGTTTGCGGGTTCTAAACCGATCCTCGTGCTTGATCACGAGCACCTCCATTTGCGGAATATCACTCTGGGCGACGACGGGAAGGCGTAGTTAACTGACTGGGGCTGTTCTCGAGCCTATCTAGCTTGGTTTGGGACCTGTAACATGATGATTCGCCCGAGGAATAGACGGTAGACATGTGTGCGGCGAGCTGGTATACACACGAGGGGCGCGTCTTTGCTGTATATTGGGCTATGCCAACAGGTGCTCATGCTCCTACACTGACCGAATAACGAATTGACGCGATAAATCTCGTGAGCAATAGGACTCTGAAATATAGCTCGATCCGGTACTCATTACCCGCCTACTATAACAGTCTCCCTTATTGAATAAATTGGGAGTTGGGAGCGTGTTAGTTGTCACAGCGTGACTCCGTATCGAGGACAGCACGACATCAGCGGGTACTGTCTTGAATAAGCTGGGATGAAGGGACATCGATTCCAACAAAAGCTCTGCTTCTAGTGTCCACGGCGTACACGGATACAGCGCTCCGTCAGCCAATCTCCTGGTGAAAGGCGGCCGTACGTCGGCTTCAAGTGTTTGGAATCACAACGGAGTTATGATCATTCCCGCCTTCAAACTAAATGTGCGTGGTATGTTCCCGTATGTGAGCGACCCTGATCTGCGAACACCCCCTTTGGATATTATCTAGGTTTCCGCACAAAACAGGTCGATTCCTTAGCAGTGTGTTGAGGTTTTACTCCGTATCCCGTGTATTTCTGTATACCTGCATTGGTTTTAGTTTTACCGACTGCATGGAATCAGCACGCCTACTGCCGGCGAGCAAGACCTCGACGAGCTGTTGAGAGCATCTTGAAGAACCGCGTGCCATTAGCGTAGTCCGGATCAGTATTTCAAAAAGTTCCGTTCATCATTTTCATAGAACTGTATCTAACTGACCGAATTTTATGGCCGTCGGGATACGAAATCAGATTTTCTCCGTAGTATATAAGTTTCCGAGTCCTGTGTGGGGGGCTCAGCCAAGTCAACCAGAACGTTCCCCCACTGATATCCATCATGCACCCCGCTTTGATGCATGATATCGGAACCAAATTTGTAGACGGTGGAGGCTCCGATAACGTCTCGACTTCCAACACTACTTCCGTCACAACCGCTGACAAGGAGCGGACAATCAAGCGCGTTTACTTGGCTTGTACGCGTACATACGACGTCAATAAATCCGCCTACTCTTACCATTGGCGGTAAGTGCGGGCGCTGGAGTATCTATCTTAAGTTTCCCACTTACGTTGCCCTAGACTATTCTTCGAGCTCAACCTCCCCGTTGCAGTTGGAGATCTTGATGAGCAGTATCTGAGTCGCAGGGCATCAATCGAGCTCCATGTGACCCTCTTGAGCAAGGCGACTGGGTTGGCAAATACAATCGCGATAAGTCGACCCTACGATCTTACCCGGAATCCTATCGCCACCAAGTTCTGGGACATCGTAGGAGAGGGGTGGACCGTCGCTGACATGCTTACACTTGTCATCCAAGACAAGAAGCGTTACAAGTTTCGGTTCGACGTAGCCAGTGGGAGCGGTTGTGCCAACTGGTGCATAACTGTCCTCGGGGACATCGAGGAGGCGGGGAGGTTGTCAGGTGGGGTGAAGAAGACTGCGGAAGAGTTCGTGGATAACACAGCCCGCGAGATAAACGACGAGCGCGGGATGCCCCTGGTGTCGCCTAAGGGAATTTTTTATGATTGATACGGTGAGTACATTTCGGGTCAGGGCGCCAACGGATCATTACCAATTTGATTCTCTGCACAGGCTTCTTGTGTCGCCTTGATACAATGGGGTGTATAAAGTTGCTCACGGCCGCGTTCGCAAGCCTCGGGTTCACGAAGCACTGCATATTGTTTGATGATTCTTGAGTCGTGTCAATAGATGCGTTGAGATCTTCTTTGTACCTGTGAAAATGTTCAGTGCAATACAAGAGTGTTATTTGTACCGGCGCGACTCCGCGAGGACGACTCGTTTGAGGGTGTAATAGGCATAGAGTTGCTCAAATCGTCACGGCATGTCACTGGAACCCAGCCTGTCCCTCACCGTGTCGCACGCGCTGATGGTGGTGAACAGATACTTGCCCAACCAGCTCCCCCACTTGCCCGCACCACACCCGAGCCGCTGCCTGCGAGAGACCTCTCTGCGCGATCATCGTCCACGCACTCAACTCCTCGGTCGCCAAAATAGAGGCGAACGACGCCCTCCAGTACTCCATCGACTCCACGGAAGGACAAGGACAATGAGCACAGTCCTACCGAGAGGAAGAGACGTCAGCCGGATTACTCTGCATACAAGGGCAGGGGGCGATATGCCGCTAGTACCAGGTGTGATATTCATCTCGAGGCCTTTGCCTCGTTAAATGACTAAGTATATGCTGCTACCAGCACTGATCCGACCACCATCAACGCGTTGTACGAAATTGACACGCTTTTGACTGCGAATGCTGTCGCGAGGTCTGTCGCTCCCTACGTTCATCTCTAAGAGATATTCATGAACGTCATCGTCAGTATTACGAGGCCGAAGGCCACTGCCCGCTCATCTGCAAGCACCTCTGTGGAGATCTCCACAGTCAACTCCTCCAAGCGCACCGCTCGCGCTAATCACAAACATATAGACGCTGGGGCTAGTCCGTCTGGCAAGGGTAAAGGAAAGGCGCTGTCTTCAGAGCACCTCACCTCCGTCGACCTGGACATTGATGCGGACGAGGCAGAACAGGAGCAAGCCATTGCCAAGCATCGGCAAGAGATTTCGAGGCATCCTCAGCAGTGGGAGAGTCCGCTGACACCTCCAGGCTACTGGGAGATTGGATTCCCTGATACGCAGGAGACCAACCAGTGTGATCAATGAGAAGGCTCGGGAGATGCATGAGCGGAAACGGGCAAGGATCGAGGTTGAAGCCAGGTGCGTGCTATGCCGTAGTTTGCAATGTGTGCCTGGTCTGACGATGGGGTCACTGCAGTCGTGGAGGGCGCTACAGAAAGCGTTGATACCCACCCTGGCATGTCTCTCGCGTTGATTCACATATCGGAATAGTAGGTAACGCAGTTGGTAGGTACCATACTCAATATCGCGCTTTCATCGTCGGAATTCCATGCGCTGTATAGTTTATTCTCAGTCTTGACACAATGTATATGCGAATGCAGAGGACCCACGCGAATAGAGTTGTGTATGCCAGAGCTTTGCGAAACGATTGCAATGTCGCCAACGTACGCTCCAGACAACAAGCTTGTAAATAGAAGTGTCATAATTATATAATGCCATATTTCTTCTTGACGGCCAGACCCACGCTCCTCTCAACAAACCACCGTCCACTCGCCTCTTCGATTTCAAAGAACTTCAATATCGAGAGCAGTTCGTCGTATTGTGCCCTTGTGGGAGGCGAACGGACACCTCGCTCGTAGCACGATATCACGAAGACGGCATCAAAGACGCTATCCTTGAGTGCCGGGTCCACGTCGTAGTCTGCATAAGCAGACCTGACTCTAATGGTCTCGATGTCGGTCAATTGTTTCAGCTTCCAGGTGAGTGCGCCTCCACGGGCAGTCTTCTCCCACCAATCAAGGTCCTTATGGGTCAAGGGGATTGCAATCTATACGAAGGTCGATGTCGGCAACTTGGTCGAAGGTGACAAGCCAGCCGAAGAGCTGGGACTCCACGGCATAGTCCTCGTTAAGGCGGACAATTGTGTGAGGTGGCAAGGGTGAACGCGACGAGGTGGTGGTGCGCGAGCTTCGCTTCTTGTATAAATTCCGTCAGCCAAGGTATGAGTTCATAGTTTCTGGGGAGGCGACACATACCTTCTGCTGTTTGGTGTGAGGAGTGACTACGAGCTATGGTGTCACACGATTGTGTCCACTGTTCACTGTCACGTGCCCACAACTGTGACACAGGCTCACGTGTTCGAGTCTACAAGCTGAACCTGAAGAAGCTGCTGCCTCTAGACTCCGAGCCGCGAGCAAGTTGCTCCTTTCCCATGTCCTCATTCAGAAGACTCACAGATCTAGTCAAAAGGACCTTAAACCCCTGGAAGCCGAACGGTGCACAATAGAAGCCTTATCCTAAAGAATACGTCATCATGTCGAATTTTGCTTCGAGTACTGATCAAAGGCGATTATGTGCTCTTTGCTCTTCGTGTATGTCTGCGTGTGCACCCTCAGACACAATTAACTGTGGGTCTCTACGGAGTAAGCCGGTTCTAGGTCTCAAAGCTCGCAGTCCTCTGCAGGCATTATCGGCTGTCCCTGCTGCTATGTTAGTGCTACGTCCTCCAGAGACAACAGACAGAATCATAGACTTCCTCTGGGATGACCCAGTGTCCTTGAGCAGCTGTACTCGCGTCGCTCGATCATGGTGTGCAGCCAGTCGTTTTTATCTCTTCGGGCGAGTCTGATCACAAAGTCGCACGGCACAGATGAACCGCCGAAACCCATCGTATTGCTGAAACGTGCAGCTGGTCAATTCGAGCTGTGCGGCAGAGACGAACAATGCGATGATTTGCGTAGCAGTGGGATGAAGGGGACTGCGCATGCACCCTTCGCATCTTTGTCATTGAAAGTGAGCGGAGCGACGGCATCAGCGGGCTAAGCACTAGTGGGACATTGTTCTTGTAACGCGCTCTGTCGTGAGGACCTTCGATGATGGTCAACTGCCCTTTTCCTGGATGGCGTTGTCTCGAAAGAGGTTCAGCATTTCCTGCCCAGCAGTCAGGCGACAGGAAGCGCGCTGCGACTGGCGATTGTACATATCCTCTCCATGACATCGGGGGAAATGCAGAAGCTGTTCCCTTGGATGCAGGCGACGCCTTCTGTTCAAAAGTAGACACTGTACGACCTTTGAATTAGGCCATCTATTCGAGCCCACTCGGAGTGGCACGCGTCCCTAGATTTGATTCTGCGCTATGTCGGTGGATCGCTGCGACAGGCAGATATTCCTGTGATTTATGACGGCAAGTCGCCGCTCTTAACACAGACGTTAATACAAAGCAGCTGATGCTATCTACTCATTGTACAGGCGTAGATTCCTGTCTCAACCTCAACACAGGGTTGAGTTCGCTTACGCTATTCTACGACTTAGGAGAAGCTATGGACATTGCCGCACCAAGAATAGCCAACATAGTGAACTCCATCTCCGCGCATTCCATTCATCATTTTTCATTCAAGTTCCGCTGCTCCCTCGACCCCATGTGGACCATTGCCAATAAGGCTGAAAATGACATCGCTCAAATGGGACCTCTAGTACAGGGTCTGATGGCGCGCGATGTCTTCGACTCTCTTGAACATGTAGACGTCTATCTCCTCTGATACACCAATGAAGCGATCAGCCCCTCTGATATAGCCCGATTCCTCAAGGCAGCTGATGAAGCTATGATGAAGACGAATTGGCATGAGCGGGGAATTTTGAAAGTCATGCACGAAATTGAGATGTACAAACCTCCAGCTAACACAAGCGACACCTCGGAAATGTATGCGTCTGTACGCTTGCAGTGTTGGTACGATGTCTAATGCCGCAGCTCTATCACAGGCTGGCGGGGCCTAGCTAGGCAGCTAGAAAGATAAAAACTGATCGTCGCACATCGATGTTACATCATATAGTGCGTGCTTTCATGTCATTGGGACGTCGCTAACAGACTGACATAGATCGTATGTCACAGGTATAGATCAATGGATATGCGCGCTCATAGCGACTGTTATATTCTTTCTGACAATTTCGGCAATGTGTTGGCTTTCCTACTGCAGTGCTCTCACCAAGAAAACACAGTTTCTCTCCGTCCTCAGCGGAACCTGTCCAGTAGACCCTGTCAAGCAGACTTGTACATACGTGAGAGTCCCTCAAATCAGATGGATTCAAGCTGTACGCGCTAGCGATGTATGCTCAAGCCGTGATTATCGCCGGAGCTGTGAGAGGCAGTACGACATTCTCGGGCATCACGCCTCAGACTACGGCCTTCAGAAGGCCTCTGTCAGTCCGAGTGGACTCTCGACCCGCCTTAGGTCATCCCATTCCATCTGATGAGTACTGCATATCAGCCGCAACAACGCCGCTTGCTCTAGGACTCCAGGATCATTGACAGAAGAACCACCGGACGCCTTATAAAACATGTTCTGCACGGGTATTCGGACAATTTGCGTGTCTCAAATGGACTCCTTGATAATGCCGTCCATGATTCGGCATACAAAAACTGAATCGACTGCCGTGCTGCTGAGTGTGGATGCCTACGCTTATGGTGTTCCACCATATTCCAGGATAACACCAGCCCCGCCTTCATCGTTCAACCGCATAGCAGGCAGCTCGCAGGCAGCGTCGCACGTCCGCGTCAGACCTTCGTCACTGACTGTCGTCTCAATCTGCCTCATCTGGGCCTTGAGGCCGTCACGCTGCTAGCTCTTCGTCATCCGCTACTCGTTCAATTGCATTCACGGCATTAGGAGATTAGCTTGCATTTATGGACGTAAAGTTGGGCTGGCGAACAGACTGGGCATCGAGCGGCATTGATCTTCTGCTGTGGACGACCCGGGTGCCACACACACCATCTTCCCATCGCCGCGGCGGTCCTTGTCGTCTGCGAGTCCGGCATGAGATCATCGACTTCCACTTCTGAATGAGGATATGGCTCGCAGAACACCAGCGCTAACGAAGGTTGAGCCCACCGTAGACGAGCCACCACCTCCCTGACCGTCGCTCCCCCCCCCCCGACGTGCAAATGCACCGTCGGGGGGACATTCATTTAAATGCGCACGATAAAAGATACTCATCAGACATGGTCTAATAATCGTAAAACTGTATCTACCAACAGACGCATGTTCTAAGGTACGGTGGGTGTCGCCAACACGCCTGTGATGTACAAATACAAGAGTAGAGTCTCTACAATCGACCGAGCGACATCGCTGGAGGTATCGCTGATAGGGTGGGTAAACACTGTGGGTGGCGCGCACAGCTTTGTAGGTAGCGCACGTACAGATCAAGAAAGCAACAGCGGCAAAGCAAGGTAGCGGTATGAAAGGGGTATCTGGTGAGCTGCTACAGCAGCGAGCGGTAAAATGCAAGGATCCACGCTAAGACGACGAGGTGCACTGGCCCCATCGTCAGATTACGGGAATGGATCGCAGCTGATGTGTGCGCAGACGACACTGTCGTCGAGGAAGAGGCAGAAGCTGTGGTGACAGACGAGCTTGGCGCGCGTGAACTTGTCAGCCTTGCGGAAGACGAGGTGTGAACGCTGCTGGGTAGGGTGACACTGCTGATGGTCTCGTAGGACGAGAAGGAGTTGGAGATGGTGGACGTAGACTCTACACGATTCGACGTGGGGCTAAGCACGCTCGAGGGAACGGGAAGTGCAGAGGTGTCGCTGGCGATGGGCGATGAGAGGCTACCCGACATAGATGTAAGACTGTTGACGAGCCCAAGGTCAGACGTTCAGTGATGTTGTGTGAGCTAAAGCGAAGGGGGACTCACGAGAAATCCGCCGAGTATTGCGTGTAGCGAGACGTCTGGTTGACCATGAGGGATACAGAAGTAAAATTGAGGTAACTGCGTACCCAGTGTCAGTCGCTGCATGATCTCATTCACAAGAGGCTTCGAACAAGGGTAGCAAGATCGTTCAAGTTAACTTCCCACTGTTGCAAAATGTCCAAGGATACAATTCGCGATGTTTTGCCCGGCACTAGTTCTAGCCCAGGGTTATTCCCCATCGTGGGGTCGGACAACAGCCAGAATAGGGCACTTAGGATATTGAATGGCAGTGCTTATGATAGATGTCAAGCTGAGAAGCTCCTCGATGATCTCTTCATCACGCATCATAGCTCCTTCAAAGTACCCCGCGGCCTCAACAGGTCGAATCCGTTAGCGCGCACGGCGACATCCATAACGCTGCTTCAGCAGAGCAAAGGAGATGACCGCAGATAGGTCATATCCCTTGATAGGACGAACGGAATTCCCTTCAAGCGAGAACTTACTAGTCACCAGCGGAAGGACCAGCGGAAGGATCAGGCTAGCAGAATGTATCAGCATTTAATCAGGTACTCTACAAAGATATAGAGGCCTCACCGTGAATACGAGAGAATGTGCGCTCGCGACGTTCACGGGTTCGATCTGCTGCACTGGTAGCTAATCACATCACAGCGTTAGGAGCGCGTCATAATTATACTCGATCACATACCCCTTCGCCATTATACAATCCCACATAGCATGCTCCGATCTTGCTCAGAAGAGGCTGTTCCCCGTCATCTAGCCAGGAGACAGTGCAGGGTTGCCCGCCATAGCAGGCTGAGCTCGCAATGGGCTCGTTCACCTAGACACCGTCGCAATCTAATCACCTCGAAGCCTGTGTAACGCAATATTGACGCACGTATAAGGCTGCTCGAGCCAGAGAAAACCAAGAGATCAGGATAGCAACTGTGAACATTGTTGTAGTTGTAGAAGAGAAGTAAGCCGAAAATCTAGTCGGATGTGAAGATGATGCAAAAGACAGTGTGGAGTTGGTGCAATGAAGGTGGGGTTATGAAGAGATTATCGTATTTGCATACGCCCGCGCTTGAGCCGCGCACAAAGGTCGTGTCGACGTGAATGTCGCGTTGATATCGTGATGTTCGTAACCCGTATCCAGAACAAGACCGCAGGCGGAAGCTTGCAGGTCGTCATGAACATGCGGTCACATGACCGTGCACGTCGCGTCTCGTCGGAAGTCTTGGTCTGACAAAGAACAACTGTCGTACATATACGAGGGCTGATTTATGGGCCTATCCTTTGTCCAGCTATGTAGTACTAGGTGGGAGGGAGTGTACTACAGTTGTGGAAGGCAGTGGTAGACACTATACAGCGAAAGAGCGTGGTATTCAATTTGGTAGTTTACAACAGCAGAGGGTCCCGGGGAAGGGTTCAAGAATAAATACACGTTAAAATTTTCACGTCGTAAGTCCTTCGGCAAAATCGCGACAAAGAGGCGTCACTGTCCATGTCCAGAATAACAAAATATCCCTCTGCAGCAAAAAAGAAATCCTCGTCACATGGCACGTATGGTCTCTGCCATACCTTCTTGAGGGTACACTCCGGCGACTTCTAGAGGAGCCCACATGCCCGGATCCGGATGAGATGTCACCGCTGATGATGCATGTTCTGACAGCGACAAGGCCTGGGGCTTGGACGCGGCTTGTAAGAGGTCATGCATTCGCCTATCCACCTCGCGCGAATCATTTCCTGGTTCGGTCCCATCTGGCTCACCTGCATGGTCGAGCAGGTATGTGGAAGAGCATGACGGAGTGAACGAGGATGTCGTCTGGGATGTAGCGCGCCTAGTGCTCCAGTCGAGAGTATCGTCTGCGGTCGAATCCCGGATTAAATTTGCCAATGTAATGAGTTTAGGGTCCAGCGATGGTTGATTGCCTGGGAAGATGGTTAGTCGAGCTCTTGACACATTATCAGAATACATGTTTCAACAGACCAGAGACATGAGTGCTTTCTGGATACACGCTCGCCTTGCGTGAGCGCCTTCTATGCCAGCAGCACCATGTGATGATGATGATTATAACGAGTGAAATCCCTCCTATAATGCTCCCCATAAGCACATGAATGTGCCGCGAAGACAACGCGACATGCGAATTTGAAGTTGCTCCTTTCACGCTCGACGATGAGGATGCTGACGAGTTACTGTCCGTGATGGTCCGTGACGAGACGGGAGTCCGTGATGAGGTAAATATTGATGAAGTAGCCGGAGACAATGAAGGAGCCGAAGACACATTTGTGGTCGACGATAATGAGCTTGATGAAAGACTCGATGATGGAGACGACGACACTATAGAACTTGTGATGTGGGTCGACGGCGATTCATAAGCAACGACTGATGAGCTCGGCGAGTTCGTACTAAAAGCGCTGGGGGAACTGCCATTGTTTTCTACTGGTGATGTGTTCTGAGTAGAGGAGGGCAACTGGATCGTAGGATGCGACGATGTTGTGGACGTGCTAATGGTGGAAGTCGGTTGCGACAACCCAGAAGAAGGTAACGGGGTTGGTGCAGAAGTAGCGGTAGGATCACAAGAAGCACAGGTAGAGCACGCTGTGTTTGTACACGAGCCCGTCGAAGAGATTGCTGCATCAGACGTCGTTGTATTAGACGTCGAAGGGCTCTGAATCGTGAGTGAGGATTTCATCGCTGCACTTTTAGGGGTCAATAGGATAAGCGGGGGAAATCGCTCGACGAAATGCGGTCTTCAGCTATACAGAACTGCGAAAGTATTCGCACAAAAATTAGTAAAAATTCGCTCCTGGAACATTCGACGCATGCTATCTCACCTACACCTGAACATATAAGAATGCAGTAAAGACAGCGGAGGGTGGGGGCGTTTACATATCTAGAGCTTAGGGAAGACGAGACATTCTTGATATACTGTAGGCCTAGCAACCACGAGTAGCCTTCTATCTGCTCATGAAGACTGCTGTGGCAGAGCAGAACAGATTTCGGGCAGCACATATCACAGGAGTAGCGAATAGGAGGGAAGAAGCAAGTTGTTGATGCGGCTGCATCAGATAAAGTTCATCTTGGCAGAACTTTATCGTTTCGCCGAGTGTAAATAGGGCACACCATGGTCATTCACCGTCAAATGCAGTAGTCGGTCGTCCTAGGAGAAGGGCACTCGGGTCGAATGTCTATAATTCCCAGAATTGCACTTCTCCAGAAAGACGTTTCACGCAGGAGACAACGTAGATGTTTACTTCGTCCTGTCGGAAGTCTGAGTCAACGGTCTCTGGAACAGCTGCACACCTGAGTCAATGCAAGACCCCTGACTCGAGAGCACGACATAGATATCCTCTGAGCAGCAAGGATATGGAACGCACGCATGTCATACCAGCTGATTCGATATGCCAATCTGCGTCATATTAAGCGCTTCTATCACGCTGCAGGGCCTCGTCTACAATGATCGCCTTGTCTGGAAGATTCGGTACTATACTAGCACGATGAGTTAAATGAGCTCGATGAAGAGACAGCTCACTCTAACTGTAGCCCATCAACGGTAAGCAATCCCCCAAATCAGTCTCAAAATGCAGTTAAGCTGCTCAAACTTCTGAGCATAGCCACGCCGCCTATGACAGATGCGAGCAAGATCTGATGACGTTGATGTAGACACGTCAAACAGCACCCAAAAATGCAATCGTGTGAGTCCTTTAAGACAAGAGCGAAAAACACAGAAGTGCATTGTCGGGAACAGCGGCGAGAGATAAGTGGCCGCGGCATCGATTCAGATACACGACTTGAGATGTAGCGTCGTCATTAGACAACCAGTGTTGGAAAACGTTTGGGTGATAGTATGACAAGCTAACACATAGCGTGATGTTGGGAGACGACTGAGCAGGCGAAATAGGACCCCTGATAGTCCTCCCAGAGCTCCGATCCCCAAAAACCCCGAAAATGACCCTAAAAATGACCCACTTGTAGCAGTATTTCACGTTTTATGAGGTCATTCTGTCACCGATCTCCCTCAAACTTGGTGAGTGGATAGATACGTCGAAATATGCACTGTGCCTGAAGTTCCCACGCTTAGATCGTGATAAATCTAATCTTATCAACCCCCGAAACTGGCCACTTTCGGGATCGGACCTCTGGGGGGATTATCAGGGGTCCTGGCGAAATACGGTCTGAAGCACAATACGCACAATCCAATCGGAGCTCAATGTAGGTGGCCATTGATATGACCCTATATTCTGCCTTTGTATAGATTTCTAGCCTCCCCACTTCCTATAGAATGTATTTATTCGAGAAAATGACTTATTTCTACAGCCTGGCAGCTGTGCTAATCAGCCAATATATTGTACAAAATCTTCATATCGTTCTTGTTTGATGTGGCTTTTTGATCTCCGTTTCGCACTCAGATTACTTCGAATAAGTTGACGTCATGAATCCTGACCACATCGATACTGTAACGGTGAATTTGAAGAGGACGCTCGTAGGTTCAACCCGCTAGACATACCTTAATTCAGGACCTTATGTGTGTCTAACACAAATCTGTACCTCATGAAGCTCATGAAGCTCACAGCCTGCTTACCGCAGTCATACCCGCCTTTCCAACCTTCAATTGGTCACACACCGCCGGAGTTCCGTTCTGTACAACCCGTCTGCTTACTTATCACTTGTATGTTTGAGACAGCAGCCCGTCTCTTACCGATTACGCGCAGCTTTGCGCGTAGAGCCGCACTCTCGCCCTCCTTCTTCAGAGCCAGGCTTCCAGGAAACCACCGAAAGATGTCTCAACCCAGTCTTCCCGCCGATCCATCTGCTACGACGTCGACGAGACTGAGCGCCGGAGCACCCACAGAAGCGCCTACTGAGTGGAATTTCCCTGTCTCGCCAGTCCCGGTCAATCTTCTTGGCGAAGGAAAGTACATCAAGACCGCCGCGGCGCTCATTATTGGGTACATCTATATGTACATGTGGTCGAGAATGACTTAACATGGTAATGGGTTTGACGTAGTGACGAGATCTTGAACGGGAAGACATTGGACAAGAACTCTAACTACTTCGCGCGCTTTTGCTTCGAGAACGGAATTGATCTGTAAGTTGACTTCATCGTCTCAATCGGTGCTGTTTGTAAATCGGTATCTAGGAAGCGCATCGAGGTGATTCCGGATGACGAAGGTGACATGTAAGTTACACGCACGGGGCGACACCGAACGCTCGCTCACCTCGTGCCGCCTCGTGCGTTACAGTGTCGAGGCCAGCCGGCGGCTAGTCAAGACCTACGACTTTGTCATCACATCTGGGGGCATCGGGCCCACGCATGATGGTCAGTATTCCCGAGTCTTGCAGTCATACGTTCACGATCCAACTTGCAACCAGACATCACGTACGCCTCTCTTGCAAAGGCCTTTGATCAGCCATTGGCACACCATGTGGAAACGCTCGCACGTATGACCACCATGATCAAGCACCGCGCAGACATCATGAATCAGACGGCGGAGCAGCGTGAGGCGCGCGAGCGCATGGCGTTGTTACCGGTGCACGCTGAGACGCTCTTCATCGCGCCAGACGTGTGGGTGGTGCGTAATTTCCACTACTCCTATGGCTTCTGAGTTACAAGCGAGGTCAACCCACACAACGCAGCCTGTGGTCCGCCTCGAAGGCAAGCTCTGCGTGTTCCCGGGCATCCCGCGGCTCTTCCAGCGGATGATCGACGGCCTACGTCCGTACCTCGCCCTCCCGCCCCCGAGCGAACGTCCGTTCCGACTACAGATTTTCACCAAGTACGTGCTGCCCATCCCACTCTAGTCGTGCTCGCTGAACACAGCACCCTCCTATACACAGCCTACCTGAGTCATCCATCGCGCCATACCTGACAGAGCTGCAGGCGCGCACCAAGGCAGCGGGTGTGCGCGTGGGGTCGTACCCGCTGCTAATGCGAGGCGTGTACGTCTCGCTGATTGGACGCGACGAAGGCGCGATACGATTACTCGCGGAAGAAGTGGCGCAGAAGCTGGAGGGGCGCGTCATCTCAGAGGAAGAAGCGGCGAAGGAGAAGGCTGGGTTGTAGCAGGACAGAACAGACATTTCTTCGAACTTCGTGATCGGTTTCGTGCGTGGTCTATCATAGGTTGTTGGATCTCTATGGAGGGGACATACAGCCAATCTGACACGTTAAACATAGGACATGTACAACTAGGCTTCGGATAATATGCCACATATGACATAATCGTACAGTCCGATCGCTTTCTCAACTCGTGCTGCATCCGCGATCCTTGAACCATCGACGTATATCTAAGCAGCTCAAGAAAACGAAACTATTCAAGCTGTGACCCTTTCAGCGTGAAAGGCTGCAGTGGCTTATTTCAGTCACCGTATCAAGCCGAACATGCGGCGGAGAGACGAGGAAGGCCAGGCCACTTTCAAGGCAAGGTATGATCTCAGTATGTCAAGGAGCTACCTCCTTCTGCGGCCTATTGTAATCAGGCGCACATAGATGTCGTAACATATGGTCCACAATTCCGACAGTCTGGGGTGCAGGATGCGGACTCTCCAGACGACCTTGAACACCATTGATTGAGCAGAAAGGTCGGAAGCTCGAATGTATTGTCAAAAACAGGAGCCAGATGCCGACACGGGCCTTGCTAGAGGCTTGAGGGGTGACAGTCCATTCATCAACCGATTTTGATCAGGGAAGCGCTTAATCCACGCACGCAGCCGCACACATTCAATTATCACGGACATCCTACAAAAGCTGAAGCAAGCCATTTGCGGCCTGCTCACATGAGAATGTTCCAAACCTCCCTCCATAAGCACATGCCGCCTACAGACATCGCTCCTGATTCTCCAGCCGTTTCGTGGAATCACGAACCGTCAACAAGCGTGCCGTTCTCGCTCGAGCACTGATAATACACAGAGCATAACGGATATATCCCCGCGGGCTCGTCCCCGGCATCTTGAAGCAGCAGAGCTACAACGCCATGTGCCGGGACATCTGTCGCAGTGAAGTTACGGACCGCGGTGCCGTTGTCCGTGTGAGTCCACAGGTCCTGTCCACGGATGTGAGAAGACGAAGGGGGCGCAATATGAGTCACTCGTAACAACATACCCGAACTGCATACTGTCTGCCGGCGCGGATCCACGGCGATTCGGTCAAGTTGAAGAACATGTTAGCGGGCTCGTCGAGCGTGTTAAGCTATCTGCGATTGAGCAAGGCCGACATCGTAGATTCCATCGCGGTTTTGCTTACCAGCATAACGACCGTTCCGTTCTCGCTGGGGCCACTCCAGTATTGAGCCGGATATGAGTCGTTGCTGGTCCAGTCGGCCTGGTATATTGAAGGATGAGTATCCATCCGAGTGTGTGGGAGTGTCATACACTGACATTGAGGCCCCATCGGAAGGGCGAAATACTAGTCCCGACCACAGGGTCCTGATTGATAGCCAAGATCTCTCGGTTTGAGAGGATCTCAACGATTTCCGGTGAAGCCGCCGAAAGCTAGATAGGTGTAACATAGGTGTTACCCAGTTTCCATTATGATGGCCTAGCTGACGGTCAGACTGATACTTACATTTGTTCCAATCAGAAGCGGTGACTTGAAGAGTGCCCATGCTGTGAAGTGAGACTTGTTCTCGTCGTAGGTCAGGTTGCCATTGCCGCTATTTTCAAGAATTAGGAGATCCTTCATAGCGTAATATACTTCACATACACCTCAAGCTGCGAACAAAAATGTCAACAACACTGACTAACCATGATTTGAGCATCGACGCGTACAATGTCCATATCATTACGGCCATAGAAGTCAGTGCCCTGGGTGATGAAGGAGGCTCTGAAACAATCGAGGATCAGCGCTGTCCGAGATTCACACAAACGTGCGGACATACAAATTGATGATACTGGAAAGCGCAGGCCAGTTCGACTCGATGTCCCCGTCAACCTGCCATTATTTCTCGATAAATGGAACACTGCTTCATAGCTGCAAGCCTTACCCGCCAGCTGTTTCCGACCTGCGCTCCCCAGCTAATGAAGATTAGCGGTGGTCTCCTCACACTCAAAGTCAGATACCTACATCCAAACTTGACTCTAGATATCAAAGTCAGATGATTACAGTTGCTCCTGCGAACATCCTTAGAACGTACCCAGCCCCATTCACAAAGGGAGAAGATGAGGGGAGGCTGGCGCGAGGTCAAGGACAGTTCGGCAATAGCATCCGACATTCGCTGGTATTCTGGATGCCGATAACGCATTTAACAACCTGACCATTGGATGTACACTTGACAGACTTACTGCCAAAAGTCCCCTCCCGGATTACATCGTCGAACGGGACTGGCAGTGAAAGGTGTTGATGCGACATATTAATGCACCATGCAGCTAGCACTTACTGTAGCAATTGTCATATCTTCGAACAAGAATAATCGCGTCAGAAATGTTTGTAGTGTTAGCTAGGAGAACAGAACGGACTTCAGGTAGTCGAAGCCCCAATTCTGGTAGGTCGTAGCGTCAAGAAGCTCGTTCGAATACGAACCCGGATATCCGGCACAGGTCAACCAGCCAGAGTCGCCGTACTGCGTGCGGCCTCGGTTTGAACCTTAACAGAGGTCATAAGGAGAAGATTACGTACAATACCAGCTTCGCTAATAGCTCAGTTAGGAAAAAGTCAAGACACCTGGCAAGAACAGCGGCACTTACAACCCCAAGGCGTGTAGCTGAGCCGTCATATTGTTGAATCCACTGGGAAACCTTTCCGAATCTGTGAAAAAGGTGTTTAGCATTCGCTCCAAGGATAACGCGAACTCGGACACGCACTCGGAACGAGGAGACCTTCGGCGCTCCGATTCTTCTCCGCCCAACAATCGTCCAAATTAACATGAGTATAGCCTGCATCCTGTTACATTTGCGTCAAGATGGTACAGCGAACAGCGACAAATGCTTACTTGTAGTCCCAAGGACTTCATGAGATTGGCTGTTTCAAGGATGAGATTCTCATCGATGTTGCACTATATGACCTATTTGAGCAATCGGTTCAGATATGTTATATATCACGCTCACAGCGTATGCATTCCAAGCTTTTAGCGGGATAGAACCATCACGAACAATGTTAAATCAAAACAGACGAGCTCACTATTGTAGCCCAGCACTACAAATAATCGTCACCTGTGCTGAAACAGGGCGTGAAGAAGGAAACGTACCGGGCAAACGAGCGACTCCATTAGCCAATGCATTGACCACAGGAGCGGTGGCAAGGACAACGGCAGCCGTGACCGCTCCGAGACGAATCTGGGTCATTTTGGTGAATGTGACGGTCGACGTACGGGGGTTAGCGTCTCGTCCTGGCTCAATTATGTACTGGTTGAGTGTCAGTATTATTGGACCTGGGCCAACGTTGTGGACGTGCTAATCAATGCTCCGGACCGCGATCGGTGAATTTGTTACATCGAGAGGGAAGGATCCCAACGAGAACCTGCACCCGTGATCTCATGCATGCGTGTATGGAGTGGAATGACCTCTCATCGGAGATATATCGGCCTGGAGGACGGATGAGCTGTGTGGCCTATGCGACACGGGATTGCCCAAGCCACTTTACCAGGAAGTCACCCCGCACTGTAGCGCCTTCAACCAGGCTGGCGACTGCGATGCGTAGCTTGACATGTCGATAGTTGAGTACGTCAGGCAACAAGGTGCATCTTCTACAGAGTACGGAACGAGCTCTAGTAGACACCAAATAGTGTCCCCTAGCCACTACGCACAGAGCGCGGGGGCTACACGATGACGAAAGTACGAGGCCCGCGGCACTGCCGCGTGCTTCATTTCTAAAGAATGAATACCGCGGGCGTGACACACAACGTGAGATACATTCTCGCGAGTAACGCCCGCGACACTTCGCCGAGAAAATGACGATCAGAATCGCCATGCTGGATGTCGACCGTCTGTAAGCTCTGTGTGAAGCCAGGTCACGAATGCCTTGAGGCAATGTGAAGCCATGGCGGTGAGTGGTCCTGACTTTCCGACCATGCACGAGTGCATTGCAAGTACGACGATCGCCATTGTGCAGTGAGGGTTACAGGATTTTAGCCTCAATGCAAACAACGGTACCATAATGAGACGTGTAGCGCTGCGGCTCATGGAATAGATGGTGAAGCCATCGTGTAAGAGTGTGTATATGGCGCCCGCCGCGAAGACTGGGGTAGGAGAGCACTCAGCAGGTGTTTGAAAATGGAGTAAGCATTAGACATACTTGTGTCCATCCCATCGGTGTTCACAGTCTAATCAAGACGAGGTTGTATGAGTATTGCCATCCTTCGCGGATATGTATCGCGCGTTCACAGCCACGAAATGGTATGCCACTACTGTGATCATGGCCAGTGCGCCTAGAGAGTTCGCCAGATTGTAGAGCTCATTGTGGGTAATCATGGTCTGACGACTTAAGTTATAGCGTGAGCCGGTAACGAGTGAGCAACGAAAGAGTAGAACGCTGACCTGCCCGTTGTCGTCGTCGCCGGCAGAGTGTTGTTTGTGTGTGTTTGGCTAACATCGTCACCCAGTCGGAGGGATTCCTGCAATACCCGACCTCACCAACTCATCGCTCCTCTTTACTCTAACGCTCCGCCGTAAATCCTGACAAGATGAGGGCGACAGATATTCGTCGTAGCGACATGCCGGGCCGTGCGTTTCCCTGCTTGCGAATTCACGGTCTCCGTTTGACATAATTTTGCAGCCAAGGTCTACGTGAGTAGCCATCTGCGCTTGAACCGTGTTCCGAGAGCTTCTCGTCGCCTGCATTATGGCTTTGCTCACGAGAGCATGGTTGGATGGTGTGTTGACTTCATGCGGACTGACATGCATTCCGTAGAACCTGTGGTGGGGTGACCAGGGGCTTCCGAAGCAGAAAGGATGGGTTCAATACAGTATGTGGTCATACTGAAAAGACTGGAACGCGACTCACGCTTGTGTCTGTGCTATTAGGCATGTCCCCTATGAGGCAGAGGGCCACCCATAATATACTCCGCAACTGGCTTTTTAACGGTTACCGACGCCTCTCCACCCAGGTGCCATATTGGATCGTGCCTTTCGCCATCGGTACGTCCCTCTACTTTATTCCCTGCATACATCAATATTGCTCGTCGGCGGCAACCTCGCCATCATCTGTCTTGTCTCGAGCCTGTGCTAGTCAATTTCGTTCGCATGTTGACGCCATCGGCTGACTGTCGTTTTGACAGGTTACGGCACGTATGCCTGGGCGAAGCGCTACGATACGTATCTCAACAGCAAGGCTGCCCACGTTGCTGCTCATGGTGGCCATTAGATAGTCGATCGCCTCGCGCAATAAACCTGACCTGTACGTATTCACTACGTATTAGGATGGAAAACATGCTCGCTGGCATAGAGCAAGACCTCCTTGATTGTGACTTCTACCGCTGGTCAAACGTGAACTCATGGATGCCTGAGTATCAATGTTCATGGACTATCCGCAGCCTGATGCGTGCTGTAGACGATGGTGAATTGACTAAAACCTATCCATACGGTTGAATTAGGAGAGCTCTGCCCCGAAACACAAGGAGGCTCATCGCGGCGTTGGCGTCGATATCACTGACTTGACTGCGCCTGGCATATTGGATACAAAGAATCGTTGTGAGATGCACCTCAACTGCAATCTGAGTCTGCATTGCACAAGTTTCACTCAGAATGCAGACAACATTGTCCTGTCATTTTTATGCATTTCCTATGGTTGACATTCATTTTCTGATCGCCATTACAGCAAAACCAATATTGATAGACCTCCCTCGCGAGAAGTACAGATAGGCGGCATGGAGCATAATGGCGCTCGGCACCTCAGGGTGACGTGCATTCATTTCTCAGAGATTGTTCGCGGCACCCATATAAAGTAATCTACACCAATGCCTCAAGATCCGTCCGTTTGTCGAGGTCTGCTGTCCGTCTGCTTCCGCAAGCAATGGCATACAGCGACGACCTCTGCACCCTACTGTGACGTGATACCAGCAGCTTCTGATATGAGCCATAGAGCGAGACATGTATACAACCAATCCTTTCTGAGCAGGATGCACATAATCACCAACCATGGTCGGAAGACGAGGGGATCACAGCAAGCGTCTACTCAGTAGCCTGTCGTCTCTGCACCGCTGCCGGCTCCTGCCGCGAGCTTCTGCCCCACTTTGCCGAAGTGTATACTTTGCGAGGGGAGGTCTATCAATATTGGTTTTGCTGTAATGCAATATTAATGCTCCGGGTGGTCAGTGAACAAGAACGAACCGAAGGGCGGCTTAAATCGACGCAGTTCAGTTCGTCTTTCAGAGAACGGACTGCTTCCGGCAATCAGCGCTGTCAGCGCCGATCAATCTCAACTGCAGGCGCTGAGATCTGAGCTCGGGCATTGTAGCGTCGTTACGACTTACACAACGACGTCAGGAGCGTACACGGAATGAGTTCGTCCAGTTTGCGAACAGCTCTGCTCTGAATGAAGGTAGCATCATACCTTACCATGGAATTGCAAATCGAGCTGACGAATATGTCTTCAAGGAAGCTTTGCAGTCCACGAAATATGCCGCGGAGACTCTGTCAGTGTGTGAGAGTGCTAAGACCTGTGGTACGTCCTGTTTTCTTTACTTCTTAAAAAAGAAGGAATACACAGAGCCGATTATACTTTCAAACACGCGATATAGCACTGGTGCGCGGAGAATCATACATTTTCGTGCCTGAGGTTCTGCCGCTCCAGTCGCGATACTGGTTGCCTTCTCTGTAATCGTATGCATCGAGTGTGCACTCTCACGGGAGTTACGTGGATTGCTACTGCGGCAGGTCTTCCAAGACATCGTGGCACGCCGTCCAGCGTGCACAGGCATGTATGCTATTCAGAGAATACAGATGCTTCGGATTTTTCAACACGCCCAGAGATGATTACAGATTGTCATAGAAGTGTCACGGAGTACGGAAGCCCCTGTCTGGATAATGCATACTCCCGTCTCTTCCTCCTCAATAAGATCCCGCTGAAAACAATCACTCGGGATCATTGCTATACGTACGAGTGTCCCGCAGGCTGCGAGAAGGTTTACTGTTCCAGCTGATGACCGATGGCCCTTTCGGTGATCTCTCACAGGGCGCCGGCGGAGATGAGAAGTGTGGGCCACCAATTGGGGTTTCCTTCTGTTCTCGCCTTGCTATGAGCAGCATCATAGGACGTGTCGCTCGGAGATATCATTACCCTAACCATCTAGCTGCTTCAGAAGTATGCTCGGTCTCCTCAAGGCGTGATATGAACAGACCTCCGAACCAATGCAATTTGGGGTTATTTCGCGTTCCCATTTGCGGAAGCATTTTAGTGTATGCTGACCAATATTTGAAGTTCCGCCCACCATGCTGTGCAAAATTTTCGAAGGTAAGCGTCGTCAAATTATGACTATGCAGCTTCAAAGTCGCTGATAGGAACCTGGAAAGACCCAATATACGAATCAGGTGTATTGCTCAGCGAACAATAGGGGATCGCCATATGAACGTTTTCAGTCGTAGGACGACGTCATAATGGTGCGCATTAATACTCTACACTGAATTTGACGTACGTCTCGCGCGGATTATCCACATTGGAGAACAAGGAAGATCCCTTCCGGGAATGCATGTGCATTCGTGCGGCGAAGATTATTCGGCTTCTAGATTGCTGTCTACGCGCATACTTCAGCCTGATTTTGCAGACTATGGAAGAAATGACTCGTCGAAGGAACTGACACGAGGCAGTGACATGTCAATCCCTGAGATCTCAGATGTCTTGAGAAACTTCATGCGGGGTTCGTCTACAGAATCCTTGCGGTGCATCAAGTGATGCATCATCGTAACTAGACTCTCACAAAGCACCTCCACACTACAGCACAGGACCCTAATATCCCGGTTCAGCTATGCATGCCGTATGCAGTGTTCTATCGATAGGATCACTGAACGGTAGCAGTATTCGAATGCTTCTACTATATAATGATCTTCTTGGCCAGTGCCATTTGCGCTCGCCCATTGTTCTTGCATGACTACACGCTTCCGGTTGGAATTACGTTACCTGACCCTGACAGCATTTTACACCGCACTGAGGCCGCCTGTGCCGTCGGTTATCCGAACTGCGGTCTCTCCCGGCAAACGATTCGTATTCGTCGGACCCAATAGGTACCAGGAGATGAATGTGGTCAACGATTTGGCCGCAGGTCCGACGGTAATGCCTATAACCTATCCGACTTGTCTGAGCTGGGTCCTATCGATGAGATTGCTTGACACGCGATGAGACCATGTCGAAAATAGAAAAGTCACTGAAGGAAGTCCCGGGTCACGACGAGGGCTCGGCGCAACTATTAGTGACAGAGTCCATTGACCCTTGAAGTGCTTTGTTCTCGAACTCCGTGTATCGATTTACTATATAAATACTGGCTCATGATATTCAAATTTGTCCTTGCCAAGGAGTTCAGGAAGGCTTATGGTCTTCAAATGATTCGCAACATTGGTTTCGTGAAGGGTAATTACGTGAAAATGGTACAAGCGTAATGGATATTACAGTTATATCTTTGGATACATGCATTCCCCTGCACTATCTGCGTGCTCAGTACCACTGATAAATCCCGAGCGACTACATACTAGTCAATGGAGTTACTAGTCATGAGTTAGTTCTTGATACTAGGTACTCTAAGTGCGTGAATATCTCCATATCTTCTGTCCTACGCCCAAAAGTCGAATCATCGATCGACTCAAGAATACCAGTTGTTCGCCCCATTTGGAGCGGTTCAGAGACGGCCTCCCACTAGTTACGTTCAAAATTGCCGCTTAAATCTCGTTGGAAAACAGGCGACATTTAAGCGTCCAAAAGCAGCGAGCAGAATCTGAGCTCCCCTCCTCGAACAGTGACAAATAAGCGACTGCTCGGCGCAAGCGCTCGCAGATTTTGGCTTACGGCTATGTCACGCTTGCATGATTCACCATCCTGATTGGCTGGTTAGCCCTTCGCGAACCGAAAACATGATCAGATCACGGCTGCATCACGCTTAGTCATCTGTGACACTTTCAGCGACCTTTCAGCGACTTTCAGCCACACTTGGGCGCTCAAAAGCAGCGAGAAGTCGCTTGTTTTCCAGCGAGATTCAAGCGGCAACCTTGAACGTCGCAAGTTCTGCGCAGGTTCCAGCGCTTAGAGGTGCGGAAAAATTTACCCATATTTAGTCATGACGCCCACGGAGACAAACGTCGTCGATTACTTCCTGGAGCGTGTCTCTAGCTCGGACAGGTTTGCTTCGCCACGAGCTGAGACCATAGGTAAATGCCTTGAAAATTTGTGCGCGATTATAGATCTAATTGTATTGAGCGCACAGTACTTGATGGGAATATTCAGCCTCAGAATACCATCGGTTGGCCTGAGCGGCCTGCATCCTTGTTCATGGTTCAGGCAGACGGTCGCTCAACCGAAGCCCGACAGTAAAGTAAGTCCTGTCTACCCGTGCTTTATGAATGATCACAAACTTGCATGCACAGAGCGAGACTTGGTGGGAGGATTCTCTTACGGAGGAAGAAATACTCGAATTGTGCAATACAGCACCGGAGCTTCCCATTCTCGGCAATGCTTCCTCTAGGTCGCTGAGGCCTGCGCCCATCTATGTCATCTCTCCACGAGTACTCGTCAAGCTGGGGAGCTACTACACCGGGGAATATGAATCTCGCGCGATGGAGGTCGTTCGCTCACAGACGTCAATTCCCGTTCCCAGACCATTACGTTTTATCCAGCGTGAAGGAGGGTGCTACCTGGTCATGGAGTACATCAAGGGGCGCTCGCTCGACTGGTGCTGGGACGGCCTCAGCCTCTGGCGGAAGTTCGTTATTGCCTGGACGCTCCGTGGCTACATTCGTCAGCTCAGACGCGTACGGACAGCGCAGATCGAGCACCAGATTCCTGGTCCACTAACGGGTGATCTGTCGGAACCCCTGAAGTGCATTGGGCCTGCGATGGGTGCCGAATATCATTGTGGCCCCTTCTCATCCGCGGCAGCGTTGTTTGCGTGGCTCAACGGCCGCTTGCGTGTCACCCAATACATCAAAGGGGTCGGCCTGGATATTCCTCCTTCGTTCAGACGGAGCCACTGGTCCTTGTCCATGGTGACCTCACTCCGCGAAACGTCATGCTGGACGACGACGGGAAGATATGGTTGATTGACTGGGGCTGCTCGGGTGTCTATCCTCCTTGGTTCGAGGCTGCTGCCATGCTCTACACTCGTCCGCAACCGAGTTGGTGGACATGGGTGCGGTGATTGGTTGCGGGTTGGTATGCTCGTGACATGTTGACTTACAGAGGTGCGCTGTACGCTATGACTATTGGATTCTTCACTCCTGATCCTGGCGAATGCGTGGACAACTGGTTGGTCTGAGGACTCGCATAGACAGATACAATGGAGATCACCATGTTCAATTTATGTCTTTCATCAAACGTTATCAAATTTCACTGCTGGTCATTGCTGTTGTCAAGTATATGTGACGCTATTGCTTGTTTGCGAGCGATGTGTTTGACAGAATAGCGGCTTGTCCATGCCATATACTAGAACTGCTACTGTTGCATACAAATGCGTTCCGAGCTGACTTCTCTATCAAGACAAAGATTTTGTCAGATTCTTATTGATACGGGCATGAAGCCGACCTTCGGCCATCTGTTCCAGATCCATGTGAAAGATTCTTCTCATATGATTTTCGCTTGCCCCCGAGGTTCCTGAAGCCCGCGACCTCATCGAGCTAGGTCGGAATCCCTACGTTTCCCTCATAGCCGCCGCTGTGTGTTCTTTTGCCCTCAGTGACTCGGTCTGGGAGTACTGATAGAAGGATGCGGAGTTTCCAATGCCGATGTATGTGACTTGTCAAAGCAGCGCTTTGGCAGCTCCAATCCGATAGGTCATCGAGCAGATCACTATAGCGCTGCTCACTAATGTAGTAAATACTGCCCGAATCACTCAATCTCGTTGGACACAGGATGGAAACATTTCGCCGATAATCGAACCGTTTGTCTATACTCAGCTGGAGCCAGCGCTACCTGAAACCTCCCGGCATGATATAAAAGCACCAGCCCATCGAGGCGGACATCAGGCTTGCTCGACACTCGACCACCTTATCAGTATCTTACCGACTCAACGCTTCGATATGAACCCTGATATTCGCAAGGCCATTGGTTCGCGACTATTCAAAGGAGGACAGGCTGATCTTTCTACAAAGAGTCTAGACAGCGTATTAGAGGAGGACATGGGTAAAATTGTCATACTACTGCATCTCGTATGCTCTGCGACAGAGCTGCTAAATACGGCAAGGTTTCCTATCACTGGCGGTGCGTCTGGACGTGAGGCAGATTTGAATTTGGCGCTGATCCGTATCTCTGTAGCCTCTTCTTTGAGCTGAAAGTCGAGCCGAAGCCTAATGTCAACTTCCAGAAATCGGTGGAGTTACACGTTGCACTCATCCGCGCGGCCAGCGGGCTCTCCAATACGATAGGCATAAGTCGTGCCTACGGTCACACATTACATGAATTCAAGCGCCTGGAGCTGCAACTTGCAAAGACGTTCACGGTAAAGGAAATGATCGACCTTGTAATCACCGACAAGCGGCGTCACCAATTCACGTTCGATATCAACAGTGGAAGTGGATGTGCCCCATTGAGTAGACACCTCGTTCTAACCTCCGCTGGCGTGTTCAAGGCTACATCGTTGCGCGATACATCCCAACACCATATCCCAGATCAGTCACCTTCAACATGAGGTCTATCCATGTATGCCTCTCCATCATCGACGTCTAAACCATCCGGCTCAGGTACCTCCCAGCCGTCGGCGACTTGTTTGTCGACAATCATCGATCTGATCCGTTCAATCATTTCCTGTGCCTCGCGGTCGGCCTCGTTGCGGGAAGCGGAAGCGTACTCTTCTTCACTTGCATATGCATCGAAGTTCGCAGGCCTGCCTCGCCACCCACCGTTGACATGCACGTACTGCAGGAACTGTCTCCACGTCGGATCGAGTCCCAGGATATTCGGATCACCGATGACTATGAGCAGGGATCGCGCCCTCGTTATGGCCACTACCAAGTTGTCAGAACGAAGAAACAGCTTCAATGAAGTTGGCTACCGACCGTTGAGACGGCGTCCATCGCCGACGAACCCGAGGTCATGTCTCAGGTCATGCAACAAGTTTCTGCTGCGGCTACGTACGGTTGAGATGATAACAGCGACACGTTCCTGCGCAAACTGATCAACACTATGGCGACTGCTGTAGACTATGTATCATACCGCGCCCTGGAATTCTTCGACGGGCCCAACTTTGAGCCCTTCAAGTTTGCAGTCGGATCTCCCCAACAATTGTCGAATCTTGCCACATTGGCCACTGTAAGGGCTAATGATGCCGATCTCATGAGGCTCTGCAAGTGGGCGCCCATGATCATTATGAGAATATGCTCGGAGAGAAGAGGTTCCACATACTGATAGGCACTTTACGATCTGTGACGAGCTGCTCGCAGTACTTTCTGACCAAAAATGCCTCGTCGATATTGAAGTAGGATGGCGACCCTTCCTCTTGTTCATCCCTGCCAGTCACCGAATGGAATACAACAGGAAATTTCTTCGACACAAGAGTCTCTGAACGAAGCATCCGGTGGGTAACGACAGGATCCCCAGACGGCTGTAGCTCATTATTGTAGAATTCCCTGTTGGCAAAGTTGATGATACCGGGGTGCGATCTCCAGTGTTTCAGCAGTTTCATGATTCTGAAGCGTGCATTAGCGCTAGTCCAGATTAACACGATTGCCACGTACGTGAGCCCTCTCGACGTGCTGAGATCATGAGTCGGTCGACTAATGAGCCGCTCCAGAAAGCTCGTCTTCAAGCCTAGCTCACGGGCGTAGCTTGAACGAACAACAGGGTCGAGCTGTTTCATATCACCAGCAAGAATGACATTGGTACGCGCGTCCGCCATCGTCTTGATCGGGACCATAACCTCCGGCTCCATACCCTGCCCAGCCTCGTCAATGAAGATATGGCTGAACCAGCCAAGCTCTACGCCAAGACCATAAGGGACGCCGGCGGACACGCAGGTGGCAACGACTACACGGAACGATTTAAGTACGGATAGCTCCGGGATCGCGAAGACCTGGTTGTCGTTGACCAACGAGAAGTCCAGGACGACGGATTCTGACAGCTCTCTATACTTGCGCGACATTGCGTTCAGCCGGAACAGTTGTGCAGGGCCAAGGTCAGCGAGCCTCTCGGCAATCAGATCTGCGGCCTTATTTCCTTGGGCACACGCGAGGATCCTTGCCTCAGGATTGCGCTTGAGAATTTGGAATATCGCCTCTACGATCGTCACTGTCTTTCCCGTCCCTGGACTGTGAACGGTATACGTATCAGTCACGGCGCCAACTCCAGACAAGGGCACGACTTACGGTCCAAACACAACAAAGGGTACACTCCCTGGAGGCATGGTTACGATAGCGGCAATGGTCTGCATTTGCTCATCATTGTCTATCAGCATGTTATTCTCCAGCACAAGGTCATCTATCTGCGCCCGTGAGACACGTTGCAAGCCAGCGAGGTCGCGAGACTCGGGGAACAGGATGCGTGGTGGGTTGTTCTGCATGGTGATCGTTTGGTGCGCTCTGCGCAGTGGAACACGATTGAGCTTAAAGCGCACGTCCACGGATCCGCGGAGGTTTCCGCCGAGCTTGAACTTGGGATTGACTTGAAGCGTGACTTCACTGGTGTAAATTTTGTGGATGATGCCCTCGTACCACGTCTCGTTGTTGTCCCCAGCTTGCTTGAGGAAAATGGTGTCGCCAACAATTACAGATGGTTTTCCTTCTGCGAGGCCGGGAATGGGAAGACTTTGTGCAGCATGTTATGAGATACTTAATCTAGTTAGGAGTCTGCTTCCAGAAACGCTCACCGATATCTCGGAGCTTCGTATCTTATCGGCATGTCGAACATATTGAAGCGAGCCAAGTCGGCACTGACGGTGAGGCAAGAATTGCCATTAAGTCCCATCCACAAAAACTAGTAACGCACCTCTGTTGAATCTCTTCGAGATGAAGTAATGCCTGAAAGTGCTTTCCATACGTCGCACTGCCAAACACGTTCGGCATGAACCTGCTCCGGATCTCTCCAATCAGGCTGCGTCGCGGAGGCTTCTTGAACAGCTCGTCCATCGCCTCCGGGATAGGATATTCGCCCATGCGCACCGCCCAGCGCACCTTCGTCCACGTCGGTGGGCGCGCAGTCGGGATCGCGCGCGGGTCAGGCAGGCGCGGTGCAAATGGGAGGCGCACGTAGCGCCCACGCGCGGCGAGCAGCGTGTGCACTGACGCGGAGCCGACCGTAGCGGAGACGCGCCGCACGATCGTGAAGCGTGTGCTCGTTTTGAGGTCGTGGAACTCGAGCTCGAGTATGTCTTGGAAGCGCCCGACGTACGACGGGTGAAAGGTGACGCGCACGGCGCACGGGCGGCCATGGGACACAAACTTTGACGTACCGCGGAGGACAGCAGAAAAGCTAAGCGGGCTGGATCAGCCTGTGAGACGTAGAAGAGGGGAACACGCTTACTTGCTGCTCTGGGCTGACTTACGTAGGGATGACGAGAACGCGACGCGCGCGAGCGTGATGAGGCTGCCCCGAATCTCATTGATCACGGTCACCTCTAGCGTGCGCTCCGGCGAGACGCTTGATACCGCGTCGACCTCGACGATGCCAAAGTCGACGCCGCTGCCGCCTACGCCGGAGACAACGATCCCGTTGCGGTTTTGTTCGGTCTCAGCCGTAATGTCCGCAAAGCGCTGGCGCCGCTTGTGGTACTGATCTTCCGTGACGTGCGTGTCCCAGCGCACGACGGGGACGTCGCGCTCGCAGACAGTGCAGGTAAGCACGCGTGCGGACGGCCCGGTACCTGACGCGAGCTCAGCGAGGACTCGCTGATGCTGCGGGCCAAGTCGATGCGCGTCGTAGGCGTCCATATTGTCGAGCAGGATATGGCAGACGTCGCATCGCACCTCGTTCGGACGACTCGCGGGCTGTCCCGCAGTCGTCGACGGAGTGGGATTCGGTGGTCTGGGAGGTCCTGGCTGAGGGACGGCCGATGGTCCTATGAGCGCATGAGGCGTGAGTGATAGTCTTTGTGACCCAATACAATGTTAGGGAAATCAGATCATGACGTCAAGTGAATAGCCAATATGAGTGTCCTGGCAACTCGGGCAAACGGAGAGACCTTGGATCTTAGACCTCGAAAATGCCTAGATCTAATCTCCCGAATGAAGCGGAGCAATTTCAAGCGTGGTTGCAGGAGCGCGTCACCGACTTTGAGGTTAAATTTCCTTTGGGTTCCGCTTAAGTGAACCGTCAAATCAAATTGTAAGGACGTATCCAAGAAGTCAATCTGGGCGTTTGGTGGACCCAATGTGACATCGGCTCCACTTTTCGACATCGTGGATTTCGTTGTCTTTTGATGCAAGCAACATCGAGATAGAGATTATCGGAAAGGATGTACACTACATATGCGGAAGGCTCGTGTCATTCAGAGCAGATACTCACCTGCTGCGGATTGATGAGTGGGTTGTGCTCCCAGCCGATGTCTGCTGCCGTTTAGGTGTTCCTGCATTTGTCGATCACTGTTGATTTTGATAGCCTGACCACAGGTGCATGTGAACGGTCCACGCCCGGGATCAATTACCGACTGCAGCGCGGCTTGTGACACCATTTTACCTGCAGGATTGGCTCCATTTCTCGCACGAAGTAGCTTTGTATGCCTTTGACCACGCATATGCGGCCGTAGGTTGCCTTGCAGGACTTCCAGACCGCAATCACAAAGGACCATTATCACTGTGAGCTGTGAGGTTCAAGGAGGCTGTGGAGGGACAGAGAAAGGACTTTGTTTCAAGGTTCACGAAAAATGCAGTGTTGGACATTGACAGATAGGCTCTGAGATCTGGTAAGGAAAAATGTGGACCTGCCAGGATGCCGAAGAGAGTGGACACGGTTTAGTATGATGGTTTCCACGCCTGTCGCACGAACGCGGAAATAATGCACTGGGCGCATCATATCAGCTCCCGAAGAGACGGGTGTAGAGCGTCTGATCACATACTAATACTTGGAGATGCCTTATCAAATTCTGTTAAAGCGCCACATTAATCAGCTGTTATACAATGCCCACCAAAGCCGCGCATCAGTGAAGCGACCCATCAAGTGTCCAGACAAGCATAGTCTGTCCCTGCTCTTATAAGCTGCCTGAACACTGGGCAATGGAGGTCCGTTCGAGCGGAAGGGAAGCCTGAGACGCGTAGACACATGATAGCCGCTCACAGAAGGGTTGAGCGCTAAACATTGAACGGGTTCCCTTCCGATGACTCTGCAAACGTTCCGTTGCGTGTTACTGTCTGAAGCGCATCTAGCTATTGTTTCTTCATGAGGCATAACATAAATATATGAAGTGGTAAAGCCGCAAATGGAGAACAGGATGTTACAACACTGCTGATGAACAACTCGCTTCGACACACAGATACCATGAGACCACATTCACGCAAATACGCAAATTTGTTTCCACATAGGACGGGTCCGCTTCTCATAGATAAACACGCTACTACCATTCTAAGCCACCGGCGTATAACTAGGACAGGCTGGAAGGCCGACGGAAACGTCTGGTCATACCATCGGACTAGGTACAATACTCTCAGTCGGAGCGATGAAAACAAGACTGGCTATCCCGGACGACGACCATTTTCAACGCTGTCAAAGTAAGAAATGACATTTTATCGTTGATAAAACGGCTCACAACTGGTGAACGGTCATTGTCTCTTGTTTAAGACACGTCCGCTAAATGTACCCCCAGACAGAATGAAACTCCTTTGATTCAAATCCTAGCTACAGTTCTTGATGGAAAATCTCCAAGTATGCCTACCAGCCAAATCGCAAACAACAACGAGCTACTGATCGGAACGAGGCATTCGTTAGTCCTCCTTCACGGTCGTCCACTGATGACTGGCCTACCAAGTGCAAACATTATGTTCGTGGTCTCTTCGCGTGGTCTCCTCGTTCAAACGTCACAGACACTGCACTCACACCTCAGGGGTTCCTGGGCTTTCATAACGCGGACAGATCGACTACCGTGATCTCATTGCACAAGAAGGCGGCGGCGGCAGCAGGACCCACAATACACCGCGAAGTGCAAATGTGAAAGCAATCAGGTATCGCTCGTGTATGTTTCCAAGAAAGACGTGAATACAGGTGACAACGACCATACTATCTCCTCGCGCACCCCGTACGCCCACTACCAATACACGAGGTCGTATAGGTCAACACTGAAGAAACAACGCCGGGCACAGGAGCGACGATCTGAGTGCACTCAGCACTTGCACTCGTTGGGCTTGCACTGGCACCTGTGGGCGAAGGATCAGTCAGTGATTAACATTGGCATCTGACCAATGGACGGATACTCACGCAGCACCGCAGTTGCATTGGCTCTCGCCGCAAGTACCTGCAGCGTTCTTGGGGACGTCGATGATCTGTGACGGCAGGACGGTCAGTACAGCAAGCGGGACGACAGAGTCAATGACAACTGACGGTGAACATGATGAAGAGAGGTGGGTGAGCAGGTAGGTAGGCTGGTGATTTGATTGGATTGTTCTGTTGAACTGGCTAGACAGAGGGCACGCAGACGGGGTTTTATACCGCTCTGCAGCACTGACACGTGCGGGATGGTTGAAGCCCGATGGTAGATATTTGATCTAAGTTTGGCCTAGCGCGGGGCCAATGTGTCTTATGACCACACCCGACCCTCTTGCAGATTGTGCCTCCTTCTGTTCATCGTGGGCCTTCAGTAATTTGTCAGATCACGGAGGAACAAAGGCGTCCGTTCGGTCTCTTCTGTGAGCCTGGCCCCCTACCGGTATCTCTAGAAGCTCCACTACGGTTCTCTTCGCGATCCTCAAAGTGCACTCAGAAGACCATCAGGTGAGCCACCGTCCGTTTCTTGTGCCGCGTTATGATCACTGGTTGCGCGCCTTGCTGTATGTACGGCTGCTCTTTCGCACGTCTATCATATCCTAGAAGAGAGTTGCCGCATCTGCTTCCGGGATTTCGCTGTGAGCACAAATGCCTCGTCTTCTTCCGCTCGCCGATCAGTAAAGCAGAATGACACGGTCGCGGCGTGGGAAGCCCCGGACCTCCTTACAACAGTTTGTTCAGTCCGCTCACGCAAAACCGCTCGGCTCCAGTCCGCATCACTTCTGGCACGGTTGCACCGGGGATCCGGTGTGCTCTTGTGTAAGATGCTGTACTCCGAGCAGTCAGTTTTAGGACTCTAGATCAGGATTCAACCCAGCAAACTTTGAGAGGTGCTTTGCGCTCTGCAGTGATTTGTCACGGCGAAGACTTCCCCTTGCTCGTCTCATTGAACACCCTCGGTGCATTTGTCCATCGCATCTTTCAGTCTTCCGGAGGCTGTGAAGTGTGGAGAACTGCACTGATGTCGTCCCGTCTATCTTATACATCTTATCTTATCTCTACTCATTTTGATCCCTCGTGCATAAGGCATTCTCCGCAGCGGTTGTGGTCGTTCTTACGGTCTTCGCTGCCCGCACAAATGGCTCAATGTCCTCGGCATCGCTTTTCCCGTGCTCCACGGAGAATGGTCCCGTGCTGCAGAAATGCCTCGGAGCGCGGACCGCGAAAATGTCTCATGAAACGCGCCGACACCCCGGGACTGCTACCGCGTACACGATCGTCATAATATCTCAATGTTCAGTGGCCATTCACATGTCGTGGTCAGCCGCATGTGACCAGGTCGCGAAGATCGTCAAGGATGCTTGTGTTGGGACTTGGGATTGTGGCGAGTGCATGCCACCGTATTTGGCATTGTTTGTAGTACCTCGCAGACTTTGTGCGAGCTGCTCTGTACGTTCCTCACGCGTTTGACAGAGCCCAGACAAACACGATATATCTTTGTCGATCGTTCTCGCTTCGGGTTTCAGACGAACTCCAACAGTTTGAACACAGGCACGTCATACAACGCTGGGTATATATGTCATGACGCGCCGCATCCACTGGACGAGTCTCTTTCAGTGTGCTGAACGGACATGGTGCCGTTTCTTAAGACAATGTCGAGTGCTGCATTGATGATGTCTCTTTCACGTTGACCTTGGTTTGACGAGATCGCGGGAAATACACACCTTTCTCCACGTTTGACACACCGTGCATGTTGCACCCCACGCGTACGCAGCGTCAGTCCCCCAGTGACAAGTGATTCCCCGTCGGTGATGGTCTTGTGCCACTTGTATTTTCGCTGTTCATTTCAGATTTCAGGGGTAATGTAGGATTCGCCATTTGCGGAAGCACTTGCTCCTCGTGGTGACCACCGAAATTGAGAAGCTACTGGGAGGCCTTTCTTTAGGACGTCCCACAGTGTGCCGTTGCTCTAGCGTGAATGGTGAGTGCGATATTTCCCTCAGGCGAATCAAAAATAGCTGCTGTCCGGACCCTTGAGTTGCCGGTACTGAAGCTAATTCGCAATGGTGGTATGAGGGGACTGGTGTGTGACTGGATGCTGCCTCTCAAGGGCTTAATTACAGTGCTGATCGTGCTAACGGAAACATGCCACCTTGGCTGTACAGGCACATATTGACCTTTCCTGTCCCATTTTCTGAGACAGTCGCCCAGGTCTCATCAAGCTTCTTTCACTTTGGGACGGCGTGAGAGTATGTGCACGGATATTGGTGACTAGCTGCCACATTTCCTGCTGCGGTGTTCAAGACACAAGGGCGCGTGATGCTAGGCCTTGTACGCTCCGAGGTCTTCCAACAGCTGCGTAGAGCGTCAGAGGTCAACATTGGACAGCGGGTGGCGAGGAGCATGCTGCCATCAGGTTCAAGTCAAGGCCCCGTAGCGAAACGCCGTCACAAAAGCCTCCTTGTGCGAGAAACTTACGCTCGCGATCACTTTTGTTCGCGCTAAACCTGTCCTAGCGGACCCTGATCGTGAGGTTGTGCCTGGTCGTCTCCCGTAAATCGTACTGCACTAGACATGTCGCGCCTTCGCGGGTATTTGCGGCTCATTTGACTCGATGCTCGGCGGCTCTTCTAACAGCGCACGCCGCCAGCCTTCCGGGCTGGGCAGCGCCCAACGGTCTGCTTTTCTTGCAATGCTGCTTTCACGTTCATAGCATGTTCGACTGTCTCGTGATAATACGGCGATTATAGAGCTGTATGTGCAAGACTAACCGTACGAAACGTGGTGTGGATATGCTGTGAGGACGAGATATACAAGCACGAGTCAGAGCTTCTCTCGGACCCGTTTTGTTCGCTGGACAGGCACGTCGTCTACCCAGCATACGAGCATTCTTCTCACGTCTAGAACTATCTGGGCAGGATCAATTCAATTTGTAAACGTACCTCCGACTATCGCGGGCAGTGACAAGTAGCCCTCCCTGAATTTGATGTTCAAGTGACTCATACCCACATACATTGTGCAAGCCCCAGAAATAGCATACGTACGCTCTTGTGGTCAATGGATACAGGTGTTTTCGCGGTTGTCAATGTATGTTTATCTGCCGCAGTCAAGGAACATCGAAAGGGACCATCCGAGCCGAAGACCACCACCATAGCTTGGCTGCGAGGTGCCGAAGAGCCCAGATACCGCTTATGTACAGCGAGTTGCTACGTATCCATGGGAGAGTCTGTAGTATTGGGAACAACGCGTCTTCCGACGGGTGATATATCGGCGGAACCGAAGACTCGTCGATGTCTCAAATTCTCTGCTGCTGTGTCCTGGTGTTTACACGTAGGACCACAAGCATAGCCCTGTGATACAGATCATCAATATTAATGATGTCTTCAAGAAAGCAGACAGACGCTGCAGGCACTCCCGTAAAGGCGAAGCCTAACACAGGACCGATGTCGGAAACCTAAATATAGGCAGGTCTTGGCATTGATCGAGGGGTTGAAGCTCCGATTACCCGATCCGGAAGGGAATGTCTTTCGGGCCTGGCGCTGGCCTCTCTTATTTCTTGACCACGTCGTTGCCGTCTCCCAGAGTCTCTGCTCACTCCCGCTCACAGCGCACCCTTCCGCTCGTTCAGCAGCACCCTCTTTTCTTTCTCCAGCCATGTTCTCTCGTGCCTTCGTTGCCCTGGCGTTGACAGCCACCATCCCCGCAACCCTCGCGAACGTCTACGTACGCAGGAATAATCGTGCTCGACGATGTTCGCGCTGATCATCGCACCTATAGGTGACCTCCCCCGTCAAGGGCACCACTTGGCCTGCTGGCCAGAACCAGACCATCTCCTGGGAGGAGAGCGGCGCCGCGCCGACCCTTGACGCCTTTGGCCTTGCGGACGTTTCCATCTATGTGGGCAACCAGATTCAGCAGGTAGGTTGGTTTTCTTCCAGCGACACGCAATATTACGCGACGTTGGGCGAGGCGCAAGTTCCATGCGCCTGCCATGCCGCCCCCCGTGCCTATCGGCGCTCCGTGCGTGCCTGAGCGTATGGCGCCTGATCGGCCGTCCGCGTGATACCCGACGCTGATCGCTCCCGCCTCTCGACAACGCTTCGAGCTCGAGGCACATCTGTTGGTGCCCATCGTCGCGTTGTTAGTGCAATGGCAATCTCACTTGATGACACTTGCCTATCCCGTGATTAAGTTCCAACATTGATCACGCACCTGTTTCCAGACCTCTGTCCAGGCGATCGCGACCAACGTGAACGTGTCCTCCACCAAGTCCATCATCTTCACTCCTAACCCGAGCGTGGGTCAGAGCGGTACATTCTAGTGCGCGCAGACGTCCCTTTTCGTCTCTGCTTCCTACTGATGTTCATTCACTGCCAGCTTCGTCCGCTTCGAATCCACCACCGCCAAGGACCCGAACAACACCGCCTACCCCGCTGAGGCCTTCTCCGCCACCTTCGCGTGAGTATTTTCTTACTTTTATTCCCTCATCGTTGTGCGTATTGACGTGCACTCCATCGCAGCCTCTCCGGCATGACCGGCACGTTCACTGCCGAGGAGCAATCCCAGATTAACGGCGCTTCGTCATCGTCCGCCGCCGTATCGCCAAGCACCGCCGCGGCCAGTTCGTCGCCGCTCGCCAACTCCGCCGCGACGCACTCCGCATCGTCGAGCGCTTCTCCTAGCCAGAGCGCTGCCGCAGGTGCGGCGAACACGAACGGTGCCCGCTCGTTGGCGACTGGCAGCCTCGGTGCGTTCGCGGGTATCGCGCTCGCGGTCGTTGGTGCAATGGTGCTTTGAGTGGTTGGTCCTTGATTGTTCCTCGCTTGATATGCCGCTATGTTTGCTTCGTGATTGTTTTGTGGGTTGGGCGTACTACGTAGGCTAATAGAGGCTGGATAAAGCAGACCGAAAATAATATACCCTGGGTTCGTTTGACAAGAGATCTTACGGTTCGCGCGGCGTCCTTGACACAATGCACATGCCTAAGTGTGTGCTTACTGGTAGCCTACAGTAGTATGTAGCACCGCAGATAATGTCCGGTAGATTCGTTGTGTGATGGAAGTTGAAACGTCTCGTCACCACTGTACTTGCTATTAGTTTCGGGGGTTTGCAGACCCCCAGCGCTTACGGTTTCAACCGCAGAGAGCACAGTGCATCATTCTACCGGGCATTATTGCTAATGCATCCAACAGGCTCCTGGTCAAGGTACCTTGAGAACAGTATGGATGCTGCAAATGCATTGCTCGGACAGGAGGTAGTTCTGCAAAGTTTGTCACACCAGGGTCACACCAGCATGTTCACACCCGATGCGCTGCAGAGCGGTGATCAGAGCGCCACAAGTGGATTGGGGTTCGGAGTCCTGCCGCGTTTCGGGCAGTAAGTAGTGGAAGACGTTAAGTAACTCGTATCACTGAAACTTGGAGTCCGAGTGCAATATGTATCATGTGTGAATAACGAGTCTTCTCATCATCGTATGTTAGAAGGATCGACTTCAGCCCTTCAAAGGAGATCATGGCGGCGATTCTGGATCTTGTAAACTGATTAGAACCACGCTTGCTAGGCCAGAGTCGCGATAGAACAGGCACGTTATGTACATAGGCATGGTCAATGTGGTATACGGGCTATCGAATGCGTGTTTCGCTGAGCACGAATCAAAACAAACAAACCACGGTATGAGGAGCGACGAAGTGACATATCGACAGTGACGAGGCCGCTTCGTAAGTCGATATAACCGGAACACATACAGGCCTCCTGAGCACAAGAGGCGTAGTTATCACTTGTCTCGTACCCAGCCGGTTTCATCCCGCACCCCACCACCGCTGATCAACGGGTGGTGTGCGGGATGAAACCGGCTGGGTACGAGACAAAGTTGTCACTAGAGCAGGTGCCAGCGCTGTACCGCACCGCACCATATCATCAATACCCACTAGCGTCGCACCAAGTGCCCGTGGTCAAATATGAACTATTCGACCTGATCACGCGTAGCCGACCGTCATGCATCATGACTTACTAAAGCAGAGGCAACATCGACCGCGGAGGTTGGCTGGTGTGCGTTCATGAGGCATTTTCGCGGTCCGCGCGCCGAGAGAAGTTTGCGGAATGAGGTACTTCTGCGGCATGGAGCTATTCCTTGCGAGGAACGTACAGTGATGCAGGGGACCCTGATGCGTTTAATGCGGGCGGCGATGACCACAGGATTGACCACACTCACTTGAGATAGTGGGGAAATGCCGCCGGTGAGATCTTGAGGGATCGAACTGAATAGAGATAAGATAAGATAGATAAGATAGACGGGACGCAATCAGTGTAGTTCTCTCCGCTCAGCGGGCTTATGGGCTTGGGAGGCTTGGAAGGTGCTAAGGGAAATAATGACGGCGAGGAGAGTCAACGCTATGAGCCAGGGGAGGGCCCTGGTCACACAAGCTCACCGCAGGGGAAGAAGCACCAGTTGAGTGGTTAGCCGACCGCCTTTCAGCGAGCGGAACAAACATTGCTCTTGCTTCCGGACTTCTCTCGCATCGCAACGGTATCATTCTGCTGTGCCGATCGGCGAGCGAAGGAAGGCGAGGCATTTGTGCGCACAGCAACGTTCTAGAACTGTAAAACGCCTAACTCTCTTCGGAGATACGATAGACATGCGAAAGAGCAGCCGCACATACAGCAAGACGCACAACCAGCGATCATAACGTGGTACAAGAAACAGATGGTGGCTCACCCGATGGTCTTCTTGGTACGCTCTCGTGCTCACGAAGGACTGCAATTGAACCATTAGAGGAGATGAGCACACAAACCACACGGAGCGGGTGCCTTTGTTCCCCGGTCTGACTAACTGACAGTGATGAGTGGGGCTGAGGTCAGTTCCTGCACGATGAACAGAAGGGGGTACAAGTTGCGACAGCGTCGGATGTAGTCTTAGGACACATTGGCCCCGCGCTAGGCCAAACTTAGATCAAATCTCCACCATCGGGCTTCAACCATCCCGCACGTGTCAGTGCTACAGAACGGTATAAATACCCATCTGCGTACTCTCTGTCTATCCAGTTCAACCGAACAATCCCAATCGAATTACCAGTCTACTCACCTACTCACCTACCTCTCTTCATCATGTTCACCGTCAGTTGTCATTGACTCTGCCGTTGCGCTCGCCGTGCTGACCGTCTTGCCCTCACAGACCATCGACGTCCCCAAGAACGCTGCCGGTGCTTGCGGCGAGAGCCAATGCAACTGCGGTGCTGCGTGAGTATCCGCCCACTGGTCAGATGCCAATGTTAATCACTGACTGATCCTTCGCCCACAGGTGCCAGTGCAAGCCCAACGAGTGCAAGTGCTGAGTGCACTCAGATCGTCGCTCCTGTGCTCGCCGTTGTTTCTTCAATGTTGACCTATACGACCTCGTGTATTGGTAGTGGGCGTATGGGGTGTATGGGGTACGCAAGGAGACAGTAGGATCGTTGTCACCTCTGTTACTGTCCTGTTTCGGAACAAACACGAGCGCTTTCTGCTTTCTCCGTGCGTGCCTGCTGAGTGCCGTAGCTAGAAAGACTTTGCTACTGCATCATTTTCAAAGGCGATGCGAAGCCATGTTCCACAGTTAAGCGGAGGAGCTATTTGCTCTTGATTCTCCCTTTCTGATTCTGGGGCTTCTCTAGTTTAACGCATGTCTTTGTTACCATGTTGCTCGTATCACCAGTTATAGTATCATTCTAGTACCCAGCGGCGCAAAGGCTGACGGGAGGGACTGAATTATCGAGTTCTTCTAGCCTGATTTGCCAGTAGTGTATGCTCGCTTCGAGGGTTTTGTTTGTAGGAGGTTCAGTGGAAGTGGCAACAGCCTGAGGCGCCGTGGGACTCCCATTGGCAAACACTGATGCCTGACCAGTCGATCGCAAGAAAAGGTAGGCTGTCATGATGCTCTTGTCGCATCAATTTGTAACCTGCAACAACGGTCAGGTTTCAACTGAGCTGCTCATGAAGATTGCAATAGATTGGGGACACGAAGCCAAATTGGAGCGCGGCATAGCTTAGATCAGGTGCCCGCGCCAAGAGTCACACTGGCAGCAGAGTAACAGAGTGACGCGCTTCGCTTCTGGGAACGGTTGTGCTGCGAAGCGAGCTCGTTTTGTATGTTCCATATCTCGAGTACACAGTATGTGGGTAGGATCTTTTTGTTGCTGCCACTGCTGATGGCTTTTTGTATCAGTCGTGAATCAATACAGACGACGATTCGACCTCATCGATGCCATCAGACGATACCAATGCTTCACCCTCTTCGTTGTCACGTCGCGCTTTAAATCATCCATTTACCAAACCCACAGCCGACGTCAAGCTGGTAGCCGCAGACGGGGTATAATTCAGAGTCCACTCCATCATCCTTGCAGAAGCGTCTCCATTTTTCGAGACCCTCTTCAGCTTACCCCAGCCATCACTAGCAGACGAAGCACAACGCGAAGACATCCCAGTCATTGCGTGTACAGAGACTAGCATCGTATTAGATCATATCCTACGCATATGCTATCCAATTGAGGCCCCGATGGTGGATAACCTAGATGATATAGGTGACGTTCTCCAAGCCGCGATCAAGTACGACGTCCTACTCGCTGCCAATATCATGAGGAAATGCGCTATGGAGTACAAGAATGACAATCCTGTAAAGGTCTACAGCATCGCATGCTCGAACCACATCGAGGAGATGGCACGAGAGGCTGCGCAGGCGGCCCTACAAATCCCCTTCGACCGCCTACTAATCACTGATCACGTGAAAGGCCTCACAGCCGGAGAACACTCCCGACTCGTACGTTTCCATCTATCCAGCGGGGAGGTCCCAAGTAACTTCATATTCTGTTCGTCGTCACACTCTACGACGACCAGTCTGGACACGCCACTTGTCATGGATGACACCCCTACTGCCCATGATGACTTTCCCACAGATCGTGTCTCGATGTCTGTCCATCTCAGCTTATTCAAGACAGTGCCCACTGATGTCGTGCTGCTCTCGTCGGACCACGTGAAGTTCAGCGCTCATCGAGCGGTCTTGATGATATCTTCTTCCGTCTTGGAACAGTTATTAACATCTACCATACCATCTGGATGTAGCTGTTCCGTCGACGCAGAGGCGGATCGACATCTCGTGCATCTACCGGAGAGCAGCTCCACTATCGAACTTCTCTTGAGACTTTGCTACGCCGGACGCTCCCGTGACGCCATCGCTATTGAGGACGTCCCCGAGGCCATGTTGTTTGCAGCCGTCGCCCAACAGTACAAAATCAATATTGACCCACTTCTACCCACTATATTGGCACTCGTCGACACTGATCCCATCCGTTCCTATTTTCTTGCTCAGCTGCACAAGATGGACATATATGCGATTCAGGCAGCAAGGACGATCGTTTGCAGCCGATTGGGGCCTCTTGGTTCTTGGGATCAGTGGAAAGGAGTACAGGAGATGGAAAATGTCCCTGCTCTGGCGCATGTTCATATTTTGTTATACCGAGTCAGGGTATATCGCCGGTGCACAAAAACAACGACGACGACGGACCATCAGGTAATAGCCAACGTCATCCAATGTACTCCTTGCGTCAAGAAATTGGACACGACGAACCCATGTTGGTGGCGTAGAGAGCGGTGGGAGAGCGCCTTGAAGGAGTACATGTCCAAACGTAAACCAGCGATTCTCAGTACAAAGCTATTCGACCCCGTTGCAGTCTATGGGAATGCGGTCGAACAACTCGTTTCCAACAACGAACTCTGTTCTTCTTGCAGAGAGCCGAAGGCCCTCGCAAGATTGATGGAAGTGGCGAAAATCCTTACCGAGGCTGCGGAGAAGAGGTTCCTTGATGTGAGTGAATAATTCACATATTATATTGCGTCCTCACGAGTTGAATCCTTGTTATTCTAGACGACTTTGCCAACCATACCAACTGAGTCTTGAATGGCATTTGAGTCTGAAGTCCCAGTGTGCGAGGAGGTGTTGGTGCTTGCTTCGGAACTTGCATGGGTGTAACTATTTTCGTCTTGCACAGCTGCTAACCATTCATGTTATCCTTGAATATCATATAACTGTATATCACACTCTGACAATATATATCAATCCGTCAGTGTTCCATAATCATTGACTACTGAGAGCCTTTACACTTCAGCAGCGGACTTCTCAGTATTGACTGGACGTTCCGGTTACTGATAGGAGATTTGCGGAGGCGTACACATCTGGAAGATGACTGATCTGCTATGGCATTCATAATGCACCATGACGCCGAGTACAGTTACTATAGTGCAATGCAATGGTCAGCAGCTACTTCGTTTCCTAACGACGAGCATTTCTAACTTTATATGGTCAATGGCGTTGGCGTGCGATTGACTAACAAGGGGATAACGTCTGCTCACACTAACCCTCAGACCACTGACGAGCGCATCAATATCTGTATACAAGCGGATCTGGAACGAAGAAGCTGATGGTCATACCGTACATCGCACTTATGTAAGTGTTCATGTCGCGACGACGATCTTCCCAATCCATGTCCAAAAGCTCAGTTGCGGATCGGCATAGAACATGGAATCAGCCTCGATCCAGGTTAGATATGTATCTAAGCAGTCCAATTAATCCGCCGTGACATTTTAAATTCGGTTTTTGCGGCCGGAGGGAAAGACGCCGCCCTCGTCAACTGGTACCCGGTCAGGAATGAATTAGCTTATCTCATGGTGTACTTGAGTAGCCCTTCGTTGATGAAATACCCCGCATGTTTGCGACGCTGACTCCCTACTCCTCAGAACGGCTCGTTCGACGACTCTGGAGCAGCTCATTCCAACAAACATTTCGTTACCGTCCAGCATGACGTTCTGTGAAGTGAAAGGGTAAGCAGCTCTATCTGAACGAACAGAGGGGTCTTCAGGGACACCGTTTCGTCACATTGGTTAACACGCAAGTGTCCGTTGCAACTTCGATGATCTTCGCGCCGTGAGTGGACCGGGAACCTGAAACTCGTTCTATTATATCCGTACACGCCCGAGCTGGAGAATGTAGCCGCAGAGTATCCTTGCGACGACGAAGTTCCGCCAGAGACTGAGCTGTCTCAGCACCAGTCAAGCGAGCGTCCTACATCGCGCAATGGTCGGAGATCGATGTACGACCTCCATCGTGCGGCCTTCATACTCCTCGACGTCCGCTTTAAAGAGATGACGTAAATTGGCGGATGCAGCACAGACGCCGCAGTGTCAAAACCTTCTAATTTTGGAGCCTTTTTGCACAACTGAGGTCTCTTTCTGTGAGAGCTTCTTCCCGCCAGGTATTGCTCTGTGCAGAAATATTTGGCATCTTGAATGAGACATTAGCAGGAGAACTCACAGCACCATTGAGCTCACATCAAGCGACCCCTCGACTGAACCATATTCAATAGAATTTTGAGGCTCGGCCTGTGTGACCGCATTAATATTGTACTTTGCTCTGTAAACGTCAGATTTACGGTTATACATGGTATTTCATGACATTGACAGTGACATATAGACATGGCGAAGCAAGCGCGGGTCATTCAATAATGTCTGTGTGCGCCACTGCTAGATGTGAGAAGAGCCCGATCATTCGATCATTCCGTACCCTATTGAACGCCCAAGCCCAGCATCGTGTTAGCTGGCCTGGACGGCAATAAGAGGTATCAGGCAAGATACGCAGAATGAAGAGTAAGCAGCATCGTCGAGCGCAATTGCGTTTCCGGCCATAACATTGACCTCGAGAGCATTTCTCGTCTTCGCTCGCTTTGGGATAGTCCTCGTTGCGACTCGTGTTCGAAGCCTGGCCTGTTCACATCGTCTTTTTCTTCGACCGTGAGTAACACAGAGATCCCGTCGAAAAATGAACTTGAATCTCGCATCCGTGTGGTTGGAGATTTAAATAGTAGGCCTTACCACAAGGAACTGAACAGAACAGCGCGAACCCCCAGTAGTCGAGCACGAACCACTCCGCCTGTCCATGCGTAGCTCGTCTACAAGGTCGATAGCGCAGTGGACTGTGGGAGTTCAGGAGCTATTTTTGCGGCCCGCAGTCCGAGGCGATTTTGCGGAATGAGACATTTCCGCGATACGAAGCTATTCTTGGCGCGAGTAGAAAGGTCCCTGAGGCGTTTGTGCGGACCCCCCAAATCAGAGTATGAGCATCTTCGCTGACCGGAACGCAGAGAGATAAGATGAGATCGATGAGATAGACGGACGCTATCAGCACTAGCACTTCTGCAGAAAGTATGCCGGGCATACGATCAGAGGCTTGGAAGGCTTGGACTGCGCGATGAGAATCGGCACAAAGCACAGTAGAGAACAAACTTGCGATTGTGATGATAGAGACATCTTATGCCACTTGTCTATGGCTGGTGAGAGTAATGATGGCTCACCAATTAATGCGCGCCTGTTGATTGGCTTCTCAGAGCATCGCAACCTAAGCAGATACTGCTGTGCTTCCGGACTTCTCGCACGGTATTATTCTGATCAGCGCCCATACGAAGGCGAGGCATTTGTGCGCACGATAGCATTCTGGCATTCGGCATCAGTCCTGATTCCAAAATCTGCCACCTCGCCCCTCCGCGATATGGCAGACATGGGAGAGAACAGCCGTACATACAGCAAGGCGCGCAGCCAAGAGTCAAGGGACGGCAACAAGAATAGATGGTAGCTCACCTGACAGTTCCTTCGATACACTTGAGGATCTAGCGAATTTGACTTGAAGGCTGACAGTTCCCGTGCGATGGAAAGAAGGAAGCAGGAGCAGCAAGAAGGATAATTGCGGCCTCAGAATATCTTCTTCACGCGCCGGACCGAAATAGGACCAGATACCTACCGGTACCGTCAGGCGTGAAGCATTACGCACGTGTGAGCAGCTGCAGAAATGTATAAAAGACTGTCTGCGTGCCCTCTATTCAGCCAGTTCACTCCAATCGCACTACCAGCCTACTCACCCACCCACTCACCTCTCTTCACCATGTTCATGGTCAGTCGTCGTCGCCTCCGTTTCTCTGCTCGCTATACTGACCACCTTGCCCTCAGACCATCGACGTCCCCAAGAACGCTGCCGGTACCTGCGGCGAGAGCCAGTGCAACTGCGGCGCTACGTGAGTACCTACCTACCCATCAACGAGCTGTAAATCACAGGCTGATCCTGTCCTCCTACAGCTGCCAGTGCAAGCCTAATGAGTGCAAGTGCTGAGCGCGCTCCCACCACTCCCCTTCCAGTCTCAACCTGGTGTACTAGTTATGGAAATGTGATTGTTGGGCGTACGAGAAGATAGGAGGGTCGGTGTCGCTTGTATTGATGTCTTGAATTGAAACATGTGCCGCATAGCCAGTGCTGCTATCATACCCGAACAGTCAAGCGCTCTGACCCTGGTCGGCGTAAGCGGTTGGTTTAGGGGAGGGAAGTGACACGAACGAACCGAACTGTGCATAAATTTCGTTTCGCCCCATGTAAGGCAGGCATATTGCGAGATAAGACTGCAGAATCAACTACAGATTGTAGTTGGCCAAAAGACCGGTTCAGCTTCGACCTCAACTGCAGGAGATATGGAGGGACGTTTGACATTTCGGGGATATAAACAGTGTCTGACCTACACTGTATGGTACGACTAGTAAACAACGTCGTACAGTGTCCGCACGACGTGGTCCGCCTTCCTCCCTGTTGGCTTCACGACGCCCAAATAGTCGAGTTCGTGCAGCGCGCGGATGAAGCGTACCCGTACCTCAATCCGCCACGCCTCCGCCGCCTCCTCATCTTCGTCCTCACCCAATTCACTCTCCTCCTCTTCAGATCTGCCTGCATCTTCGTCGGCCTCATCAACCTCCATCGGTATATGGGCGCGCGCCCTGCCCTTTCCCTTTCCATTTGACACCGCGCCACTGACGCCGTGTGTGTGCGCATTTCCGGAAGAGGTGACAGCGGCCCTACGCTCTCGGCGGCGCCGCCCGTCGAGCGCGCCCGCAAAAGACTGGAACCAGTCGTACACATTCACCAGACGCCCCGCTTCCGCATACCGCCGGAAGAGGAGCGCCGTGTCCGGGAGTCCGTCCTCGTCCTCGCCTTCATCTTCTCGAACATCCTGATCTGCCGATCCCGTCTCAGCCTTATCTTGTGGTATGTACATGCGGAGTAGCCGCGCATAGGCGGCAGCATGTTCGTTGGGGTGCGCCAGGGCAGAGACGAGGGCGGGGCGAGGCGCAGGGTTAATCAGCTGCGGGTAATGGTGAGCCATCCGATACAGAAAACAGGGTAACGAGGGGGACGCACCTCTGCGGGAAAGGGCGCAGACCCTGTGTACCAAATGTCCCAGAGCGGGCCGTCGTCCAACCGTATGAGATGTTTCCTGACGAGAGGGTCAGTGTGGACAGTCCACATGAAGCACGCCGTGTGGCAACACTCACTCCAGATACCCGAAGAGCCACTCGCCGAGGTCCTTTGCGAGACGAGCGACGAGTGGGTCGCGTGATTTCTCGGCATCCACAGACGCATTGTCTGTATCTGCGAGCTCTGTGAGGGCCCCGCTTACACGGACGTGAGCATCCATCTCAGCATCGCGCGCGTCGGAGTCTTGCAGACCGTCGTACAGTGCCTGTAGTTTTTGCAGGACTATCTGTAGTTGCTGCGCGTTGCATTTGCTAGAATATGCAAGTGAGCACAGAAGGCATCTAGTTGTGGGTCACAGGGCGCACCTGAGGGCCGTCGCCAACTGTCGCACGTCCCGATTCGCCCGCCCACGCAGCGCGGCAATCAGGGTGTCGAGCATGCTGCTTTCGTTCTCCCTTTCGGTCTCGATGGCCTGCCGTACGATGCTCATCACCGACAGTCCGATGCGCATCGTGCGCAATTTGCGATAGAAGCCGTCGCGAGCTGCGTTGACAGAGCGTAGGAGCGAGATCGCGTCCTCGTCGACGTCGTCTGGATTGGAAGTGGAACGGGCTAGTCGAGAAGTCAGCACATCCCGGAACGGCTGAGACTCTGGCTGGTCCAGTTTCTGTCCGGCTAGCCGTTCGTTCCGGAGGCCCAGTGTTGAAGATTCGATGAAGATTGTCAAGGGCTCCGTGAAATGTTTCATGAGAGCGAGCTGTAGAGTATGGATCAACTGAATCGCGCAGATGGACATGCTCTGATCCTCGCAATCAAGACAAACCTGGATGATCGTCAACGTCGCATCAACGGATGCCGTGTGACGAGACACGAAGTCCGCCAGGAAGCCTAGCGAGCCGGGACCAAGCATCACCGCCGGCTCAAAGTTCGGATCACAGAAAGTCTGGGAACTCGTATGAAACGAAGTCATATTAATGCTGTTAATAATAAGTGCCTACCTTTTCCACGAGTTCGTCTATGAGCTCAACATTCAAGGGCGCACTGAACTTGTGTATGCTGAGAAGCGCAAGTGTCGAGCGTGGATAGGTTGTGTGCAGGAACGAAGGACTAGGTGGGGATGACATCGCCAGGATGTAGACCAGGGGTAACTCGGGTATGTGCAAGCTGGGAAAGGTCAATGGACGAGCAGAGCTCTAGCATAGAGCACTCGCCTGGATATGTAGAACACATCTTGCACCACTGCGGGCTCGAATTGTTCAAAATCATGCAGAAAGATGGTAAGGCTGGGCTTCTTGTCTGTTCTCAGGTCACAAGTTGCGCTGTTACTGTGGTCTGCACTAGTCACGCACCAAGTGATCTGTACCAGGCATCCAGCACGCTGATATCGTAAGTAGCAAGCGACGCGGCCGGCCTACGCTTCATGCCATTCTCTGCGACGCATACAAGGAGAGTCTGTAAGTGACCAGATGAGCCGGAGGATCATTATACCCACGGCCTGAGTCTGTGGACTGGTCTATAAACCCAGTAACGATGGACTTCATTGCAGTCGTCAAATTAGGGAAATCGCCCGGATATAGGTGTATCATGATAGCGCCATCTGAGGCTGTGATGTCGCTTTTCGCTTCATCTGCCGCACAGTCGTCCTCGACTTCGACGGATACTTCCAGCTGCTGAATGATGTCAGAATACAGTCCCGAGCTGCCTCCTAGAGCACAACGAAGATGAGGATCACAACAGTCGACTAGAGTATGATGTACCAAACACAAGCATAGCTGGAAGTTCCGCATACGGAAGGCCCGGAAGAGTATCCATGTATGCAGATTTGACCTGTGCGACAACCTCCTTCGCAACAGGAGCATGGAGGGCTTGTATGATCGACTGGCCGCCATCCGTACATCAGATGTGGGGTTACATGTGTTGTTTCAGATGCTGACCTGCATGTGTCTCAAACATTGTGTCCACGCTTCTTTGTATGCTTGCATGCGGAGTTCGTATCCATCTGGAAGATCTCGCCAGTCGTGTGGAGAGTATGGACCCGAAAGAGCGACTTCTTCTACTTCATGAGTAGCTTTCAACTCAAGTGTCAGGGGAGACACTTCCTGACGACTGACCTAGCTCATCACCTGGTGCGATGTAGATGCAGGACTATGCATGTTCAGCACAGAAATCTCGCGCGCCACATAGCTCAAGCGCACCTTCGTTGGATCATCGAGGTCGCTTGTTTCCTTTGCCACGGCATATGCAGACATTGGGCCACCGCGTAGGCCTCGATTAGAGCAAGGTGCAACCAAGCCGCAAGGCGTATCTGCCAGACCGCGCGACGCGCGACGCGTCTTGGGACGCGCACGGTCACGCGACGGAGTACAAGCCGGCGCTACACTTTAAGTTGCTTCCCACCAACCAGTGCCAGGCCTCGTGTTAAAGTCATAATGCATATTCTGAGGTCGAGAGGGAGACTTTATCCTCAGCCGCATAGCCTTATTTTCGACGTGACTGTGGAGGCTATTTGCACTATCACCGGGCGCTCGCCGCATGAAGCGCGTTCAAGGTATAACGCACGCATTCTAAAGACCTTCTCCCTTAGTATCTAGGTATTGTTTGCGATACATTCACCCCCCAGATTCACGTAGGATCTCAACGGAGAGTCCTCTCTTGTGACACTTGCTATCGTGAGTCCTAGTGCAGTTATGTGCCATGCAGTCTCATAACCAGATGCGCAGGAGCTAGCTATGAATGGGCCAACAACATCGCAGACGCCTCCCTGCCTTGACACAAATACGCCAATTGCGAACATACCAGATGACGTGCTGTTTGACATAGTCCATCTCGTCATTGAAATGTCAGACCATCTCACGCGAAGGCTTCTCCGGACACAGAGGAGTTGGCTTTCCATTACCCAAGTATGTACGTACTGGCGTAGTCTCATTACGAACAATCCGGCATTCTGGACGAACCTCAAGCTCAGAGCGTTCTTCAACAGACAACTGGCGGCGGCGTTCCTTCGTCGAGCCGAGAACCGCCTCATTGACCTCAGGTATCAGGGCAGCGGGAACCCCCCGAATCGCGACCCGCTGCTCATTGCCAGCTTCATCGATTCTCACACTAGTCGGATCAAGGGGTTGTCGATTGTCCAACTGGACCACGAGGAGACCGAAGTCATGTTGCGGCGACTGTGCACGCCGGCGTTGAGGCTTCAGACCCTCGAGATCTCAGCAGTCAGAAGAAGAACAGTGCTGTACCCCATCTTCACCGGCATACTTCCCGCGCTGCAAGACTTCCGTATGACAGGCTTGTGCACTGCGCTGCCGCAAAGCTCAAGCATGCGTGTTCTCATCCTCGAAAGCAGTCACATGATGCGGTCGTTCGGGTGGATACTGGAATGTCTGCATGAGATGCCTTTCCTTGAGGTCCTTCACGTGAATCAATTGACTCAATATCCCTACACTCTGCCGCAGGACCCGACGCACATCCTTCCTGTACAGCTAGCGCGGCTGAAATCCTTTGCCTGGACATCTTGGATCCCCAAAGACCTCACCGCTGTGCTTGAGTACATCGTCTTTCCTCCGACGGCAAATGTGAAGCTTCACTTTTGCTATTTGTCCATCCCGCTCACTATCGCACTCCACGACAAGTCGGTCTCCTTGCAGACGATAGCTTCTCGTGTTCCAGCGGCAATATTGATTGTGAGCAAGGACCCAAAGTACGCAACTGCAATACTGCAGTCAGCCGATCACCAACTGGAGCTTCAGTGGTCATGGCGTGAAGGTCAGCCTGGTGCAGCGAGTGCTCGTCCATTCGAGCGCATCACCTTCAACGCGCTCTTGTTCCTATCTCTGCGGCAGCTTAGCGTTCATAGTCTGCGGCGCGAACTCAAGGAGACTGACTGGGCGAATATTCTTGAGAGCCTCTACAGCCTGGAGACGCTCGATGTCGGTGCAAATGTCATGACCGTGCGTCATCTTGGGGCCGCACTGTCCCCATCAGACCACGCTGTAACATCCTCGGTGTATTTGTGTGTCCAGCTCAAACATCTGAAGATCGTTCATCTGCAACGAGGTGAACGATGTCTCCACGAGCTGCTCTCCTCGCTCATGAGGCGCTCACGCGTGGGCTTGAAACTGCGATCGCTCGCGCTCGCGCTACCGAAGGACGGGGAACTTGTGTCCCACCCTCAGTCGATTCTGCGTGCGATCGCCGACGAGGTCAAAGTACAGTACCACACGCTGCATGTAAGTCTTATATATCTTCGAGTTGAAGAGACGACCTAATTCTGTATGCAGCCTCAGCGATACTCCTGGCAGCCTACTTCGTAAACTCTAACATGACCAAACCGATCTCGCACTTGGCATCCGAGATTCTCCGTTTCTGGTATACTGTATGATCGTTCAATTCTCGTGATCGAACCTTACCATTCTGGATTTGTTTGGTCTGCATGATAATGATTGTGGTGCCTCGTAGCAAACATCTACGCTATGACAGGAAGGCCCAGGTGCGGTGCAAGCCGCTCCCGCATGAAATCGTCGACCGTATGGAGCTTTACCCCTAGCTTCAAGATGTTCTCGTCGGGTATCTCCTTCGTCCCGTACATACCCATCTCGTTGTACAGCTGGAACATGACGTCACGATCTGGGACACCCGTTGTCGGCAAAACAGTGTACGTGCACTCCTTTCCGGTCACTAGAACGACAGCGGTCAGACCGGTGCAAAAGAGCTCAGAGACGACGGATTGACCTCTCTTAACACTAGCAGCAATGTCGAGCGGTGTGAGCCTTGCGTTGCTGATGTAGAGATATTGATGATTAAGCTCGTCCGCGCGCGCATCCCAGTGGTCGAAGACCGCCTTCGTGACAGCAGCGAGGTCTTTCTCCACGTACAACATCGCAACTGCAATCACGGTCTTAGCGTCGACCTATTCCACAAATTCAGTTGACGGTGCTACTCACGCGTTGTGGTTTCCTTGATGACAGGTTGCCGGAATTCTACTGCGTCTTTCTCGCGGTCATACTGCATGTGCGACCTGTACACCATGTTCTCGAAGAAGTTTCCCGTGTATAGGAAAGAGGCGGGTAGGCCCTTCTCCCTGATGTAGTCGTCGACCTGATACTTTCCTTTGCGCCAGAGTGAGCCGAATTCCCGTAGTATTGTAATCAAGGTATCGCACCTTCGTATATTCTTGAGACCAGCCTGCCACCAGAAATCTTCCTTGAGCTCGGCAGTGTGCTCCAGACAAAACATTTCACGCCGGCTGCTAATGCGGCGTCCACAAGATTCTTGCCTTGCCGCTCCTCACTGCCGGGGTCGTCTTTGATTTTCTGTGTTATTTTGTGAGTCCCTGATATCTCCTGCATGCGGAGTATATACTGATGCTGACCGGATCATAGAAATTTGTGACGCCGAAGACGCCCCAACAGCCTTCGAGTGCACTGAATACGTCTGACGGGACAGTCAGGTCGGCTTTCACGACCTCTGCGCCTTGCTGGGCCAGCTGTTGTGCAGCTGCTGCGTCTGGATTCCGCGTCAATGCGCGAACTTTGTACACATCGGGATATTGCAAGAGTAATCTCGCAACAGAACCGCCTGGTATTCCGATCAGTGGAGTGACAAGTGGTCATTGCCAATGACTGACCCTGGTTTCCGGTGGCACCGCACACTGCAATAAGCTTGGTCATCTTTGGTGAGATTGGTGAGACTGAGCTAGTCTTCATAACACTGCTCGTTGCGCGCTCTTCATATATGTTTTGCTCAATCATTTAGGCTCGTATATCATGTGTCAGCTTGGGCGGTTAGATTCATCAGCATTGCCGCTGGAGAAGGCAACAGCTATGCTATGTCGCCTGCTGGACGTCACCTCTGGTATCATACTTGCAACAGCTGAGCGGTCATTATGCATTTCTCAGTCAGCATGGAAGCGTCAGGGGTTCCGCAGACCAGCGCTTGCTGCCTTTGAGCGGTCGCCAGTAGGTCACCAGGTCAAAAATAGCACGAGGGCATCGAGTTGGCATCAGCCGTCAAATCCTGCAACACTGTTATGACCGCCCCACCCGTGTGGAGTTGACCACCATAAGCATACATCCATCGAGATTCCCTGCTTCTCCGGGCCTTCCGTTGGCCCCATAAGAGGGCGGCATTCCCACACATTCAGGTCCTCCTTCGCGCGCCGCGACGCCACAGCATCCACTCGTAGGTTTACCAATCGAGGCCGTCGAATATCAAATGCCACTGACTGGCCGCAATACAGTTCTTCGTGCTTCTGTTCTTTCAGTCAAGGCGTTTCGCGAAATCGATGGCGCGACATGCTTGCGGGCCATTTAGACTGAGATATTGGGCAGCTGCACCCCCAGCCCTTCCCCCTCGCCTGCTATCGTGTTCTGAGCATAACCACATACCCCTCCACACTTAGTACCACGAGCTAAGCATGGTCCTCAAGCTCTACGGCTTCCCCTCATCCACCTGCACCCGCCGGGTGGCCGTCGTCCTCAAGGAGAAGAACATCCCCTATGAGCTCGTGCCCGTCGACCTCACCAAGAACGAGCAGAAGAACCCAGAGTTCGTCAAGAACCAGCCGTTTGGACAAGTGCCATACATTGTCGAGGAGGACGGCTTCCAGCTTTTCGAGAGCCGCGCCATTGGGCGCTACATCGCGCTGAAGTATGCCGGCCAGGGCACCAAACTCATTCCAGACCCCTCCGACTTCAAGAAAACTGCGCTCTTTGAGCAGGCGGCAAGCATCGAGCTGAGCAACTTCGACCCCTTTGCGTACGGCCTGGCCACTGAGAAGGTGTTCAAACCGTATGTTACCCCTTGAAAGACGCTTGAGGCTGTTGACTTACGGTATGAATTGTAGTCGCAAAGGTCTCGGCGAGACGGATCCCAAGGTGGTAGCACAGCTCACCCAGCAGCTCGAGGCTAAGCTGGACGCGTACGAGCAGCTGCTCTCGAAGACGAAATATCTCGCAGGCGACGTCAGTCCTAGTACAGTCATGAACGCTCGCTATAACAGCTGACCTTTGTTACAATATAGGAAGTGACGTTGGCGGACCTGTTCCATTTGTCGTATGGCGCTATGCTGAGTGTCATCGGCATCAACGTCCTGGAGACGGACAAGAGACCTAATGTGGCAAGGTGAGCTAACAACCATCGGACCTTACCTCTGTTCTCAACCACCGCGTTCATATAGGTGGTGGAAGGATATCACCTCGCGTCCTGCATGGCAAGCTGTCAAGGATGGCGCGTGAGGCATCTGTGGCCCAGGGATGAGAGAGTGCGTGAATCTGTGGTAAACAAAACATAGCGCAGCCAGACAGTGTATGATTTGCGAAGGAATGCAATGTGTAGCCTCTGATCATGCGTGTGGGAGTTCGCGATGAGCACCGTCTTTGAACATGAATGTACCTCGAAACCGGTGCTGCCCGCCTGTTCGCACTCCCTAGTTCATAAAATACCGCGGCCGAGATCAGGATAACCACACCAGCAATAAGGGCTCACCAGTGTTGATTCAAGTGGATACGGCAGCCAAGTCTAGACAATGCGCATTGGGATACTGTACTGGGTACGATGTAACATCATAGTTGTGCATGGCCCCAACTCGAGAAGTCAAGAGAGGGAACAAAGGAACCACGCCTGCGCCAAATGTCGATATGTTCGACGTGAGGTCACACAGGAGTCTGCTATCCGAGGTACCTGTCGTACCCGGCAAGCTGAGTATATCATCGTGGTTGAAGTATCTCCATATAGGCGGTGGCAGGAGACATCTGAAGCCAATGCAAGGTAGCGTTGAGCAAGGGTCATTACAGTCCATAAATACTATACATAAAATACAATAGCAAGATACAAACGTTGTCCGAGACGACGCGGATCTCATAGTGCTGTCCCACGCTCAAAGCTTGCGCGGATCTCGGCAGTATATTTGTCGTAGTACCGCGCGATCTGTGTGAGAGCAGAACATGTCAGCGAGACCAACCCCATGAGAGCGCTCGGGCGCACCTTCTTGTTGAACACACGATTCCGCTCGTTGATGTACGTAATGTCGCCCTCGTCCTCGTTTGCCCGCTTTCGCGAGAACTTGCTCTTCTTGTCGACACTGTGGAGCAGGTCATGGTGTTTGAGCGCGGCCACTGAGATGTAGACAGCAATACACACTCTCGGTTGATTTTCGCGATAACTCGGTCTATGGCGTCCTCGCTAGGTTTATTATCAGCGTAAAGAAGACTGTTGGCATCTCGGTAGAGGTGCTCTGCTGCGAGTCGTTGCTGCTCGCTTGTCGGTACAATCTACACGATGACAAGTATTAGTGTTGTGGTGAGTCCCCAAGAATGAGACATGCCTGTAGTGACGAGCCAGCTTTAGGATCAAATTCATTGATGGACCCGGAGGGGTTGCCCATTTTCACCAAGGTGCCAGCGGGTAGTCCGAGTGCCAGCTCTTTCTGCTTGTTGTAAGCGACCAAATCGGGCTTGATAAGGTCCAAGTCCTTCTTGTACCGTCTCCGAGCCGCGTCAGCATCGTCTGCGAGCATGGCGTCAGAATCCATCGGCCTACACCGCTGAGCAACACGCTACCCAGAGCGAGGAAGAAATGCGACATACTATGAAATTCGAAGTCCGCCCGTCTGGCCTTGCGGGCCTTCTTCTTCTCCCACTCGTCGTTCTCCTCGATTGTCCACTCCCAATTCTTCTGTCGCTCCACGTCCTCGCCGCGGTCTTCTGCGTCGGCCTTCTGCCGCAGGACCTCTGCGAGTTTGCGTTGCCGTTCGAGGCGCGCAGCGTCCCGAGCGGTGACCTTCGCTTTCGCGCTCTCCTCGACGACGGAGGCACGGTTCGCGAGTGCGGATTGGCGCTATATGCGCAAGAGCTTAGCACAGCATGTAACGACAGAGCAATAGAAAGCGTACCATCTTCTGCCTAAGCTTCTCCATCTTCGCATGCCTTTCTTCGAGAGTCATCTTGCTCTCCGCCTTCTCTTGTTCCCCACCATCATTGTCGGGCTCCTCTGCGCCGTTCATTTTGTCGACAAACTCTTCTGCTGCGTTAGACACTTTTTGCAGCGTGCTGCTGCTGGCCTCTGGTGACTCTGAAGACATGATGTATGAAGCTGAGGACAGAGGATGACCAAAGGGCGTAGCCTCAAGGAGAGAAGATGAGTTCAAGTCTGAGCTGCCACCGAGGAGCGTGAATGATCGGATTACGTAAGTACGCTACCCAATAACGGATTTGTTGCCATATGCTCGAATTAGCTGTGAATATCATATCCCGAACTTGCAACACGGTGATCCCGTACACACAGTGAGTACGGGGGTCTTGCAAATATATTCTCTGGCATACTGTAGCTAAATCATGAAAGAGAATCTGATTTTATTGACTAACCCACACGTCTGCTTACATAAGACAGTGCACTGCTTCATGCTGTGTTCGGCTGCCCGATTCAAACTGTATTGAGGTTTATCCCAAACACAAGGCCATTATGTCCCCAAGCGAGACAGCAAAGCCGATAAGCAGCCCCAACGCGAAAGCGAAGACAAAGGAGAAAGAGAAGCGAGCACGCGCCGCGAGCAAACAGCAGACGGAGCGGCTGAAGACAGTCGTCCGCCGTCTACCGCCTAACCTCCCTGAGAACATCTTCTGGCAAAGCGTGGAGCCGTGGGTGAGGGAGGACACAGTAACATGGAAGGCATATTACCTGGGGAAGTCTAAGAAGAGGTGAGTGGCGAGTATCACGCATACATCGCTGAACGCTGACAATGACGGTGTGGTGATAGGTTAAACAAGGAGAACATCTCCTCCCGCGCATATATCGCCTTCAAAAACGAGGACGTACTCGCGACGTTTAGTAAGGAGTATGATGGTCACGTCTTTAGAGACAAAGCAGGTGTGTGCCGCTGAGATCTAAAATACTGTTCGGCGATCTCATTGTGCGCCTCAGGGAATGAGTCCATTGCGGTGGTCGAGTTTGCGCCCTATCAGAAGGTACCGTCCGACAAGAAGAAGGTGGATACCCGTATGGGAACTATCGAGAAGGGTGTGTACAACACTATCGCGCCGCGCGGAATTCTTAAGGTGCACTCATGTTCGTCTAGACGAGGAGTATATCTCATTCTTGGAGTCTCTTAAAGAGGGCTCGAACAAGCCAGTGGATGGAGAGAGCTTGGACATTCTCAGTGAGCATCACGCTACCCTTCTACTTTCATCGCAGTAATCCCTTCCGCAGTTGCAGCATCCCAGCCGCCACCGCAGCCAACAACTACACCCCTCCTCGAGGCTCTCAAAGCTGAGAAGTCTGCGCAGAAGGACAAGGAAGCCATTCTCCGCAACCACGCGCACTACAAGGACCAGGCAGCCATAGCTGGCCCAAGCATCGTTGTGAAGAAAGAAGACGGCAAGAAGAAGTCTGCTGCACTCGCTTCACAGAAGCCTTCAGACTCACAGCCGAGCAAGAAGGCTGCAAAGAAAGCTGCAAAGAACGCCGCGCAACAACAGACCGCACCGGCTGCTGCTCCTTCGAAACCACCACAGAGCAAACAGGCGCAAGCACAGCCTGCTCAAGCTGTGATCCCGAAAGCACCTCGGCAGCCTCGCGAGCGCCACCCCAAACCGTCCATTGCTCAACCTGCGCCAACCCCATCGTCCAGCGCACCCTCAGGCGACGCGGCGCCATCGTCCATATCCATCGCTTCCGCCGCATCGACATCGACTCAGGATTCTGCACAGCCGGCGCCGACACGGCGCGCACGGCCCATGCTAGGGCCCGCATCACGGCAGTTTGAGGCGGCTCTCAGCGGCGCTGGCGTCGAGCGCAAGGCGCGGCGGGAGCGCGACCGCCAGACCGCAACCGATGTGGGTCCTGCAGGTGCCGTTGGTCTCGGAGACGGTGCAGGGAGAGGAGAGGAGAAGCGGGGCAGCGGAGCGTCGCGCGCTACGCCCGCAGGCCAGAATCAGGCTACACCGACTGCTCCGATGATACTACAGCGTGAGGGCCAGCAGATCAAGGTTGGTGGTGGCCCGCCCGCGGTCGCAAGCGATGTTGACGATGGTGCCGCTGGAGGGAGGAGCGGCGGTAAACCGCGCTCTCGAGGAAGAGGTCGTGGGGCTCAGCGAGGTGGTGCTCCGTAGTGATTCGACTGGAAGGGACCCTTGTGTTATGTATTTGTGTTTGTGTTTGTACATCTGCAAACTCGACGATGCCTACGCGGGTCTCGCATAGCCCGTGTAGGTCCCATAGGCATATTGCCAGCCCCCCATCTACAGGAGTCCTGTGTAGCGCGGCGGTCCTGTACTAGTGTTTATAATTTCAATATAGCTCCCTCCGCACACAACCGATAAGGCCAAATCTTGCTAGATAACACTTTTGGTATGTTCTTGTATAGGCTATCAATTCCGATTCCGAATAGCTGTATTGACGAGGGTATGGTGTACGAAAAACACACTTACCCCTTAACATCACCCCTTCGAATTTGATCATGGTGTCTTCATGTACTGGAGCCTCGGTCACCATCCCACTTCTTTTTGTTGTGGGGTTCTCATATTGTGCATAGACACTTTCAATTACAACGAGGCATGATTTCCGGCGTTACAAATTCTGTTCAAAGCATGATGAGATCCAGACCCCACTGGTGGCTGCTCACTCAATATGGTAGTGAGGGCGATCAGACACTCTTCGTTGACGCTTGCCGAGCGGAGCTGGAACATGCCGGCTGTGACCATCAGTAACGAAATTTATAAACACTAGGACATTTGCATCGGAAGACATCCGAGGATACAACAGTGACCTGTTTCAAGAATATAGACAGATGTACAGGTAGGAGTATAAAATCCGCATAGAACTGCCTTGTCTGCTGTTTTCTAGGTGGAGGCGATGTTGAGAAATCCGAAAAATATCGAAAAGTCTTATAAACACTCAACCACCCACAGTACACTCGTCCTACAGATGTCTCGCATAGGATGGATCTCCTATGCGAGACAGCTATAGATGGCGCGTCCTACCCGAGGCTACCATAGAACCGCCGTTCTACCAGGGGGAATGCAGCTTTGCAGATACTAAAGTGTATATATATCGCCTTGGGCCCCTTGCCTTGGCCGCGACGCTAGTCAACCCATTCAAGTTGATTCTTCGTGCTGTGTGCTGAGAGGGCTTGAACCTACGGATCGTGCGGTATGTGCGATAAGCATTTTTTGTTTCGATGGTGCCTACTATAACAGATTCGTGTTATGGAAGTCCGAACGGGGGCAGCTCCCCGATACATCTTATGCCCGGAATAGGATTGTCGGCAATTCACTTCTCCCATATGGTCGATCACATCCGGAGCAAGATGCATCGGAGAATGTTTCTCAGCAAGGTCTTCAGCCAGACATCTATAGTAGGTTGACGAAGAGCATCTCTAAAACTCTCGCTGTGGCGCTTGCATCAGAAAGTGAGTATCGACTATTGATTTCGGGGATCCGTGTCCGACAGCAAACGTATCTGGAACCAGATCATTTGGTATTCCACTATTCTCACCAGCTGAGTCAGGATTGTACGAACACACGACCAAGCCCTGACCAAGCTGCCCCACTTGCAAAAGGCCCGCAAATTGAGCAGAAGCTCTGTGTAGGATCTATGGACATCGAAGAGTCAGACTTTCCTACTTCAACGAAGCTCGGTCCCTGACCTCTGAGTGAGCAGATTTCGCAAGGCAGGCTATCAAGCCATCGATAGGATCTGTGACTTCTACTACTCGCTCGAGAAGCGACCCGTGGTGCCGCCAGTGCAACCAGGATATCTGCTCAATGCTCTCCCAGGTGCGTGCCGTTCAAAGGCTCTGCTGTTGAGGCCCTTGGGGATGACTGGCTCATGCATCACTGCATAGATTCCCCTCCAGAGAAAGGGGAGGATTTCGGTATCATTGCGGATGACTATCAGAAATTGATTCTGCCCGGTAAGATCGATCGAACTCAGACAACGTTTGGCATTGCACTAAGCGAGCGATTGAGGTTTGACCCATTGGCAGCATCCATCTTTCTTTGCCTATTTTCCGACAGCATGTACGTTTGAAGGAATGCTTGGCGACCTGTACTCGAGCAGCACGCCCAACCCAGGTTTCAACGTAAGCACTGTCGGCTAGTCTACTTATTTTTGTTATTTACATGATTTGCAGTGGTCAAGTAGTCCTGCGTGCACAGAGCTCGAGATGGTCACTATGGACTGGTCCGCGAGGATGCTGGGATTAGCCGATCACTTCTTGAACAGCTCTGGGACCGGAGGCGGCGTCATCCAGGTAACGTTCACTCCTCTATTATGGACGCTCTCACGGAGGCTGAGGTCTACAAGACAACTTCTTCCGACTCTGCTCTTGTAGTGGCAGTTGCGGCGCGCTCCCTTTACCAGCGCACGCGTCCGGGGACCAATCTAGAGAAACTTGTGATATACGTGACCAGCCAGACGCATTCCCTAGGTGTAAAAGCCAGCCTTGTCCTTGGCCTCGAATGCCGCATTCTCGATGTGCGCGCCGAGGATGAGTATGCGCTGCGAGGCGAGACGCTCAAGGCCGCGTTGGAAGAGGACATCGGCAAGGGGAAGCACCCTTTCGTCCTAAGTGCGTTACCTACCCTGTAATGATCTAAGTCTGGTCGCTGAAGAGGCGCGCCAGTTGCTACTGTGGGAACGACCTCTTCGGGCGCCATCGACCGCTTGGACGAGATCGGGGAAGTCGGTAGGTGTACATCCGTCATACTTGCACTGCATGCCTTGATATTATCGAATAGCGAAGGACTACCCTTCCCTGTGGATCCATGTGGACGCGGCGTGGGCCGGCGTGACCCTGGCATGTCCAGAATATCGCAAGGTTGCACGGCTGGAGGAAATCAACAAATATGCAGCGTCCATCGGCACCAATTTCCACAAGGCATGAAGCTACTCTATTCCGTCATGCTGGCATCTAATCATGCCGCTACTGCAGTGGGGTCTGGTCAACTTTGATGCTGCCCTCCTGTGGGTTAAGAGCCGCGAGGATCTCACGGACGCCCTGGACGTCACACCGGAGTTTTTGCGCACGAAGCAGAGCGATGCAGGTGATGAAGAGCCCTCCGCGTTGAATGATGTAGCGTAGACTGAGACTGTGTCGGACGCAGGCGCCGTCATCGACTACCGCAACTGGCATCTAGGTCTTGGCCGCCGCTTCCGCTCCCTAAAGATCTGGTTCGTCCTCCGCAGCTATGGCGTGGAGGGCTTCCAGAAGTACATCCGGAAGGTGAGGGATCCACCGTATCACAGCTCCCCCTAACGCTCATTGGCATACCTGGCAGTGCATCGAGCTAAACAGACACTTCGCCGCGCTGGTTGAGGCATCCCCTGACTTCTCCATCGTCACGCCACCATCTTTCGCGCTTACCGTGTTCCGCCTCATTCCACGCGGCGCCGAGCTGTCTGAGGAATCGCTGAATGACCTCAACCGCTCGCTGTACGCGCGCCTTGGCGCCCGACATGAGGTCCTGCTTACGCAGACGTTGCTGAACGGGACGTTCTGTGTGCGTTTTGCGGTGGGCGCGGAACGCACGAGGAAGGAGCACGTCGAGCATGCATGGCAGCTGATTCAAGAGGAGGCGGGTGTGGCGCTCAAGGATTGGACGGCGAGAGTTGCGAAGTAGAATGCATAGTTTCTGCAATGATTGAGGAGAATAAAGATGTAGCATGAAAGGGTCCATAGGTTATATGTACAGAACGCACTCGAATGACGACCTCCGAATGACGCCAGCATGAAACGGTCAAAACCAACCTACCTGCCGATTGGATCTTCACACGCCCGGTGTTCGGCACAATGCTCGAAATTTAAGAAAAGGGCTCGCGATCAGGGTCCTTCAAATGCGGAAAGCATGACTTTGTGTTGTCTTCCGTGGGTATCACCTGTGTACCGTCGTTGAGAGTCATGATGACTGTTGTCAATAGCTATGGCCTAGTCGAGGTATACAAGGCTCACATTGTAGCCGGCCGGACGACCTGATAAAGTCATTGTGTGTATTGAACGCATGCGTCACGCATAGGCGCTCATGTCATCCGCCACGAATCCCTTTGTTTTCGGACCGGAACGCAAAAGACGGCGTCGATGCCTTGAATATCTTCATCATAGATGACTCTGCCGGACTCGTCAAGCTTTACATGCTTCAAAGCTCTCGGTTCGAGCTTGATGAGGTCTTGTAGCATCCTCATCTTCTCCTCGCGATACGTAAGACGGTTGCGTTCATCTCGTTCGTGCCATGCAGCAACTTCCGCTTCCGTCTTTGGCGGGTTAGGAGCAGCGTTGAGGGGATCAAACCCATACCTACAAGAGTGCACGGAAGTGGAGAATCAGCGAGGAGTGCTTGAGAAGTATCTTCACGACACGCACTCAGCATGCAGTTGAGCACGGAGATCCGCGGCAGAGACGTCCACTTGTCTGGCGGCTGCGAGCAAGCGCAGGTACATAAAGTATAGTGCCCCTGTATCTTTGTTCGCTAAAGCCTTCGCAAACATCTCCTATGGGAATCTTGATCAGAGCAAGAACGATAGGGCTGAGCAGCATTACAAACGTCGAATAGGATGCGCATGTCTGCGTTGGGCGTGAAGCCCCAGTCCCATCCTCCACTCCCATACAGTCTGTATATTCGATCGGAGTTGGCCTTGTAGTCCAATTGATGCAGCAAAGCGTCAGAGAAGCCACGACCGGGCTTCGCAAACGCCATCATTTTGTACCCCTTTTTCTCCGCGTCGACCTTTGACCAGTCGAAAGGTCCCAGAAATTGACCACGCACAAACGGCTGCAGCGGTCTGACCTTCTCGTAAGACGCCTCCAAGGTTACACTCCAGCCTTTTGGATGAGGTCGAGGATCAGATTGTTCGAAAGGTGGTGGGCCAATGTTGTACTGCTCAGGCACTGCAGATAGTGAAGCAGCAGCGGCAACCGTCTCAAGCCCGTACCGCTTCATGATGTCCCTCAACCGCTTCTCGGACAAAATCCATGATGGGTTTCGTTCCTTCAAGATTGCGAGCACTTTGTGGACTCCGAGGGACGGCTCAATGTGGCGCAAGGCTCTCAGTATATAGAGTACCTCTTCTTCTGAGGGATTTGTAGTCATAGTATTTGGAAACGCGTTCGAATGTCAAGAAACGAGGATGTGTAAGCTGGCGACGGCGACACTATGAGTCTGCTGACAAGTTAACATTGAGACTCGAAGCACCGCACGCGTTAGTTCACGTGACCGTGATTCACTATGTTCATTCCCACGACCCTCTGGCGCTTATAGCCTTCCACCGGCGCTCAATCCTGCATGAGAAACGTTCTAATCTGTGTTCAGCCTCTTCATCCACACCGGGCGTTGGGAGAGCGAAGCCAAGCCTTTGAGCGCAGAGTGCTGAGAGTAGTGAGGACGTCTGGCAGCCGATACTACCCCAGCCCTACATCTTCTATATTGCTGTGCGACATGGAAGAGTGCCTCTTCTCCGAAGTACGCTATGTATAACATGTCTTATCTGTGAGTAATGTATGCATGCCTTCTATAAGATAGAAGATACAAGGCTGAATAAAGGACAGCACTGATTCAATCACTCAGTTCGAAATGGACCACTCAGAATGTTAATAGTACAAGGACCTGTTGACTTTAGCGGGAGTTAACACAGTAGGGCAACATGCAATCCAGGCTGTCAGATGGCGCCCCGTGGGGTAAAGTTCAGAATCTGATCGACTACATGTTGGAAATGATTTGCCGGTGTCACCGCCTATCGCCGCTCCAGCCATCTGGGGAGTTGACTGTATTCTCTTGCAATCGGTGGCGTCACGTCTAAGCCGTTGGGTGGCATCGCCTGACATTTACAAGGTTCACTATGGTAGTAATTGTGTACGGGCCATGGCTTTTGGCGTAAGTATTTTCGTGCGACTCCTTGACACCATGTGGACTGTTTCGCCAAGTGAAACTCTACCAGTTGCTAGATCTGATGGCTATCAAGTCGACGCTCGTGCGACCAACACGTACTGATGGTTACGGCTACCCCATGACCTGCCTTGTGTCTGACACCTGAATACCTGAATGCAACGTCAACAGCCACCTGCGGCGCCGGCTTCCCCAATGCGGCCCGCTCTCCATATTGTGCAGGGATATACACACAGCTCGTGCCGTTGTCGTAATGCGAGCTCATCGCGTCCCCTTGTACGAGTCCTCTTCCTCCCCTACTTTGTGTCGCCGTAGCCATGTTAGAAGCCGGCACGTCCAGCCCTTCGCCGCCCGTAAACGTGCAGAAGGATGTAGAGGAATGCCGCGTTGAAGACCTCAACACGCAGGGCACGCTTTACCAATTGAAACTGGGGGGAAAAGCGCAGAAGCGGCATTTCTTCTCGCCTCTAGAACAGGACGTCGCCGACGCGGTCCACAAGGACGCCGAAACTGTTGTTTACAGTCAGGAAGAAGAGGTGAGCATGCAAAGTCCGACGAACCGTAACAATGAATTTTCTGATTCGGCGCGGCCAGAGGGCGGTGAAACGCAAAATCAACTTGAGAGTTATGTCATTGGTGATTGGCAGGTATGTTGGCAAACCCTCGCGATTACACTGTTCGATCAAGAGTTTCTCACACATGTAATACAGTTACTTGTGTATGTATCAAGCCAGACCATGCGTTCTTTCGGCATTTTTGACCTCTCTTCTCACGTTATACTAGTCAATCAGTTCGGTCAGTGGTCATTCAATTGCATTCCACATCAGCCAAGACTTACCCAGACCGCGAACAGATCGGACAAACATGTACGTCATATTCATACTCGGGCCGTCTCTACGTGCTGACACCCACATAGCGGTAACGTCCACGTCATACCCGCGTTCAACGAGAACTTTGTGAGTCTTCCTGGACTTCGCATCAGTGATTCTCACAGTGCTTTAGGGTGTTACCAACAACCAGAAATGGACGCTGGCCCTCAGTGTGTTCTATATCGGTTATTGTGCGTGAGATTTGACGCGGATCAAAGAGAGGCATACTTACATTGTACGGAATATGTAGGTCTCTTGGAGATGCCGGCCAATGGTGTGCATCGCGAGTGATATTTCGGGTATTACCTACCTCACCTTTACACTCCAGTGCTGCAGCGCCGCATTGGTGCGAACAGATTGTGCGTAATCTTGAAAAAACCCGCAGTAGGTTTGCTCTGATGAAGATCTCAGCTTCTTTATGTCGCTCTCGTTCTGGGGGCTTTCGTCTCTTTCCTTTGTCTACGCGAAAGGCTATGTCGGACTCCTGGTCTTGCGGTAAGCACATTCAATGTTTCAGCAAGTTGAGTATTTCGAATAAACGTGTTGCGTAGCGTGCTATTAGGGATCGGAGAAGCGGGATACTATGCTGGAATGGTATATTACCTCTCCTTCTGGTACACACGGTACGCAAGTATCACTATTCACGTAGCGGTCGACCCTGATGACTTCCACAGGCATGAACTGGCCATGCGAATCAGGTACGGCTGTGCAATATGCGTATGCAAAGAGTGCATGCAATAATATTCGTATCTTTGTAGCATCTGTATGACGGGAACCTACCCGGGTGCCATTAGTGTACGACTTATGCACAACTCTCCGTCCTTGACGTGATGCTGACAATTTACCAGGGTCTCATCGCATTTGGTCTTGTCCGCGCACATACATCGGTGTTGAAGGGGTGCGTGCTGGCATTCCCCCCTCAATGTCTTGATTGACGTATTTTGCCCAGTTGGCAATTCCTCTATATGGTTTGTTTATGATTCATGAGTCGCGATTCACTCCCTGACGCGTTCATTATGATGAAGATCGAGGCTATCCCGACGATTGTCATGGCGGCTTTGATCTTGATGTTCCTTCCCTCGTTCCCATTCGCGGCGACATTCCTAACCCCACGTGAAAAAGCGATTGCGCAGGCCCGCATGGACCGCGACCAGAAGCCGACATCGCATGGCGGTATGACGGGCTGGGAAGGCTTCAAAGCAGTCGTGAATGACGTTAATGCCTGGCTACTTGTCATCATCTATGCCGGATGTGAGCCTCTGCTTCTGTTTACATGCATGAAGCTGGATTTAACGCTCAGAGAACACGCAGTCAACGTCGGGACGGCCACAATCACATATTTTTTGCCAACAGTACGCCCAGATCACCGGTGATCGGCGGTATCATACTCATGCATCGATTGTACAGCTCGTGGATGAATTGGGCTACTCGGATATCAATGCACAGGGAATGACGGTGGCCCCCTACGTGGTCGGCTGGTTCCTGGTCATCTTTCAAGCTTGGCACAGCGACCGCACACGGGACCGTGGCTGGCACATTGTCGCCTCGTCGCTCATATCTTTCGTGGGCTATGTCATACTGGCAACAAGCGTACAGAAGAGTGCCGGAGCCGGATACTTTGCATTGTTCCTTGTCGTCGCGGGTAACTTCAGCTTATTCCCGCTTGTGATGTGAGTGCATCTAGGCCATTACTGTCCAGACAAGGAAAGCGCATTGACACAGATCGGATCTAGGAGCTGGGCGGCGAACGTATTCTCGCCTACATCTAAACGTGGTGTCGGCACTGCGTTCATTGTGTCTATCGCAAACTGCATTTCTATGTGAATGAATAAAATCACTCCAATGCGCGTGCTTGCTGAACGTGTTCTCCCGGCGACTACAGCGCATCACCGCAAATTTACTTCGACTCATACGACGATTTCAGGAAGGGCCATGGCATATCTGCAGCGTAAGTTGTTCTCGTAGATGCTAGTGCACCCTATTCCTGACGCTGACGAATACCGTCTCAGATGCTTGTTTGCCACAGCGATTTGCGCGTTTGCCTTGCGTACACGGTTGACGCTGAAGAACAAGAAGAATCGGGAACGACTTGCAGCGATGTCACAAGACGAGAAGAACGGCCTGAGCGACGATGCAGAGATATGGGATAATGATCCGCGCTACGTGTTTATGGTGTGAACTCACGACACGAGTAGAGGGTTTGTTTCACCGTGTACGATATGTGTCGCAGTGATGTGCCAACTAACCTGGGCAAATATAATTCCATGAGAGGACGCGAATGTCATTCATATGGTAGCTGATTAAATCATGCCCGCCGTGTTTTCTGCAGGTTACAAGTTATCTGCTGCCATGCTCCCAAGAATGAGACAGCATGGACAGAGCAGTGTCATACGATTAACCTCCTCGCTATATTCGCATGTGTAGCCTGGTAATGAACAGGGGCGGATCTCTCATTTCGTGCCATTGGAGTCCTTCACATGCAAGGAATTAATTCAGCCCAAGGCAGCCTATGCTTTGGATGGAGCTCACGTGAGATGTAACATGGGCGCTCAACTGCGTCTCGTCATTGGTCAAGTTCAGCGACTGACAAGGTGCTACCAATGCAACTTTTCATGCTTCTGCTCGCGAACCAGAAGTAACATTGACTTGATATGCCGCAAGGGTGGCACCACATACATTTAGATGCAGATGTGCATGCATTTTGGGAACTTAATAACCTATAGGTCGCGCAGCTGCCAACTGGGCGCCCTCGTCGAGCGCTCTGCACAAAAAGATTGAACAAAGAACGTATAACATCCCTAAAAAGGTGAGCCCGTGATGGCTTATTCTACCTTGATACCTTGTAATTTTATATTGTAGCCGTTACGACCAAAAAAGGCATATGGTTGATGCGCTCGGGCCTTTGTCCCACAGTGGGTTTGTGGCGTTCCTGTGGCAAATGAACACTTCGCCTCTGCACCCTTCGACTCAACCTCCACCTACACACCTACACTACACCCACTCTCTATCAATTACTTGCTGCTCACCATGTCCCACGACATCGCCTACCATGATGAGGCTAACACGTTCTCCGTCCTTATTGGTAGCAAGCAAAATGCAAATCCCGGACAATTTAAGGCCGAACAGCCGGCGCCATGGGAGTACAGAGCAAAACTGGTAATCAAAGAGTATCCGAAATCCATAGACGAATTCCTGAAGGTCTTCGTCGCGAGCGAGGAGCGTTGTCCCCACATCAAATCCAAAGGCCTCTTCCAATCTTCGAATGGATTCAAAGGCCAAGGGGATGATTTTGCTCAACAGCTGGTACTTATCAGTAACCTTTTATCGTTTGCTTGACTGTTGACGATCCCATAGGTAGAAGGCCTAAATGCGATGTCGTTCGAGTTGCCTGAGGCAAAGGGGTTGGACTTTGTGAACACTGTGGGAGAAACTATTGTCTTTCGCGATGAAGACAATGTCACGCAAGGCCCTGCCTCCTCGCCTGCCATCGTCGCATCATACCCAGGCATACGTTTTCAAGGTGGACGAGTCCCTAAGTGGCATCAGATATCCATCGCGTTGCAGGTCAGGCTGCGCAAGGACGAGGATCCAGTCGGCAGGTACGCAAACAGGGACGAGGAAACTCTGTTTGAGCTTCTGCAGACGGCGCGCAACATTCTTGTAACAGGCCGCACGCTCTTCGCATTCGTTGTCGGAATCTATGGTAACACTGCACGTATCTTCCGGGTCGACCGCACCGGGGTGGTTGTATCACAGTCCTTCAACTATATCGTGCGGCCCAACCTCTTTCGCGAGTTCCTGTGGCGCTTTACTCACCCGACGGTGGGCGGTATGTTTGTCGGTGCAGACCCCTCTGTATCTTTGCCCACGGAGCAAGACCTCCACTGGGCGCGACAGATTTTGCATAAGCAGAATATGACGGACGTATATCTCGAAGCTAGTCGTTGGGTTGCAATCGAGATGCCTGACAAATCGCGCAAGAAGTTCCTTACCGCCAAACCCGCTTCCATCTCGCTGGATCTGTTCGCGCGCGGCACAAATGTCTGCCTTGTGATCCAGCAATCTTCCACCAACGGTAAACTTCAAGTCCTGAAGGAATCATGGTGTGATACTAAACATGAGCCCGAGATCAAATTTTACGAAGAGATTCGTGTCAGGAACCCCGGTAAACTCTTTGGTGTCGCGGACTTCATTTGCGGCCAGGATCTGGGCAAGGCGGAAACCGACCGTCTCGTAGCTCTAGGAACCGCTTCTGGTACTCTGCCTGCGGCTGCTTCTACTCAAAATGCTGCTCCTCGGCTCACTATCAGACTTCCGGCTGCTCGAATCGCGCGTACTAGGATGCAAACTCGGTCATCGAAGAACGATTGTCCCCCACCTCCAGTCGCTCCAGGTCACAACACGGTGGCACATTGGGATCACCGTAAGCATGCTGCAGATCATGCCAATCGGCGTAGCCACATGCGGCTCCTCTACAATACAATCGGCCGAGAACTCACGAATATCACATCTACCAGAGAGCTCGCTGAGGGAATTCGTGACGCTATCAAAGGTGTGTTGCAGCGAAACAACTCATGGGGGCTATTCGCTCATGGATTCGGAACTATAGGCCATCGTACCGTCTTCGAGGCCGGGGTGCTGCACCGGGATATCAGTGAAGGAAATGTGATGATCGCTGACGGCGAGGAATTCAAGGGCTTCATTCATGATTTCGACATGGCCATGTTGCGGGAGAACGAGCCGGATAGGTCAGGCGCGATCTACGTAAGCTTCGTCACATATGCACCTACATTCGCTGATGTCTGCCTCTAGGGCACGTACTACTTTAGGTCCTTGAGGCTCCAGGAGAATAAAGGCGTCGTGCACAACTTCGAGCATGATCTAGAGTCATTCTACTGGGTGTTGATACATCAAGTCCTATCACTTTGTCAACATGATCACAAGAAGGGCACCAACGCATATGCATGGTTGTTTAGCCCTTACGACAACAAATGTGTCGAGCACAGGACGTTGTGGCTCTACGACCCGTCGCACTTTCTCAACGTCACTGGAAATGTGCCGCTTACGTTCCTTGAGAAAGAGTTTCGCATTTTATGCAAAGACAACCTGCTCTCATATGAAGCTGTACTTGACATCTTCGATGAGGCGCTCAAGATGGATGGCTGGCCTGAGGAGCACGAGGAACAGTGGGAACCTTGGCTACGCGAAGCTGGAAGCTCGGCGGCGTCTACTACCCTTGGGAAACGGCGTCGCGAGAGCACCGACAATTACGAGCGCTATGTCAAGAGACAAAGGGAAAGCTCGGAGGTGTGATATGGACCGGTGGCGCCGTCACGGGATTTATCTCCCTCTTCCTACGGGCCGATGCGCCTAGTATCCAACCCAACCGCCGCATTAACACCGCAGCTACCGTTGTAGATCCATTGTCGTAACTCGACGGGCTCGTCCAGGCTCAATGTCGTCCATATGGCGGGAAATGAAGGCGTCACCATGGATTAACGCTACTCATTGTTATCTTGCTCTACCTTGGTAGTAACTGACTACACGGCAGAACCTGACATGCTTCAATTTCCGCATCACCACTCCCTTCCCTCCATCGCACGTAGCTTCTCAAGATCTGACTACTGGATGTCCGAACCAGATCATCGACAGACCTGTTCGCAGTCCAATGACTCAACCATCCGAGGGCTGCTGGGTACGGCTTTGCACGAAAACCTCGCCAAACATATTAGCCGATACATTGTGGAATATTGGTGGATACTACACTGGGCCTATAGTAGTCTCAAAATGCATACAGTACATAGAAGTAGTCATACAGCATACAAATACATACGCCGCAGGGCAGCTGACGAAGTCCAAGTCGTCCATATGGGTTGCGAAATATAGCGGTAGCGATACAGCAGTTCAGATCGAAAGCATCAATAAGTTAGAAGGAGCGGTTCGAACGAACTCGTTCATACAAGGGTGACCGGCTTCCTGTGGGGCGACTTGCGCTTCCTCTCCGGACCTGATTGGACGATGTGAGGCAAGTCCATGAATACGCTGAATGCGCGTGACCAGAACGTACCATGCTCCTGCCCCGTTACCTTGCCACGTGCGTCTGCGCCTTTCAGGAACCCCTCCACAAAGTCTTTGTTCTGTTCAAGGATCTTCTGCGTAATGCCGTGACCACGGAGGTCATCGTACGCGATACCGCGCCCCAACAGCTCCTCGATCATAACTGTCCAACCAGGACCGAGGTTCTCCGACGTTTCGATTCGGCCCTTCTCGTTGTAGCCGACGTGCCCTACATGGACAAAGCTGCCGGGCGTAGGAGACGAGATCATCGATGCCTTCACGCGCGGAGGGTCCGCGCTTGTTGGCGCTTGGGGCGACTGCGAGCAAGGCGTCAACTTTCGGATCTTACGAGGAGCGTGCACTGATCGAGGCGCATTTAGCCCTCTTTTCAAGCACATAGATAATCGAAATGGCCTACCGGGGATGTTCAGCTGACTCGTACAGAGTTTCTTGTAGAAGTTCGCCGCATCTACATCATTGTCAAAGCGCAGGCCATACATTCTGCTCTGTTCAGGGAGTCAGTAACGTCACATCTCAGCAGCTCGGATCGCCGCGTACCTTCCCAGTGAAGGTGTGGAAGAACGGCTTGTCGAAGCGATACTGGAAGTCATCGGGAATGTCGTGTATCCAGATCAAGCCCTTGTCCGACTTCATGTCGACGAGCCTGAACCAGTACTGCGACTGGAACTGGAAGGTAGCGCTAGGCCTGATTGCCAGTGGGCGGTCCGTCCGTTTGTTGCGACCGAAGACGAGCATCCCCTTCAAGCCAGTACTCGTCCAAGAGTCTTCGCGTCCGGAAAAAGGTGCGTGGTAGACACTGGCGAACGCATACGCAATGCCCTTGCCATTTGAAGGTAGCTGCGATTGAATGTGGCGTTCTTCTTCTCGCGTCAGGCGCAGGCCAGATGTTGGAGGGTCAATAGGATGAAGGCTTGATTTCGGCGGGGGAATCATGTTCGGGGATGTGAGGTTGACAGGACCTGGAGGATATGGGGAGCGACAAAGAATGCAAGAGATCCTGCTCAATGCACAGTTATATATGCGTCCTCAAAGAGCAGTGCTGCGCGCCACTTCTGCAGTCGAAGCAAGCATCGTGCTGATCGCGTGCCCACGAGATCGAGTAGGAGACGTACAAATTCATTAGTACGGTGGGATTCGATCAGCCACATGCTGTGAGGCTCGACCACAGTGCAAAGGCGGTAATCACCGCGCGGGAGCATATCATTGCTATCCTTCAAGAATATTCAAATATCAAATCCCAAAGAGGACTATTCATCAGTGTCGCGGAGCCAATTCGGAGCATAAGATGCATCCTGTCTGCTGTGCAATTGGCATCGCCGGAACAGATGAACTAACCATCAGACTAGGGCACACATACCACTCAGGATTGGCCCGAGATGATCTGCAGCGACATATAGAGTCGACTGCCGTGCGGCGCAAGACTGGTGCTGAGAAGCATACCTGGGAACAAATCGATCACATGGATCTAGAGAGTTCATTGCCAAAATGCAGGTCCGCGGGAGGACTGACGACACATCGAAGCTTTGCATACTGCGACTCATTTTGATAGCTCGACGGCGAGTCTCGACTCTGGCAATGAAACGTAAACGTGTAACGTCGAAGAGGGGCATCCACGGTGCGGAAACACGCAGTGCGACTGCACCAGACCTCCAAGATGCAACCGGATAATCGTACCTACTAACCGATCCCTCAGCGGCACACCTTAAATCCAAAAGTTGGTGAATTGTGCAATGCCGGTGATGACTGTCAATTTTACTGTCACGTCGTTTTGCTCGGACACGAGGTTTCCCTTGATTTCATCCCATTTTGTTTTAATGTTTCGCCAATTGAGTGGGTACTGGTGATCAAGGTTCAATGTTCAACTTTATCGGAGTTTCGATAGTGCCAGGTGGCTATTAGCGCCGTTGGCTTATCAAGTACTTACTATTTACTGCAAAGTCACGTTTTCCATTGTTTTCGAAGACATCCGTTCATCGACGTTATCCCAGTCGTTGCCAGTCTCTCCATTGATGTTTGGCAAGCACACCATCGTCTGCATCTTGACTGTCTATTTCGGATCGGGATGCGAAAGGTTGGACAGTCTACTGTAAGGCCGCCGTCTTATGTTCTAACCGTAGAGAATCGAACGTTCCGCTCGCACTGGTGTGTTTACCCATATTGCGAGTCTAAGGAGATACTGACGAGATAATGGTGTGTGTTCGTTGATTTGTACGGCTAGCTAGCGAATAAGTCCATACTATGCCAGTTGCGACAGTTGATTCAACTGTCCAGGCGTTGGTCTGGAACATACTATCGGCTACATGGCCAGCGATTTCATAGACGTCATGTCTTCTGCCCCCCTTTTCGATGTGACACTCATACGTACAAGGGTCCGTAACCCGTCAACCGCACCGGTCGGCTATCGATCTCGATATTTTAAGGCCAGTTTTCGGAAGGCCCGGCAGACAATGCCGCACACCCTACCTGACGACACAAATTGACGTACATAGCTGAATCCGACGGCAAAAATGTTGCAGCTTGCCATGCTTGACGGAAAATGCATCGAGTATCATTTAGATATCACCGCTTGACTCCGATCCCCTGGTGCATGTATATCGGCCTCAAGATTTGCCTTGGACTCGTGCATCAGCGCGAGTGCCAGGACAGGAAACCCTCGGACATCGATGCAGCGTCGTGGCGTACGTACAGAACTTGCTTCGCGGTTCATTTTGAGAATGCTCACGATTAACTGGACATAGGTGGACCATCGCTTAGCGATACTGGGCAGGGGGACTGTACCCCAGACCCGGCATCCATGTCCGTAAGGGCGGGCACACTGTGCTTCATGAATTACTCTGTGAATTCACTACTGGTGGGCTCATCCACGATGTCCCTCACGCACGAGACCGGCCATCAATTGATGATGACAACATATGCCCGCGCGGCAGTCGTTGCTTTGTCTGGTCGTTCTGGGTCCGAGGGTGGTAATCCATCAAGCGGACGGTCGCTAAAGTCCTTGCGTTGTGCATGCACACTGTCTCCATTGTGCACACCATCATACTCCCCCTTGTGCACCGACATGCTTTCCTAATATTCCCCTTGCGCCCGCCTCATACAGCCATGGACATATGGCCCTTGGTCCGCCGAACACGTTTATGGCCTTCCATTGTCTACCAGCTCATTTCCACTCCATATCTGCGTGGTGTGGCGCTGTAGGATGCGAAACGCTGCTCAGGCGTTTACAATGGCTAAGGGCGTGAAGGCTCTCGATCCACTTGCCATGGGACAAGATGCAACGTACCTGCCCGTCGAACTCCAAGCCAACTCATGACCTGTCATGTTCCTCTCCGCGGCACAGCAGGGATCTTAGCAATCGTCAAGCTGGTGCGTGCCGTCATGCATTTGCTGTATTGCCTTGCGCGTGTTGAGCATCCCCCCTGCGTCATCTTCTAACAGGTCCTGTCTTTTCATGGGCATCTTTCGTTCTCTACGCTTGGGCTGACCTCTACGGCGTCTTCGTCACAATACTCCAGACTGCTAAAAGACCTCAATTCCAGTGACTTTTCTCAGGTTACCCTGAGGGCGAATCAGACGTCAGGACTGTATAGGGACGTGTCGCTCCGAACCTGCACTCGGCGGGCGTCGACCACTTCTCGCATTAGTCTGCTCTACCGCTTTGCATCAACGCAGATGGGAGTGGGGTATGCCGGATGGATTGGGAGCTTCTCGTCTGTCGTTGATAGGCAGCTTGAACGATCGGTGTGTGGTCCGATTATCTCTTTCATGGAGCGATTAGCGGTCAAATTCACTCCAGGGACATCAGGTCGTAATCATATATTCATTCTCCACACAGCTATACACAAACTACGCGCATCCCTTTCCTGTGTCCGCCGCCATCCCAAGGTCTATTCCCAGGTCCAACAAGGCGACACAACCTGCCCACGCGGATCCCAGTACTCGATCGCTGGTTGTATTCCCGGCCGATCAACGATGTGCGCGATCGGGCGATGTGGTACGTCTGAGCGCAGATCCTGTCTCAAGAACCAGGCTGTCATACGCTTCTCAATAGGAAACCCATGCGCTCTTTGCAGGGGAGACATCATCTGACCCAGTGTCGTGGGTACGAGGAACTGGAGCGAAGCCCACAGAGGTTGTGAAGACTGCTTCGAAAACGTGTTTGCATGCTATCCTCACAATGACGCAGTTAGGAACGATAGACGTCGTTCGTGCGCAATTTATGCACATTGAACTTTAGCGGAAATCGGGTCATTTGGACGTTATGCAGGTCTCGTTCTGCGGGTAGCGGTCGACCTCAAGCATGACAGCTCGAAAACCTGCAAATTCGAGTGCAATTCAGGGGACAAAACTACACGCGGCGTAGAAGAACGTGAAGGATTATTCCGCAGTCTGAAAATTAAGTAGACGTATCTGTAGAACTGTCAAGTACTGATTAATACAAAGCCAATCCAACTGAACTGTGCGTAATACAAACACAAATGCGGGATGAGTCCATATCGTCTCGAGGTCCATGATTCATGTGCATGCTTCAAGACACCGCAGCCGATGTCAGCGCCCTCCGGCTCTGCTCGCGCTTTCGTTCCATCTTGCCAATGTATTCAACCCACGCGTACCACGCCCCGCCTGCGAGGGTGATACAAATCCCGAGTGCATTCAATGGCGTGATCGTCAGGTGGAAGAGCGAGACCGCACACAGAATAGTCAGCGCTTGCTTCACATTTGCTGCGTGAAGAACAGCTGAGCGACGGGGACCACGGTGCTAAAGGGCCAGAGACGCACCGGCGACTGTCATATTCAGCGCACCCACACGCTTGTTTGCGCTCAGGCTGACAACGTTGAGACCGAACGCGATAGCGCCGTTGCCAAGTAATACGGCAAGCTTGAACCAGCCCGAGGTACTTCCGAACGCGAGCGAGTCGCGCGCCTGCAACAGCTCTCCAGAGCCGTAGGCGTACACGATGCAGAGTGCACATGCGAAGGGTGATGTACGGGAGAGAAGGTCGAGTGGTTGTAGGGAGAGGCGCGGTGGCACAGGAAGTAGCTTCTCTAGGGGCGAAGGCAGCGTGGGCTTGGAAGCGAGCGGGGGAGAAGACTGCAAGACGTTTGTGTAGATAGTCTTCACCGCCGCAAGGAATGTGCCGAACAGTGTGAGGAGAAACCCCCACATTGTGAAGTAGTAGTCTCCATATGTCCTGCATTGCATAATAAGCGGACTGCGTAGGAACTGATTGGAATAACGTGTTCGGACTTACGCGAGAGCGACGCCGAACATGACGGGAATGAGAGTGAAGAGCTTTAGTCTGGTATACCGCGTGCCGAACAACAGGAATGATAAGGCTGTGGTGAAAATGGGTGTTGCTGCTCGCACAACTTGGTGAAACTGGAGTTGTTGTACGGTGAATTTCGGCAAGCGGGTTGCATAAACTCCGACTTACTGGTACCGTCACGAGCTGCAATGACACGTTGCTGACTGCAATGTTGACAGCGTACAATGCGCTGAACGCCGCAAGAACAGTATAGTGCTTCGCAGCCAATGGAGCAGGAACATACGCCCCTTGATGCTGCAGCACCCACCCGCCTAGGCTTCCGCACAAGGCATGCAGCGCTGTGAGTGTATAAGGGTATGGAAACTGGACCAGAACCAGCTTGTTGTACAGAGTCAGGCCGAGGTTGAAGGCGAAGTACAGCGTGAGCCAGGAGGTCTGTGAATTGAGAAATGCCGGAGCGGTCAGACGCCTCCGCTTGCGAGCAATTGTCCGCCTCGAACGCTCGGTCGCATGCGGTGAGAGGACAGGCAGCGATGGGGATGCTAGACCGGTATCAGAGAGTATGGGCGAAAGCAGCATGGACTCAAGACCGTTAATACTACGCGGGAAGCCCGCTCGCTGGCGTGGGGACGAGGCCTGCTGGGTGCTGGGCAGCACATTCGACCAATGTGCTTCGTCGTAGCGCGTATCGTGCGTTGGTACGAGAAGGGGAGAAAGGCCGTCTTGGTTGATGAGCTGCGCAGTATAGCTCGGTGCGTGTTCGTCTGGGACTTGAATGCGCAGTGCCTGCCAGCGAGAGCCACCCAAACCGTGGCCGTAGAGGAGAGACAAAGGGCCATCGCTCAGATGAGGGCTTTTGAAATGATCAAATTGAACGTGGTTGGGCCGGACGACAACATTGGCGTTGTCGGTATGGAACTGTGTTGGTCGCATTGCGCGACAAGAGAAGTCTAGAAAGAACAGGCGAGGTATAGACAAATGCAGATATGAGAATCAGCCGCACAGCAATCTAGCTTGTGCAGTGACCGGCGAGCACGAGGAATCATACGCCGAAGAGAGCACCGAGCTCACTGTGTCCAACAGCGACCATGAGTGCCTTGATTTGGATGTATACTCTCATGGACACGTGATGTAAGACCACCTATTGGGCGTCTGCGCGAGTCCTGCGAGCAGGCTTTCGTTCCAACTCTTCATAACATCTGCGATGTCTTCAGCCCAAACACACAACGCTGGCCCCTCGAAAGTCTCTAAGTCGAAGCGCATTCTCTCTGACTCGGAGGACACGAGTGAACGCGAGACAAGCAGAGTAAGAGAGGCAAAGCGACCCCGACATGCAGACAGTCTCATCGACATCGACCAGAAGCGCACAACGATGGACAAGGACAAGAAAAAGAGGCGTAAGCGCAAGCGCAAGCAATCGATTGTTCAGAGTCAGAATGTCCTACTTGGCGCTGGAGGAGCGCTCAACGCGGTCACTGCACAAGCCGCAGGGCACTCGAGGACTCGCTCAGAGCCTCCAACCGCTCGGCGTCGGTCAGTTTCTCCTCGAGCGGGGTTGCTAGACGTTCTACTCCCAAAAATTAGCCGCCAGACGTCAGTGGGACTATCTTCGGTGACATTGGGCAGTCAGAGTCCTGAGGTTCAACCGAAGGAAATATCTGTGAGTGTTTCATTCTCTGCATCCTTGTTTTCATGCATGAACCACTCTTCCAGACCAACGATAAGGGCAAGGCTAGGGCCTCTCCAGAACTTGAGCGTCCGCCCACGGGCAGTGCCGCCGGAATTACGGATCTCACCACACAGCTAACTGCGAAGACTGATGTATGTGCATCATGTTCTCTCCGTACTTCATACTAAAGCCACCCCTGTCAGCTCGTCGGAAAACATACCGCGCTCCTCACGACGTTGCAGCAATCTCTAACATGTCAGATCTGCCTTGATCTCATGCATAGGCCGTATGCTCTCGCGCCGTGCGGACATACCGCCTGCTATGATTGTCTTTTGTCATGGTTCCGCGCTCCTCCCGCGGATATCCCTCCAGAGGAAGCAACTCAACCCTGGATGCGCAAGAAGACGTGTCCACACTGTCGCGCGATTATCACCGAGAGGCCAGTGGAGATATGGACTATCAAGGACATGGTCAATGCCATTGTTCGCAGTGACCTCGTGGAGCTACCCGCGAGCGCGCCTGCACCGGCGGCCGAGTCATCGAATACCAACGCAGACCCTTGGGAGAACATTTTTCGCAGGGCGACAGCAGCAAATACCAACGCGCAGCGCCAGACAATGGGTATCCACGATCCAGACGATGGCGGGGTGTGGCGTTGCGAAGACTGCTTGCATGAGATCTGGGATGGGTTTTGCTCGTCCTGCGGGCGCATGTACACGGGCCACCTGCCCTGGCCGCAAGACCCCGCTGATGACGATTCTGAGTATGATCACCAAGAGCTGTGGGACGACGATGGCGATCTCGGGGCCGCATGGATCGACATGGGTCCACTTGGCGGGCTAGGAGCATTAGGATGGGGTTACGGCTATTCGGAAGACGACGAAGATGGAAGCGTCAGTCGCGATAGCGGATCCGACGAGGACGAGGGTCACGATGTTGCTCTGCCGCCGCGACGTGGCCGCCGGCGCTATTCGCCAGTGCGCGAGGCAGCAGAGGAGCACGAGCGCGCGGATAGTGAGGAGGACGGGAGCTATGAGAGTAGCTTTATTGACGATGAGGACGATGTACGGCCTACGTGGCTGTACAATCCGCTACTTCGGCCGTGGACTCCGGAGCAGGAGCCGTCTTATGACGATCATAACGAGGAGAGCTCTCGCAGCCTCAACGCACGTGTTGGGAGTCGTGCTGCAACTCGAGTTGTGTCTTCAGAAGAGGAAGAGGAGGAGGCTTCTGACGCGCCTGCTCAACATCCAGGGCGCGTTCAGCGACGTGCGACACAGCTGGTCATTCATTCAGACGAGGAAGAGGGCAACGATCGCGAGGCGTTCGCGGAGGAAGAGGAAGAGGATGGGTAAGGATACATACTATCGCTCATAGTGTTCGTGCTGACCTGATATTTCGTAGTGACTTGGCGGATATCGTTGCAGCACGAGAGCGGTATGTATCATCGCTATGTGTTAGCTTCAGCGATCCTTACGGCTTGATCATTCAGGGAGATATATGGCGACGATGGTTCGGTTCCCCATTCTCGTTATGAACACGGACTAGACGAGGACGATGAGAATGAGGACATTTCCGATGCTCAAGGGACGTGGAGCGACGGTTACGATCCAGCACCACCAGGGGCTTATGGAGACGAGGATGAAAGCAGAGCGTATCTGTTCTCTGACGAGGACGAGTATGAGTATTGACCCATGTGCATGTACACGACAGTTCGTATTATTGGTGCCTATGTCGTGTTGCGTTGTGATGCTTTGCATGTCGCATCTTTCTATCATATACTCATCTAAGTCATCTTTGTTTTCTCGATTTTGCTTTGCGGATCTTCTTCGGAAGAGCATCATTTGTGGAGCGGATGAGCACCAAGCATGGGCAAGGACAGGGTTGAATCGTTCAGTCGCTCAGGATCCACAAACTGGTCTGAGAGATAAAGGCATACTAGCATACATTGGATGGAAATATAAGTACGACTCGACAAGCTAACACGAAAACAACACAGTTCAGATAGCAATATATAGACTATGCAACTCGCCTCCTCCGCTATGGGGGCGGTGCCACCCCAAGCCGGGCGTTGACTTTCTGTCGGTGCTGACGATTCCGCAGATGCACCTCATAATTCTGCAGTGTTTCACCCGGCCCGGGCGTGTAGAGCTGTCGCAGGTGTGCTCATTAAATTCTCATATATTCGCGGCATGGCAACCAAGAATACGTACCTTCCCGGGGCAATCCAAACACTTGATTCGCCACTCAACCGTTCCTGTCGTGGCCACTTTCCGGAGTGTCACTTCGAATTTGTCGTCCGGGTATTTTGCGTGCATCTCCGTCATGGCTTGGTTCAACCACGGAGGAATCGCGGCCTGTTGTGCGTTGGTTATCTATGCCTTATCCGTATTTTGCTTATCAAAAACTACTTACCGTGGGCTGATGGTTTTGCGGCGGAGCTGACGGGCGTGGAGGAGGTGGAGAACCTGCGGGAGGTGCGACCACTGTCGGTCTACTATCAGGCTGAGGCTCCTGCAGGACAGGATCCGGAGGTGCAGACATGGAATGAACGGCGCCGTTTGGCCTGGTGATCCTCTGGGCAAGAGGAGACTCTGAAGTACTTGAGGTAGTAGACATAGGAGACGCTGGCGCCCTTCTTTCTGCTTCACTACGTGCGGACGACTCCTCGGGTGGGACTTCGATCCATACTTCGGATACGGGGCGCGTGGGCGTTTCAGGTTCGACATCAGCATCTTCTGCTGGAGTCTCTGGAGGAGGGTCGTCGAATACCGGAACTTGAGGACGTTTCCGCTTGGCCGCAACTCTTGCTTGCTCGGCTTCCCGAAGAAGGTTACGATGATATTCGGCATCGGAATTGTACTGCACTGGCCGAGGCCGGCGATGCCTATGCCAGAATTTACCTGAATAGAGTGAGCGAATGGGAGATATAACGACTTTACCGGACATAGCTTACCACAGGTGCCGCATTGTGACTTGTCCCCCAAAGGACCCTTCCGGCGACCCACCGCGATATTCTCCGGACAGCCACAATTAGAGCAATGCCAAACACCATTGATCATGTTTGCATGTTGGCCATCGGCATACTCCTTTTCCTTGGCCTCTCGCTCGAGCTCCTTTGCGCGCTTGGCTGGTAGCATCACCCTCGCACCTTTGTCACCACTACTACTTGGCGCTGGTAAGTCGTCCTCAATGGGAGGAAGAAAAGTGGAAGGATCGGCCAAGGTTGACAGAGTAGGCCCTCTGAGGCTCGCTCGAGGCCGAAGTACACTGGCAGGATATGAGGGTGCCTTGAAGAGTCCCTTCGGCTTCTTTTCCTTCGGCGCTGCAGGAGCGGCTGGTGTCATGGGCGCAGGTTGCATCGTAGGGATCACAACAGTGCCGTTCTCTGAAGCCACCATATTGGCGATTGTGAGCGACGCGGCAGCAGCTGCCGCTCGCCGTGACGTAGGAGCAGCAGCGGCGTTCACCAAAGCGAGAGTTGCTGCATCGATCTCCGGGAAGCCAATGGCAGGCGTGCGGAACGTCTTGGGAGGTTCCCGGTCAGGAAGCGCGATGCCTCGCCTACCACGAGTTGTCTTTCTTCTCCGCCGGTTCAGCTCCTTTTCGCGCTCCTTCTCGTTCCTCTCGATCTCACTGTCGCTTAACGGGTTCAGTATGGGGGTAAATGCAGCCACTTGGTCCATGGCACGGGCACCGGTGGTCAGAGAAGGAAGTAAGGACATCCGCAGATCGTCGTCTTGTACTGCAGAGCCATCGGAAGGATGTCCTACCAAAAACAGCGACTTCTGGTATATTTGCACTTGCTCGCGGATAGAGTGCGCTATCGCAGTCCTGGAGGGTGTTCAAGGATGAACATACACTTATATGCACTGCAGTACGACACGTACTTGAATTCCCCGCCAAGGCCAAGGTCCTTGACATATATCTCCGCAAATTGCTCTGGAGAAGGGTCATCGTTATCCAAATTCCACTCAAACTGATCCTCGAGCTTCAGAGATCCGACGACGATGTCGAGCTACAGAGGCGTACATATTAGGTGAGGAAGCCCAAGAGACACGGCGACTCACCTTGACCAGTATTCGCATATCTTCATTGAGGAAACTTTCGTCCTCATCAAAATCATCAACGATCATAGGAGCATCCGGTCCTCGGAGCGTGGCAAGGTCGACGGCCTCCTCTTTGACAAGTTTTCGTCGTTTACGACTGCGGGTGTCTGACCGTGTGCTAGACTGCTTATACACAACCCCAGAGATGACATTCTTGCGCCATGTTTCCCACCATTCGGCGTCCTGGCCTTCCAACTTACCCATTTGGATGTCATTAGTATCCGAAGCAATGACGACGCCGTCTTCGCCAAATGTGGTAGAGTGTGCCTTGAAGTCGCTTAGCTGGTCTTGAATTGCTTTGGTGATGACCACATGGTAACTGGGAGCGAGACTATAGTCGTCCACGATAGACTGAGCGAAGACTTCAGGAGTAATGATGGGGTCTACGGCAAAAATGAGGGGCGTGGATCTACAACGAACGAATGGCATTCGTACCGTTCAAGTTCCACACAAAAGTATCGCGCATCTTGTGGTGTTCAACGTCGAACTCGAGCCGGATGGGCACGAGCTGTTCGATACGACTGGCGTCTTCTGATGGCAGTCTGCGGGGCCTACAGGGCACTGAAAGTGAGTGATTCAAATACAGTGGTCTCGTCACAACGTACAACTTGAACCCTTCTCGTTTGCCTGCCTTCCGCCGCTCCTTCAGCTCACGCTCCTTGAAGTGCTTTTGACCCGTGAGCGAAAACTTATCCTGTCGCTTGCGCATGCCCATGCGGCCGTCCTCCAGAGTCGTGTCCTTCTCCCACCACGCATGAGGCTTTCCGACCGTTCCGCGCAACTCGTCCGTCATCTTTTCGCGCATGTGCTTGTATCTGCCCTCATACTCCTTGTCGATCTTCATGTACGTCTTGATTTCGGCGATTTGGTCTTCCGTGAGCGGCGGTATGAGGGTAGCCGAGTCCTTAAGCGGCACAATAGAAACGCGCGACACCTTCGGGTCAAGCTGGACATTAGCAGGCAGAGGCGCGAGCTGGGGTATCACGGTAGGAGCCGGCGGCACCGCGGGCGCGGCGTTCGACGCACCGTTGGCCGTCTTCGTTGCCGCGTTGTCCTGCGCGTTTGCAGCAGTGCCAAGGCCCTCGCTGGGCTTGCGATCGATCAAGCCATTCTGCAAACCGGCGCCCGACAGGTTAGGGCCTGCGATCGGCGAGGACCCGTGCGGGAAGGGCGAACTGATGGGTGGCTGCGAAGTCTGGCGGGCGTGCTGCTGCATGGGCGTCTGGGGTATAGGCACGTCGATTCCGCCCATCCCGCTGAGACCGGACGTTCCCAGCCCAAGGCCCACACCATTAGGGAGAGCGCCCATCGCGCGGGAGGGCCCCATCGTGTCCATAGCCCCATTTTGTCCGAGGCCCGGCACGTGCATGGGAGACGACGCAGGCAGTCCGGTGGTCGATGGGAGCCCGAGTTGAGCAGCGGGGGTCGGGGCGCTAGGGAAGTTTGGGTTCACGCCCATTGGCCCGGCAGACAGCTGGCGCGTCATGCCAGGAGCAGGAAATGCACCGCCATTGACGTTCATATTTGCATTCATGCCCATACCCATCCCGCCCATGTCGCCGCCATGCGCCTGGTGTATCTGACCCTGACTAGTAGACCGCGGCAAGACCGGAGGACCCATCATCCCGCCTCCAGCACCGCCGAGCAGGCCCATCCCGACACCCAGATTCGCCGCTGCGTTCTGCGAACCAGCGGGGCCGACATTCCCCATGATACCCATGCCTGTCAGACCCGTGCCGCCGCCACCTGCTGAAATGTTGACGTTGGCGATCGACGGCATCGGCAGATGCGGGGTCTGTGGCGGCGGATGTATCTGCTGTGGCTGTGGCTGGAGCTGGAGCTGTTGCGGCTGGCCGGGGACGGGTGTTCCGAGCCTGCGCTTCGCGCCGCGCGTCGGCGAACCGGGCATCGCCGGAGCAGGAGCGATGGCCGGGAACCCGCCAGGAGACCTTGCTGTCGGCGTCTGCAGCGCCCCGTTCGGATGGCCCATACCCAGGAAGTTGCCATTCTGCCCCTGCTGGACCTGCGCCTGCTGCTGCTGTTGCTGATGCTGTTGCTGATGCTGATGCTGCTGAACAAAGCCCGTGGCCGTCGTCGGGCGACTCGGCGCCTTCTGCTGGCCGTCCGCCCCATGCACCGACATGCCCGTCCCCGGTCTTGTGGCCGGCCCCGGCGTGCCCGCCATCGGGCGCGGCTGGATCGGGACCGGCGTCCCCACGCCTGGCAGATTTCCGGACGGCAGGCGCGGACTCGGCGTCGCCCTCGGGCCGCCGCCCGTGCCCGGACGCGGACTCGGACTCGGCGCGCCGCGGTTCGCATTTGCATTCGCGCCGACGTTCGGAGCGGAGAACGCGCCCGGCTGCTGCGGGCGCTGGGACGTCGCGGTGGACGGGCGCGGCGGGATGGACGTGGGCGGCGGCATCATCGCCGAAGGCCCCGCACCCGACATCGCGTGCTGGTGCTGCAGCATCGCGTTGCTCTGTGCATTCTGAAACTGCTGTTGCTGCTGCTGCTGCTGGGCGGCAGACATGCCCTGGCCCTGCCCTTGTGCGAGCCTCTGAGAGTGCGAGCCAGTCGATGCGGCCGACGACGGGCGCTGCTGCTCATACTGGCCCTGCGAGAGCTGCTGGAAGCGCTCGTGCGCCTGCTGCTGCATCTGCATCTGCTGCGCGGAGGCCATGCCCATGCCCTGTCCGCCGCCCATGTTCGCGTTCGGGCCCTGCATGTGGTGCTGCTGTGCCTGCTGCTGCCCGTGCTGCTCGCGCATCATCGCCGCGCGCTGCATCTGCATCATCCTGAACTGGTTTAGCGTGCGCTCGCGGTCCGCCGGCTGCATCTGCGCGAGCTGCGCGATCTGCATCGGCGTCATGCCGAGGTTCTGCAGGTTCTGGATGACCGTCGCGTTCAGCGCGCCCGCGTTGTGGCCCTGCCCGCCGGGGAAGCCCATTTGCTGGGGGCTGTGGTGGGAGGGCGACGCCGGGTTGCCCATGCTGGCGATCTGCGCTTGCGGGGCCGTCGGGCTCGTCGAGGGGTTGAATTGCGCGTTGAAGTTCTGGTTCTGGTGCGTTGGTGACGACGCGCCTGTACTGTCTTCAGACACTGCATGTATGCGCGCGAACGATGACTCACCCGCCATCAGCGCGGCAGGGTTGATGCTGCCCATGTTGCCCATCCCGTTCATAATCCCCGCGTTCGAGCCACCCATGTTCGTGTTCATCAGGTTCTGCGGGTTCATCGTGCCGCCGTTCATCATGTTCATCATTTGCGCCGGGTTGATGTTGCTCATGCCTGACGTCGCCGTCAGTTGGCGCATTCTAAAAATTGACGATATGCGCACGCACCATTCATGCCGCCATTCATCGCACTCATGAATGCGTTCGGGTTCATGTTCATCATGTTCCCGCCTCCGCCTCCGCCTCCACCGTTCATGTTCTGTAGCAGCTGCGCGGGATTAACGCCGCCCATTCCGCCGGCGCCGCCGCTCGGCTGGCGCTGGCGCATTAGCATCTGTGGATTAAGTGGCTGTCCACCCTGCTGCTGCTGCTGCTGCTGTTGTTGTTGCTGTTGTTGAAGGTGTTGCAGCATTTGTGGGTTGATCGCCCCGCTGCTGCCCGCATTCTGGCGCGCAGCATACAGCTGCTGGATCTGCGCCTGCGTCAGGCTATGCCCGCCGCTCGGCATGTTGGGGTTCATGTATGCGTCGCGAAGGTGCGTGGACCGGATTGAGGTGCTTTACTCAGGGACGCGCACAGCGCCACGGATAGAATGCGAGGCGCTATATGCCTGATAGAGAGTCAGCATTGCCGTCTCAGGTAACGATGCGGAGAACAAGTGAATATGCAGAAATAACAACTATATTTGACTGCGTGGTCGAAAATACGATGACTATTCCTGTGCGCGGATACTCAAATCCGGGGCATACACTGGGAACCGGATGCAAGTCGGCGAGCGGACAATGAGAGGCTCAATTGCATAGCCTGGACCGACTGCATCTCGCCATTGAGCATTTGCCACTTGGGTCTCAGACAGCCCTATGGTTACTTGCCAATGGCTGCAGACAACGGTAAACAGGGCGGGCCCACGGGGGCATGGCACTTCGGTGCCAAGAGAGCCCAATGACACCGAGAGCCGTGCGCTGTGAGGGGCGACGAGGCCATGGTGAGGGCATAAAAGTGAGACTCGCCGCCTGCACACTTGCATCTACAACGACGCGTGCGGGGGAAGCGCCGAGTGCATCAGGGAATGTGCGGGCGGGACATCGAACGGAAAACAAGCCGCGAGGACGGGGAGGCAGGGACGGGGAGAGGGACGGGACGCGTCTCGGGGGACGCGATAGGGACAGGTCAGGGGACCGCGCGGGACGGCAGGAGGAGTGCGCACGGGCCAGGTGACGGGAGCAGGAGGGGAGGGGACTTACGTCTGGGCGTGGATACGGGTGGGAGCCGCCGAAAGGCCGGAGGGGAGAGCAGTGCGGGAGGCGCAGGGAAAGGAAAGACGGGAGATTGCGAAGCCTGCTGGAAGGCGACTGCGTGGGCCGTTCCGTGGCGATACAAGGGGCGAATCAACAGCGACGCTCGCTCGCTCTTCCGCCCGCAGCGAGGATGTTTCGAATGGGTCACAAAGCACGTCGCTGATCCAACGCCGAAAGGAGACCAGACGCAGAGACGGCCGAGCAGCAGATTCCGTTCTGCCACTCAGTGGAGGCGGTTCCAACAGACAAACCCCTCCTCTGCCGCCCGAGTCACCCCAACCCTCTGCCCTGTCACGCGTCACGCCCCGCCACGCCCCGCCCCGCCCCGCCCTTCCATATCAGGCAGTCACGCGTGCCAGGTCGCCGCCGCGCGCGGGAACGACAGCACACGGCGGGCACATCTGCCAGGGGAGAGGAGAGGGGCAGGACCAGAAGACTGCCCCTGCGCACGCAGAAACGGGTGCGCTTGTGAGCAGCCCCGCGTCCCAGTCCAGATCCCCGATCTCCGATCGTGCGCTCCTGCCGCCTTCGCCTGTCCGTTTTGGCTCTTTCCCCACCCGCCATCCTGCCACCCCATGCCCCCCCTTCGTGCCCTGTCCTCTCCCGTCTTGCATTTGGCCTGTCCGCCGCAGCGTGCACCGGAAAACCGACTGCGAAAGGTCTTGGCGCCTCGAAACGTACACAGTACTTGCCTCAAGTGGGATCCTGACGCCAACGGTGGTTGCTAATGTTGGCCGTTCCCTTGGCTGCCGCAAACATGAGCCCGGTGGCCGAGATCTGATCTCATGACCCTCGAGCTTACCGGACGCTGGTCACCACACAGGCCTTGCCCAGAAGTCTGCTTGTCGGGAACCTCGATGACGTCTGCATTAGAACCTGGAAGAAGGCGGTCTTGTGCTATTCCGAGGACAATCTTCCGAGGTCTTCCTACAGCATATATGCGCCTGTTTGGCTTCACTGATGTGCCATGCATCACACCACCGAAAGCGGTATGTGACCACCGGCTTCCACCCTCTGTGCACCACGCACTATGCAACCGCACTGAAAGCATCAATGCTTCCACCGTCCCACTCGACTCATGCTGATTGTGGTGCATATATGCGCTAACTATTGCGTGTCTCCTGCCCACATCCGCAACAAACTTGATGATCGACCTTGTCTCAAACCGCATTATCTGGTAACAGGAGCTCCGCGTTCCAAGACACGCCAATGTACGTGCCAACACCGATTCCCATATGCAGATGCTGCACTCGGTCGACAATCCTTCACGACGGCCCCGATACAAGCCCAAGTTGGACATGTCTTGTCTCTGGACTCCACATCCGCAAAGGCACACCCAAAGTCAAGTCAAGCCACATCTTACAGTGACAGCCTGCATAAACCGTAAGCCGCGTATGATTGCAAACCAACAACTGGTGCGCTCGCCAAGCACCCGGGACCAATCCGCATCATGGCGCATTACCGACGCAGCGTAGGATCGTGACACGGCAAACAACGTGTCAGGCCTTTAAGGAGGCCGGCCGTTCAACTAAGATCGCAAGCCAGAATTCGGGTTGACGTATGCTGACCGGTGTCAGCCGTACAGACCTGACGCAGGTGCTCAGAGTCAAACCTTCTTGGATGTGCTAGATTGCTCATCCTGCTTGCTCTTGCCCGAATCACATGCTGAGCTTATACAGCTACAACATAGGCCCCGTCGTCAATTTCAAACACGTCCGAGCTAGCATTTCACATCGGGTTCGCACCTTCGTCGGTGAGCGATAACGGTTCCTGAGTGTCGCTCGTATTGGATCTAGCTATCAGAAACTCTGCGCAATAAGCCAATTGTAGCATAGACTTCCATCTCTCACATCATTAGACAGTGTTAGGCTTTGCTTTTCTCATTCTGGGTCTTTACCCTCGCTGATCGGGCACAGAAGTCAGCATGTGTTTCGAGTAAGGATGGATCTGCTCAAAACCTGGCTGCGAATGACCTTACAATGCGCTGTGAACCTATAGACTACCAGACTCAAAATCATGTTTCAATAGCGTCAGCGCCTGGAGATTCCTAATAGATAGCACATCAAGATTGCACATAGCGCGCCCATGCTCATGGAAATAGGACGCCTTCGGGTGCGAGACTGCGGGAGTCTCACCAGCCTGAAGCTCAAAAGGCAGCGACACTGGCCAGCTGCATTCCGCTCGCACAGACTCTCAACGACCGCCGCTATCAACATGGCCCAGAACGACACGCCCCCCTTCGACCGCTCGCTCAGCCTCAAGTTCACGCAGACGCCCAACCCGCAGTGGACGTACGGCCAGCAGCTCGACGCGACGCCCGAGGGCAAGGCATGGCTTGAGGGCGAGAAGGCCGGCTGGAAGGTGGTGGACACGGAGAAGGAGGACCCGATGTGTGTACATGTGCCCTCTGTGTCCGGGTGTGGGCTCTCCGTTCAGACGCGCCCGGCAGGAAGCTGTATGCGCTGATGACCAGCGGGATCGTGCCTCGCCCGATCGCGTTCGTGTCGACGATCTCGGAAGACGGCGTCGAGAACCTCTCCCCTTTCAGGTGCGCACTGTCACCCGCTTCGGCCGGAGTGTGATGTGACGGGCTATCCCCTCCACAGCTGGTTCAACATGGTACGCCTCCGTAACCGTCCTGTCCTTGTCTTCGTCCCGCGCACGCTGAGATCGCGGCCACGTGCCGTTTGCCGTTTGCCCGCAGGTGACGCACAGCCCGCCGCTCGTCTCGCTCTGCTGCAGCAACGGGCCCGCGCGCGTGAAGGACACGGCGGCGAACATCGCGGCCACGCGCCAGTTCACGGTGAACATCATCAGCGAGCCGTGGGTCGAGGCCGCGAACGCGTGCGCGGTGGACGCGCCCGCGGCGGTCGGCGAGTGGCCGCTCAGCGGGCTCACGAAGACGGCGAGTCTGCACGTCAAGCCCGCGCGCGTGCAGGAAAGCGCGTTCAGCATGGAGTGTGAGGTGTGTCCTGCCCCCACCACCCCCTAGCCACTGCTCGCTGTGCGCGTTGTGCGTCGTGCACGGCTCCCAATGCTGATCTCGCGCATGCAGCTGCACCAGACGGTGGAGATCGTGCACCCTGTGACGGGCGTGAACACGACGACGATGATCCTGGGCCTCGTCAAGTACGTGCATGTGCGGAACGACATGCTCACGGCGCGCGGGACGGTGGACCCGGCGCGCCTCCGCCCGGTTGCACGCCTCGGCGATATCTCGTACGCGCGCGTGGGCGACGGGTTCCGCCTGCGGCGGCCGGTGTGGGCTGACGAGGCGGAGGCGATCCGCGCGGCGACGGAAGGAGCAAACGAGTAGCTTGCTGGTATGTGCAGTACGAGCCTACCGTGGGGTTTCGATTACGCAGCCGATCGCCATTCAATACATAACACATTTAAATACAGGACGTGCCCTCTATAAAATACCCGAGACGTGTCGTGAGGAAGCCGTTAACGAGCTGAAGACGATCAGTAAGGAGGATTCTGTGGAGCTTGCCACATGAGCGGAGAGAACTGCATGACGCTGTTCAGTCGCATCCCCAGCCCTGACCACTGCATCGAGGCGGCTGACGCCAACTGCACATCAATCCGCATTTGCATCGCCAGGGCTTGGTTGTGCAACTGTACCACCGCCTGGCCCGTGTTGACGTTCACCAGCGCCTCCTGCACTGATTGGATCTGCCCCGCCAGCGTGCTCATGAGCCGGACGATGGTGCTGATATCCTGCTGTTTTCTCTGTGATGCTTGAGACATGTCGCTCGTCAGCAGAGTACTGTTGTACGTAGCGGGTCTGTGCATTACCTTCCAGCGATCTCTCCATCCTGTTGGCGCTGGCCGAAAGCAGGTTCTGCACCGCCTGCATCATGTTTTCCACGAGGGCGCCGGCGGGGTGTATGATGCGGAGGACGGTCCCGGCGCCGGCCATAATATACCCCGTCGTCCGCAGAACCGCCGGCACGGCCTCCTTGATCCTACCCCAGGACCACCAGCTCGCTTTATGCGCCGCGGCGCCGGTGTTGACGCTTTCGACAATGCGGAGGAAGTAGTCGATGCCTTCCTGCAGGATCTTCACCTTCCAGCAGAGATCGGAAGACGCGAAGTTGATGCCGTTGGAGGCGCCGATGATCCGCTGGTCATACTGTACCCACCCCGCCTGCGACGCGCTGTGCAGGTTGTCCGAGACGAGGTGGCAGAACTCGAGGTGGCGCCTGATGACCTCCTTGGATGCATCGACGGCCGCGTTGGACTGGCTCTGCAGCCCCTGCAGCGCCCCGCGGAACTCGGCGGTCAGGGGGCTATCTGGGAGACTGGGTGGCCGCTCAGCGTCGGACGACATGAATGCGGGACGAAGCTCTCGCGCCTACTTGTTGAAGTGCGTACCCCACGCGTTGAAGGCCTGCGAGCACTTTGTCATCTCGCCCAGGGCGGTGCGTGCGATCTCGTCGACGGGGTCGACGGGCCAGACTTGGTCTTGTCGCACGAATCCATACTTGGTGTACTGATTATAAGCGTACGCGTTTTGGTTCCATCCAGAGGTATCTTGACGGGGGCCGTTCCATACTTCGCTGTTGAAGTTGGCTGAGGTGTTCCACATTCTGGTCGACGAGAGTGAGCTTCACTGGAAGTACTGCCCCCTCAGTCTCGGAGGGTTGCTTATAATGGTGTCGTATTGAGACACTGTGCTGCAGACACGAGCTCGGAGGTACAATACACGCTTCAACCTCATTGACTCATTTGATAAGATTATGTCTGCACGCAGTATCATCCCTAGCAGGAATATGTGCCCGTACCTCTGACTCAAAGATGTCACACTCACGTGCCGCATGTTGTGCTCGTACTCAACATTGACCTCGTAAGCGATAGGATTGACTGAGGGTGAGGCGTAAGGTCCTCGTCCTTCAGCATCGTGATCGTCGGTGGCTTCAAGGCCACACGCGACTGCCTCATGAGCGAGGAGAGCAGCTCGTCAAGATATTGTTCACTCACGTCGGCCTTCAGATACTTCAGCTGGCCACACGAATTATCGAGTGGATCTCGAGGATCTGAAGCCTCAACGCCGGTGAGCACAGTCGCGGCACCATGACTTCGGTCTCCGATTAGCCGAGATGAATGACGCATGGCCCTTCAACCCGACTAATGTGAGGATCGATGAAGCTGGCAATGAGCAGCGGGTCGCGAATTGAAGGATTCCCGCTGCCCCGATACCTAAAAACAGGCGGCCATTAGCCCGACGAAGGAACGCCGCTGCCAGATGTCCGTTGAAGAACGCTCCGAGCTTGAGGTTCGTCCAAAATGCCGGATTGTTCGTCATGAGACTACGCTAGTACGCACATACTTGGGTAAAGGAAAGCCAACTCCTCTGTGTCCGGAGAAGCCTTCGCGTGAGATGGTCTGACATTTCAATGACGAGATGGACTATGTCGAACAGCACGTCATCTGGTATGTTCGCGATTGGCGTATTTGTGTCAAGGCAGGGAGGCGTCTGCGATGTTGTTGGCCCATTCATAGCTAGCTCCTGCGCATCTGGTTATGAGACTGCATGGCACATAACTGCACTAGGACTCACGATAGCAAGTGTCACAAGAGAGGACTCTCCGTTGAGATCCTACGTGAATCTGGGGGGTGAATGTATCGCAAACAATACCTAGATACTAAGGGAGAAGGTCTTTAGAATGCGTGCGTTGTACCTTGAACGCGCTTCATGCGACGAGCGCCCGGTGATAGTGCAAATAGCCCTCTACAGTCACGTCGAAAATAAGGCTATGCGGCTGAGGATAAAGTCTCCCTCTCGACCTCAGAATATGCGTTATGACTTTAACACGAGGCCTGGCACTGGTTGATGGGAAGCAACTTGAAGTGTAGCGCCAGCTTGTACTCCGTCGCGTGACCGTGCGCGTCCCAAGACGCGTCGCGCGTCGCGCGGTCTGGCAGATACCTCTTGCCGCTTGCTCTAATCAAGGCCTACGCGGTGGCTCAATGTCTGCATATGCCGTGGCAAAGGAAACAAGCGACCTCGATGACCCAACGAAGGTGCGCGTGAGCTATGTGGCGCGCGAGATTTCTGTGCTGAACATGCATAGTCCTGCATCTACATCGCACCAGGTGATGAGCTAGGTCAGTCGTCAGGAAGTGTCTCCCCTGACACTTGAGTTGAAAGCTAATAATGAAGTAGAAGAAGACGCTCTTTCGGGCCCATACTCTCCACACGACTGGCGAGATCTTCCAGATGGATACGAACTCCGCATGCAAGCATACAAAGAAGCGTGGACACAATGTTTGAGACACATGCAGGTCAGCATCTGAAACAACACATGTAAGCCCACATCTGATGTACGGATGGCGGCCAGTCGATCATACAAGCCCTCCATGCTCCTGTTGCGAAGGAGGTTGTCGCACAGGTCAAATCTGCATACATGGATACTCTTCCGGGCCTTCCGTATGCGGAACTTCCAGCTATGCTTGTGTTTGGTACATCATACTCTGGTTGACTGTTGTGAACTCATCTTCGTTGTGCTCTAGGAGGCAGCTCGGGACTGTATTCTGACATCATTCAGCAGCTGGAAGTATCCGTCGAAGTCGAGGACGACAGTGCGGCAGATGAAGCGAAAAGCGACATCACAGCCTCAGATGGCGCTATCATGATACACCTATATCCGGGCGATTTCCCTAATTTGACGACTGCAATGAAGTCCATCGTTACTGGGTTTATAGACCAGTCCACAGGCTCAGGCCGTGGGTATAATGATCCTCCGGCTCATCTGGTCACTTACAGACTCTCCTTGTATGCGTCCCAGAGAATGGCATGAAGCGCAGGCCGGCTGCGTCGCTTGCTACTTACGATATCAGCGTGCTGGATGCCTGGTACAGATCACTTGGTGCGTGACTTGTGCAGACCACAGTAACAGCGCAACTTGTGACCTGAGAACAGACAAGAAGCCCAGCCTTACCATCTTTCTGCATGATTTTGAACAATTCGAGCCCGCAGTGGTGCAAGATGTGTTCTACATATCCAGGCGAGTGCATAATTCTGGAGCTCTGCTCGTCCATTGACCTTTCCCAGTTTGCACATACCCGAGTTACCCCTGGTCTACATCCTGGCGATGTCATCCCCACCTAGTCCTTCGTTCCTGCACACAACCTATTCACGCTCGACGCTTGCGCTTCTCAAAATACACAAGTTCAGTGCGCCCTTGAATGTTGAGCTCATAGACGAACTCGTGGAAAAGGTAGGCATCCATTATTAGCAGCATCAGTATGACTTCGTTTCATACGAGTTCCCAGACATTCTGTGATCCCAACTATGAGCCTGCGGTGATGCTTGGTCCCGGCTCGCTAGGCTTTCTGGCGGACTTCGTGTCTCGTCACACGGCATCCGTTGATGCGACGTTGACGATTATCCAGGTTTGTTCTGCTTCCCAGACTCGGAGCACCTCTATCGGCGCGATTGAGTTGACCTGCAGTCCACAGCTCGCTCTCATGAAACATTTGGCGGAGCCCTTGACAATCTTCATCGAGTCCTCGACACTGGGCCTCCGGAACGAACGGCTTGCCGGACAGAAACTGGACCAGCCAGAGTCTCAACCGTTCCGGGATGTGCTGACTTCTCGACTAGCCCGTTCCACTTCCAATCCAGACGACATTGACGAGGATGCGATCTCGCTCCTACGCTCTGTCAACGCAGCTCGCGACGGCTTCTATCGCAAATTGCGCACGATGCGCATCGGACTGTCGGTGATGAACATCGTGCGGCAGGCCATCGAGACCGAAAGGGAGAACGAAAGCAGCATGCTCGACACCCTGATTGCCGCGCTGCGTGGGCGGGCGAATCGGGACGTGCGACAGTTGGCGACGGCCCTCAGGTGCGCCCTGTGACCCACAACTAGATGCCTTCTGTGCTCACTTGCATTTTCTAGCAAATGCAACGCGCAGCAACTACAGATAGTCCTGCAAAAACTACAGGCACTGTACGACGGTCTGCAAGACTCCGACGCGCGCGATGCTGAGATGGATGCTCACGTCCGTGTAAGCGAGGCCCTCACAGAGATCGCAGATACAGACAATGCGTCTGTGGATGCCGAGAAAGGACGCGATCCACTCGTCGCTCGCCTCGCAAAGGACCTCGGCGAGTGGCTCATCGGGTATCTGGAGTGAGTGTTGCCACACGGCGTGCTTCATGTGGACTGTCCACACTGACCCTCTCGTCAGGAAACATCTCATACGGTTGGACGACGGCCCGCTCTGGGACATTTGGTACACAGGGTCTGCGCCCTTTCCCGCGGAGGTGCGTCCCCCTCGTTACCCTGTTTTCTGTATCGGATGGCCCACCATTACCCGCAGCTGATTAACCCTGCGCCTCGCCCCGCCCTCGTCTCTGCCCTGGCGCACCCCAACGAACATGCTGCCGCCTATGCGCGGCTACTCCGCATGTACATACCACAAGATAAGGCTGAGACGGGATCGGCAGATCAGGATGTTCGAGAAGATGAAGGCGAGGACGAGGACGGACTCCCGGACACGGCGCTCCTCTTCCGGCGGTATGCGGAAGCGGGGCGTCTGGTGAATGTGTACGACTGGTTCCAGTCTTTTGCGGGCGCGCTCGACGGACGCCGCCGCCGAGAGCGTAGGGCCGCTGTCACCTCTTCCGGAAATGCGCACGCACACGGCGTCAGTGGCGCGGTGTCAAACGGAAAGGGAAAGGGCAGGGCGCGCGCCCATATACCGATGGAGGTTGATGGGGCCGACGAAGATGCAGGCAGATCTGAAGAGGAGGAGAGTGAACTGGGTGAGGACGAAGACGAGGAGGTGGCGGAGGCGTGGCGGATTGAGGTACAGGTACGCTTCATCCGCGCGCTGCACGAACTCGACTATTTGGGCGTCGTGAAGCCAACAGGGAGGAAGGCGGACCACGTCGTGCGGACATTGTACGACGTTATTTACTAGTCGTACCATACAGTGTAGGTCAGACACTGTTTATATCCCCGAATTGTCAAACGTCCTTCCATATCTCCTGCAGTTGAGGTCGAAGCTGAACCGGTCTTTTGGCCAACTACAATCTGTAGTTGATTCTGCAGTCTTATCTCGCAATATGCCTGCCTTACATGGGGCGAAACGAAGTTTATGCACAGTTCGGTTCATTCGTGTCACTTCCCTCCCCTAAACCAACCGCCTACGCCGACCAGGGTCAGAGCGCTTGACTGTTCGGGCATGATAGCAGCACTGGCCATGCGGCACATGTTTCAATTTAAGACATCAATACAAGCGACACCGACCCTCCTATCTTCTCGTGCGCCCAACAATCACAATCCCATAACTAGTACACCAGGTTGAGACTGGAAGGGGAGTGGCAGGAGCGCGCTCAGCACTTGCACTCGTTAGGCTTGCACTGGCAGCTGTAGGAGGACAGGATCAGCCTGCGATGTACGCTCGTCCATGGGTAGGTAGGTACTCACGTAGCGCCGCAGTTGCACTGGCTCTCGCCGCAGGTACCGGCAGCGTTCTTGGGAATGTCGATGGTCTGGGGACAAGATGGTCAGTATAGTGAGCAGAGAAATGGAGGCAACGGCGACTGACCATGAACATGGTGAAGAGAGGTGAGTAGGTGGGTGAGTAGGCTGGTAGTGCGATTGGAGTGAGCTGGCTGAATAGAGGGCACGCAGACAGTCTTTTATACATTTCTGCAGCTGCTCACACGTGCGTAGTACTTCACGCCTGACGGTGTGTATCTGATCCTATTTCGGTCTAGCTCGTGAAGAAGGTATTCTGAGGTCACATTTGTCCTTCTTGCTGCTCGTGCTTCTTTCTTTCCATCGCACAGAGACTACCAGCCTCCAGTTCTAGTTCTCTAGACTCTTAAAGTGTACTAGAAGGACTGTCAGGTGAGCAACCATCTGATTTTGTTGCCGCCCCTTGGCTCTTGGCTGTCCGCCTTGCTTATATGCTGCTGTTCTTTCACATTGCTATATTGCGAAGGAGCGTCACTGACACTGGTTTCCAAAAATGTTCCCGTGCGCACAAATGCCTCGCTTTCATCTGGGCGCCGATGAGCGATGCAGAACGACGCCGTGAGAGAAGTCTAGAAGCACAGCGGCTTGCTCCATCTGCTTCCAACGCGATGCTATGAGGAGCCAATCAGCAAAGACGGATTGACTGGTGAGCCGTTATAATTTTACCAGCGCATAGGCAATTGTTGTGGCAATATGCTTCTACCCTAATCATGACCTTGCGCGTGGAGTCCAGAGCTCATCTGGGCCCTCTCTACTACCCTCTGTACCGATACTCATCGCACAGTCCAAGCCTTTCACGCTTCTGATCGTAGCTCTTGACATCCGTTATGCAAAGTGCACAGATAAGCGTCCGTCTATCTCATCCATCTCATCTTATCTCTATGCGTTCTGGCACCTCCATCTCGAGCTCAGGCATCTTCGTTGTCCGCACAAACACCTCAGGGACCTCGTTGCTATTCTTTGCTCGCGCTGCGCCAACAATAGCTTCGTACCGCAGAAATGACTCACTCCGCAATGTCTCGGGTCGCAAAAATGTCTCGTCTACTCGCACGCTAACGTGCTGTGAAGGGCCACGCATGTCCATGCCCGAGTATTGGCAGTTTTCAAGGCGCTAGGCGATGTGTTTGATTCCGCATCTGACAGAGCAAGTTGATAGGCGTCAGGCATGCAGTATTTGAACGGTTAGCCGTGTTGCCTAGGGGTCAAAAAAGTCACGATATGAGGCGAGCTAGGTCTTCAACGCGAGTTGCGACGAGGACGACCCACCCCTCCCCCCAAACGAGCGAAGCCGAAACGAGCCCTCGAGGTGAATGATACGGGGTGATTGGGCTATCAAACCCTTAGGATTATGGTCGTGGTGCGGTGTGCCCACAAATACACAAATTGTTGATTCGCAACGCATTGTCATCACTGAATGACACGCTTGCATCGCTACGTGCTTCTACCTCTAGTAAACGTTGAGAAATACCGCGAGTGGCTGTGGATCCGACGTATTGCAAAGCAAGGGACAATATTGACATGAAGTGTGATGTTGAGTTTTATACCTACCAAATGCATTACCTTAGTACCTACCATTCCAGTATGTGAGTCAATGCGCGAGACATTCCAAAGAGGGCATCAACATTTCTTGTAGTGTCCTCCGCGACTCCAGTGATCACATTGTCGAACTAGACATACATTGCAAACTGCGGCATAACGCACACCTTGCTTCAACCTCAACCCCTGCCCGAGCCTTCTCATTGATCGCACGGGTCTCCTGCGTATCAGGGAATCAGATCTCCCAGTAGCCTGGGGGTGCCAGCGGAGGCTCCCACTGCTGGCAACTCAAAATCTCTTGCTGATGCTTGGCAATGGTTTGCTCCTGTTCCACCTTGTCTGTCGCGACTTGAGGTCGAGTGACAGAGGAAAACCTGAAAGCAGGGGGCGTTCGACTGGTTCTTACCGAAGCGATGGTGAGCAATGCTCGAACCTAAGGCTAGGGACAAGTAAATGTATTGGTTAGTAAGGTAAGAAAGGAATACAAGTGAGGGCTTACTGACCTAGGGACAAGAGGTCGAAACTGAGGTCCCTAGGGCAGCAGAGGCCGGTTTATATACATGGGGAGATTAGGGCAGGCTGTGCGCGTTGGTCCGTGCGCAGCTGGTCCGTGCACAGCATGCCAACGCGGCCCCGGGGGCCGGTGAGTCAGAGCGGCTGTGTCAGCGGAGCCCGAGCTGTGCCGTGCGCTGCCGCCCCATCTAATCTAATCGTACAGTAGATAATGACGCGTCCATATCAGGCAGGTAGTACAGAGGTCGCGGGTTCGAGCCCATGAAAAGGAAAAAATTAAAAAACGGCTAGACGCCGTACTAAGTCGTGACATTACCCCCCCCTCAACGGCGCATGACCTCATGCGAGGCGCCCTTGCCCATTTCCCACCCGGAGCGGCAACGTGCTTCAGTCAATGGCGAAGGCATTGGCTGGAAGTTGAGACCACCAAAGGTAGCAGCATTGAGGCGACGAGGGGCGTTCGGGTTCTTCTGGTGGAAGTCGGCTACGAGGGCCGGCGCATTGGCAACGTTGCGCGCCGGTTCCCATGACGTATGCGAGTCGTCATAGCCCTTCCACTTGACGAGGTACTGCAGCTGACGCCGGAAGATCCTCGAATCCTTGATCCGCTCAACCTCGTACTCCTCGTTACCCTCAACCTCGATCGCAGGCGGCTCCTCCGGCTCTCGGCCCGGGATATCGCTACGCGTGTACTTGCTGAGCAAGGAGACATGGAATACCGGATGCACCGGTACCGACTTTGGCAGGACCAATTCGTAATCCAAGTCTCCGAGCTTTCGCCGCACGGCATATGGTCCAAGGCGCTTGGGACTAAGCTTCTTGCTCGGTTGTTTCAGCTTAAGGTTCCAAGCATCAAGCCAGACCTTGTCCCCTGGTGCAAAGACCGGTGCCTGTTGCACGTGCTTGTCGTAGTACACTTTCATACGCTCAGCTGACAGTTCGAGCGCAGAGCGCGTGTCATCGCGAATCTCCTTCAGGATCTTGAGCCGATCAGCGGCCGCAGGCATCGCAGACATCGGATTGATCCGCACTTGGATCTCAGGATGGTACCCCTGATGCAGGAAGAATGGGGAGTGCCCGGTCGCGGAGTGAACTCGGTTGTTCAATGCGAATTCCGCAAGCGGCAATTGCTTCGCCCAATCATCCTGCCTGTGGCTGGTGAAGGCACGCAGGTACTGCTCGATCTCCTGATTCCAGCGCTCAGTCTGGCCATCTGTCTGAGGATGGAATGCTGTAGACAGCGCCGGCTCGATCCCTAGTCCCTTGTACACCGCGTGGAGATACTTTGAAGCGAACTGGGGACCTCGGTCTGATATGACCTTGGCCAGGGCCCCATGATGCTTGAACACATCGCGGATGTACAGGTCTGCCGTGCCTTCTGCCGTCAGGGTCTCATGACAGGCGGAGAAGTGGACCTGCTTGGTAAAGCGGTCGGCGGTAACCAGGATCGAGTCGAATCCATCAGACTTCGGCAAGCCAACGATCATATCGGTCGTGATGATCTGCCATGGATGCTCGGGGATCTCGTTCGGCTTCAGCGGACCCTGGGGTTTGGCTGGGAATGTCTTGGTACGGTTGCACACGTCGCAGGTGCTTATGTACTCATTGACGAATTTAGACATTCCTGGCCACCAGTAGTTCCGTGACACGAGCTCCAGGGTTTTGGCACGACCGCCATGACCGGCGATTGGTGAGTCGTGGTGGATCTTAACAATATCCCGCCGGAGCTCCACGTTTTTTGGGACGTACACACATCCGCGGAACAGCAGAAGCCCTTGTTCGGCATTCCACTCCTCAAAACCCCTTTGTAGCCGGGGCGGCCCGAGGTCCTGCACCTTTTCGAGTGCCTCAGCCACCTCCCGATCCTTCTCCGAACATTCCCTGATGCGCTTCAGAAGCGACTGATCGGCCGTCACCGAGGCATGACCGCGCCTGGCGGAGGCGATGCAGAAGCGCTCCGGCTTGAGAACTACCTGATCAGTGTTATCATCCTCATCGCCAATTTGATGGTCTGATCGGCGCGATAGGGCATCGGCCTTTCCATTCGACATTCCAGCCTTGTGTGTGATGCAGAAGTCAAAGCGAGCTAGGAATAGCGACCATCGCGCTTGACGACGTGTGAGGTGCTGGGACGTGCGCCAGTATTCGAGGTTTTTGTGATCGGTGACGATCTCGAACTGATTGGGTAGGCCTTCGAGATAGTGGCGCCAATCGTCCAGTGCCTCAATGATCGCGAGCATCTCCTTATCGTAGATCTCGTAATTACGCTGGGCAGGGTCCATAGCGTGAGATCTGAAGGCGATAGGGTGCCATTTGCCGTCGTCCTGCTTCTGCATCAACACGCCGCCAGTGGCGTAGCCCGAGGCATCAACCTCGATGTGCATTTCTCGATTAGGGTCATACAGCGCTAAGACGGGAGTCGTCGCAAAGAGCCGTTTGAGCTCATCGAA